TGTTCATGGACGGAGATGTGAGAGAAGTGAATGTAAGAATGTCATTAGGGCGGCCCCAGGCTGAGTGGATAGCGCTCTCGCTTCTCAGCAAGAAGGTCCTGGGTTTGAATCCCGGTCGGAACAGGGCCTTTCTGAGTGGAGTTTGCATGTTCTCCCGTGTCTGCGTAGGTTTCCTCCAAGTGCTCCGGTTTCCTCCAAGTGCTCCGGTTTCCCCTACCACTAAAAACATGTACAATAGGTCTGGCATGCGCCTCCTGTACTGGCCCCGCTCCCATCTCTGTGTGGAGTGAGAGACAAATGCCCAAAAATAACTCTGTGACTCTGGTCTGTGAAAGGCGGTATATAAAAATAGATTACTTACTACTACTACTTACTAGACGGAGGGTTAGAGGTGTTGAAAGGGTAAGTGAGATCTGAGTCAGTGACTGTTTACCGCCGGTACAGCCGACTCCGAGCGGAAACTGACGATGTGAGTGAGTGAAGGAGGAAGTGGAATGTTGGGAAGAGTGAAGTGATGAGGTGCACAAGGGAACAGCCTGCACCTCATCATTTAATTCTATTCCTTTTTTCTTTTTTATTGCCCTAAATCACATCAGCAGTTATCTCAGAAGATTTTGCCAACACAGATCAATGAATCAAACACTTCAAACACAGGAAATGCAATGATAACAGACACATAGAGACATTGGTCCATATGGGACTGAGAGCAAAGTCCATAAATGTCCTGGATCATCTCTGTCCTTAGAGCCCGGAGGTTTTACTTGAATGGGCAGAAGTTAGTTAGAAGTGTGTTGGGGTCAGATGTGTGAAAGAGGCCGGACACGGGAGAACTGAGCGTGAGAGGACGTAAGCGTAAGGGCAAAGACGTGTGTGTATGAGAGGGTGGTTGTGTTGTCGGTTGTGTGTCGCAGAAGACGTGAGGCAGGAGAGAAAGTGAAAGGAAGAAATGGAATGTGTTTGAAATGAAATGATGACAGTAACAGGCGCGACGAGGAGTTAGAGAGAGGGGTGACCTGAGACCACACAGGCACACACGCGCACACACACACACACACATTAAATACAGTATTAAAACTATATTCTACAAAAACAAACGGTAGCAGACTGCAGCCATTCAAGTGTAGTATCATTTATTTACTGTTTCAAAAGTGTCACATATTCTTGAAGGCTAAAACGTGACGTCACCCTCCGCCTCCTCCTGTACCGGTGTTATTATGTATCATGTTTAAACACATCGGGAGTCAATGACTTTGTTTATTCGAAGCCGTGTCTCGTCTCCCGCGGGACGCTCTCTCTCTGTGCCTGTGTCAGGGGCAGACGAGCATGAAGGTCGCAGATGAACAGATACCGCCCTCCCCCCTGCCTCCCCTTCTTCCCCCATCAGGCCCTCAGCCAGGCGCCTGCTGGGGGAGGACTGTCACTCAGAGCACAAACACAAGAACAAAGCAAATCAACAACAGACACAAAACAAATGTATCACAAGGAAAATGCGGAGAAACTGCAAAAATATATCATTTCATAATAATCCAAAAGTAAAAACTTAAACCAGAGACAAGACATGAGAGACAAACCACAACAATGGACCAAGGACAAGAGGAACACAGGGTCAAAGTGAGCTCAGGGTCTGAACTCACACAGGAGGAAAAGGTGCATTATTTCAGGGCGGGGCAATCAATCAGGACAGACAGGAAGTAAAACTCAAACAAGAGAATGTGAAATTGTTTCCTCTGATGCGTGAATTACATCAACCTTATAGTTGTGTTGTTTACATTCTATGGTTGTGTTGTTTACAGTCTATGGTTGTGTTGTTTACATTCTATGGTTGTGTTGTTTACAGTCTATGGTTGTGTTGTTTACAGTCTATGGTTGTGTTGTTTACAGTCTGTGGTTGTGTTGTTTACAGTCTGTGGTTGTGTTGTCTACATTATATGGTTGTGTTGTTTACAGTCTATGGTTGTGTTGTTTACATTCTAATGTTGTGTTGTTTACAGTCTGTGGTTGTGTTGTTTACAGTCTATGGTTGTGTGAGATTTCATAACACTTTGAAGCAACTTTTGTTAAAGTTAAACTCATCATTCTATCAATGTGCAGAAGCCAGTACTTTTCCCTTGTTTTGTCTATCTGAAGGCCAAGCTAAGCACACCGTGGCAGCTGCTGATTGGAGGTCTCCATGCCTCCGCTCTGTATAATACACTTGCATTCTCTTGTATCTGTGATCGTGTGCTTTGATCGTGCTGTCTCTACCATTGACAATAAAACATGTCTTCTGTCTGAATGTAAGACGCGATCCCAGACTTGGTACATCTTCTTCAGGTGGTGGAGAATGCGGGCCTTGTCTGTAACATCTAGAGAACAGAAGACTTTTTTTTTTACACAAAAAGTGTTTTTTTTTTAAGCCAAAACTGAGAAACCTCAAGAGAAACCATGCATCTGGACCAGCACACTTGGACTATCTGCACAGCCCCTGATTCCAGTCAGGCTGTGAGCTGCTGAGACATGGACAATACCATCGTCCTCTTTTGCATGGACACCATTTGGAACAATTGGATTACACAATTTGGACATAATTTGGAACAATCTGGATTTCTGAATTTGGAAATAATTTGGACTGAATTGGATTGCTGAATCTGGACACTGAAGCTGAAACGTGTGATTGAAAGACACGTCACAGAAGAATTCATGGCTCGACACAACAAATGCAGCCTGAAGAATCCAACACGGAGAAGTGGGAGAGACTGTTTTCAAAGCAATATCTGGAACCACCATCGACTGATGAAGTTTGGTATTTTACTGAAGATTGTTGACAAGTTTTATGAAAGATCTGAACATGTTTTATGAGTTTTCTGAGTTTTTGAAGTATTCCGAGTTCTGAGTTTTTTGAGGTACCGAGTGAAGTACCGAGTTTATGAGTTTTTGAAGTATTGAGATATGATGTTATGTTGCTGTTTATCGATCCTGATGGTCACACGTGAATGTATGACCAGAGGGGGGAATGTGAGATTTCATAACACTTTGAAGCAACTTTTGTTAAAGTTAAACTCATCATTCTATCAATGTGCAGAAGCCAGTACTTTTCCCTTGTTTTGTCTATCTGAAGGCCAAGCTAAGCACACCGTGGCAGCTGCTGATTGGAGGTCTCCATGCCTCCGCTCTGTATAATACACTTGCATTCTGTTGTATCTGTGATCGTGTGCTTTGATCGTGCTGTCTCTACCATTGACAATAAAACATGTCTTCTGTCTGAATGTAAGACGCGATCCCAGACTATGCCATCTTCTTCAGTTGTGTTGTTTACAGTCTATGGTTGTGTTGTTTACAGTCTGTGGTTGTGTTGTTTACAGTCTATGGTTGTGTTGTTTACAGTCTGTGGTTGTGTTGTTTACAGTCTATGGTTGTGTTGTTTACAGTCTATGGTTGTGTTGTTTACAGTCTATAGTTGTGTTGTTTACAGTCTATGGTTGTGTTGTTTACATTCTATGGTTGTGTTGTTTACAGTCTATGGTTGTGTTGTTTACAGTCTATGGTTGTGTTGTTTACAGTCTGTGGTTGTGTTGTTTACAGTCTGTGGTTGTGTTGTTTACAGTCTATGGTTGTGTTGTTTACAGTCTATGGTTGTGTTGTTTACAGTCTGTGGTTGTGTTGTTTACAGTCTATGGTTGTGTTGTTTACAGTCTATGGTTGTGTTGTTTACAGTCTATAGTTGTGTTGTTTACAGTCTATGGTTGTGTTGTTTACATTCTATGGTTGTGTTGATTAGAGTCTATGGTTGTGTTGTCTACATTATATGGTTGTGTTGTTTACAGTCTATGGTTGTGTTGTTTACATTCTAATGTTGTGTTGTTTACAGTCTATGGTTGTGTTGTTTACAGTCTATGGTTGTGTTGTTTACAGTCTATGGTTGTGTTGTTTACAGTCTGTGGTTGTGTTGTTTACAGTCTATGGTTGTGTTATTTACATTCTATGGTTGTGTTGTTTACAGTCTATGGTTGTGTTGTTTACATTCTATGGTTGTGTTGATTAGAGTCTATGGTTGTGTTGTTTACATTCTATGGTTGTGTTGTTTACAGTCTATGGTTGTGTTGTTTACATACTATGGTTGTGTTGTTTACATTCTATGGTTGTGTTGTTTACAGTCTATGGTTGTGTTGTTTACAGTCTGTGGTTGTGTTGTTTACAGTCTGTGGTTGTGTTGTTTACAGTCTATGGTTGTGTTGTTTACAGTCTGTGGTTGTGTTGTTTACAGTCTGTGGTTGTGTTGTTTACAGTCTATGGTTGTGTTGTTTACAGTCTATGGTTGTGTTGTTTACAGTCTATGGTTGTGTTGTTTACAGCCTGTGGTTGTGTTGTTTACAGTCTGTGGTTGTGTTGTTTACAGTCTATGGTTGTGTTGTTTACATTCTATGGTTGTGTTGATTAGAGTCTATGGTTGTGTTGTCTACATTATATGGTTGTGTTGTTTACAGTCTATGGTTGTGTTATTTACATTCTATGGTTGTGTTGTTTACAGTCTATGGTTGTGTTGTTTACATTCTATGGTTGTGTTGATTAGAGTCTATGGTTGTGTTGTTTACATTCTATGGTTGTGTTGTTTACAGTCTATGGTTGTGTTGTTTACATACTATGGTTGTGTTGTTTACATTCTATGGTTGTGTTGTTTACATTCTATGGTTGTGTTGTTTACAGTCTGTGGTTGTGTTGTTTACAGTCTATGATTGTGTTGTTTACAGTCAGTGGTTGTGTTGTTTACAGTCTATGGTTGTGTTGTTTACAGTCTGTGGTTGTGTTGTTTACAGTCTGTGGTTGTGTTGTTTACAGTCTATGATTGTGTTGTTTACAGTCAGTGGTTGTGTTGTTTACAGTCTGTGGTTGTGTTGTTTACAGTCTAGGGTTGTGTTGTTTACAGTCTATGGTTGTGTTGTTTACAGTCTATGGTTGTGTTGCAGGTGGAGCAGAGTCGTGAGGACGACAGGACGTCCCTGAACTGAGACAAGGGGCAGAAGATGGGGGACAGTGAGGGAGGGGACAGAGGGGACAGTGAGGGAAGGGACAGAGGGGACATGTCCCAGCCACAGACAGGGGGCAGCACTGAGGCCCCAGAGCAGATGGAGAGGAGCGTCCCAGAGGAGGATCTGAAGACAGGGGTCGGGGCCTCAGGGTGCAGTGCAGAGGAACCCGAGGGCCTCAAGGTGACCACCGCACTGCTGCACCCGCTGTGTTTAGGGGAAGGTCCCCTGGTGCTGCCACTCCACCTGCAGATGAACGGGGGGCCACAGCTGGGGGCCGCGCCTTATCTCATCACCAGCCAAAGTCCAATGTCTCTGGTCCTGGAGCAGCACATGGGCCCCTCTGGAATCCCCCAGGGGCCTAACTGTGGCCCCCTGCCCCTCCAGAGCAGTGTCCTGTGTCCCGGAGCTCTTCCCTTCAGTCTCTCAGCAGCAGCAGAGCAGAAGACCTCAGCTCAGACCCTGGACCCTCACCTCCTGTCTCTGCTGCAGAACCCGGCCTTCGCTGCCATCCTCCAAGACCTGTTCCCCCCTCGGAGCGGGACATCCGCCTGCCAGGCTCCCGGCTCTCCCTTCTTCCCTGCTCCCCCTCTGACTCCCCCATACTCTTCTCCCCTTGCTCCTCTGGTGCCTCCTGCGACTCTCCTGGTCCCATACCCGGTCATCATCCCTCTGCCTGTGCCTCTGCCCATCCCTCTGCCTGTCCCTGTCCCTGTCCCGTCTCAGGACTCCAAGGGAAATCTGCCCAAACCCGTCTGCACTGTGAGCACTCAGACCTGTGTCCAGGACTCTGTCCCCTCAGGACCCCTCCCCCCTCACACTGTGCCCCCCTCTGAGGAGGTGTTGGACCTCTCTGTGAAGTGTCCCATTCGTCCCAAACTGGAGCCCCCCTGTCCCGCTCAGCAGGACAGTGTCCTGGACCTGTCTGTCCCTGGGGCCAGGACCAGACCTGCAGACTCTAAAGACCTGGGGGGTCTGGCCTCAGTGGAGCTCAGGCAGCAGCCCAGGTGGGACAGCAGCTCTCTGGGACAGGACCCCCCTCTGAAGCAGGACGCCCCTTTGGGCATGCCGGGGAGCCCACAGGTCATCGTCTCTGTGAAGGACGCCATCCCCGCCATCTTGTGTGGGAAGATGAAAGGACTGTCAGGGGTCTCCAGCAAGAACTTCTCCATCAAACGAGATGCGGCTCAGTCCCTGCAGCAGCTGTACGGGGGGCAGGGGGGGCATCATGACCCTCATGACCCTCACCTCCCTCATGACTCCCACCTCCCTCATGACCTTCATGACCCTCTGAAGAAAGCGTCCAAAAGCAGAAGTATCAAACTGAAGAAGGTCAGCTCTCAGGAGATACACTTCCTGCCCATGAAGAAGCAGCGCCTGGCTGCACTGCCCCCTCCCCCCTGATGGAGCCCCCCCTCCCGGAGGGAGCCCCTCCTGAGGGAGAGGCATGACACACACTTGTCCCATTGAACTGCATGAGCTCCGTCTGCAGCTGGTTCAGTGTCACACAGAGCTTCCTCCTGATGCAGCAGTCTGTTCTGTGTCCACCTGTTTAACTCTAATATTTAAAGTCTGTTTTAAAAAGAGGTTTCACTTTAACATTCAAGTGTTTAATGTTTAAACACGTTTATTTCTCACGGTCTGAGTAACTGAAGCTGTATACACACATACACACTGCTTGCAGTGAGGGGACAGGGCTCTGGAGACTGAGGAGACTGTGATCTGCAGTATCAGTGTTTGGTCTGAGTGATATTTATTGAGCGTGTGAAGCGTCTGTGAGTCAAAGTCCCAGCGGAGGATTTTCTTTGGAATGTGACGTCATTTCATTGTTTTTGTGTGAAGTATTTAACCCCTGATGTGACTAGTGTTTATCCTCTGAGTTGAGTTTTGTTTAGTTTTCAGACGGGGTTCAAACGTTTAACTCTGGATTAAAGAGGATGAAAACACATTCATGAACAAGTTGAGACCGTTCCCAAACTCTAACCTTAACTCAAACCTTAACCCAGGATCGGTCCCTGGTTTCACACAATGATACTGTTTTATGTATTTATTTCATTACTTTGTAGACAGCTGTTGTGCGAATGACGTGATGTATTTATTATTGAAATGTCTTTCCAGGTGCAATGACTCGGCTGTTTTTATTTTTTGTATATTGTAAAAGCAGCCATCCATTTTCTTCCCCTTTATCCGTGTCCAGGTCACAAGGGGCTACGGCCACACACGGCTCTATTAGTCTGAGCTCCTCCTTCCAAGGCAGCGCCCAGTCACTCTGTGGAGGAAACTCATGAGGACTGCTGCCTAAGCAACCCAGCCCTAGATAAAGCGGAAGAAAATTGATAGATATTTAAATGTCCTGACTACTGCGTCTCAGTCTCAACTTATTTATTATTGTTTTTTACAAAATGGGATGAAATTAGTTCAACACTTTAATTGTAAGTTCAAATCCATTCCATCACTTTAACTCCACAGCTGTCGTTCGTGACGTTATTTGTTTGTTTAAATAAAACATGTACAAGGTGATGGAAAAGAGAAATCTGTGTTTGGTCTTTGGTCCATATTTAAGTGAAAGGAGAAGAAAGACCAGTGTTCACCGACTGTACCAAAACTGTGCTTTTTATATCATACTAAAATATGTCCAAGACTCATCTGCATTCGGTCTCTTTTCTGTCTCGTTTCACCGGCTTCATATGGAGCGAGGGGAGTTCACTCGACTGCGTAACGACTGCGTAACGACTGCAACAACGACTGAAAGGACTTGGAACCAGACAGATGTATAACCACTTTGTTTATTGTTTGTGTGACATTATGGACATGTGACTTTGCAAGACAAACGGTAAATTTCAAGTATTTTTAGAGGATGCAGGAATCCTCATAAATAATATATGGCACAAGTACTGGAGGGGAACAGGAAGAGTATGTGTAAGTACAAACAGTATGCTACAAAAGTACTACAAAGATCACTGAATCCTGAGAAATGTTGTCGATTAAAGCAAGGCAGTCTATTACTCGGTATTGGAACTAAAAGCATTGCATTAAGGTTTTGTTATTGTACAGAAATCAACTTTAACAGCTCCCAAAATCATTCCCAATAGCATAACTAACATAAGTATATTATTTACCTAAAATATTAAAGTTTCTACAAAATGTACATTCGGTAGCTAAGAATCATGGTTAAACCCATAAAAGTGTAGCATCTGTGCTAACAGTGACGCAGCGGTCAGGAGGCCGACACACCCAAGAAGACCAGGAAATCTATAGAACCAAGGATCAAAGCCCTGGACAGAAATGACACTGTTCTCAGTCGGGTGCAAGAAAAATTTGATACAAAACTTCATGACGAAAAAGAGGCAACTCAGGGCTCACTAAGTCACAAAAATAATACCATCAGTAATACCATTCTTGTCCAACAAAAAAAAGTGATGAGCAAATCTGTAAAGAGGACATAACATGCTTCAGTCCAGGATCTACAGTCTCAGTCCTGGATCTACAGCCTCAGTCCTGGGTCTACAGCCTCAGTCCTGGGTCTACAGCCTCAGTCCTGGATCTACAGCCTCAGTCCTGGATCTACAGTCTCAGTCCTGGATCTACAGCCTCAGTCCTGGATCTACAGTCTCAGTCCTGGGTCTACAGCCTCAGTCCTGGGTCTACAGCCTCAGTCCTGGATCTACAACCTCAGTCCTGGATCTACAGCCTCAGTCCTGGATCTACAGCCTCAGTCCTGGGTCTACAGCCTCAGTCCCCTTTAAATCAATGACATTGGGAAAAGGAGAAAGCCGTGTCTTGTTTAGACTGTGACACTCAGTCATTCTTCAGGTAAAAGTATCAATACTTTATAAAGTAGAAATACATCAATTAAAAATATATTACATACTCTTGATATTCCATGTTTTCTGACTTTATAATGGCAGTTATTTGGATTTCAGTCTCTGTTGCAGACAGACCTCAGACCGCACACTTCTGCTCAAACTGAATTGGTCCAATTTGGTCTCATTGCCTCAAACATGACACTCGTACAACAATAAATATTAGTGTTGTCCTGATGCTAACATTTCAAACTGAAAATACTAAAAGAATCTTGTTTTTGACAATGATCTGCAAATCAAAAGTTTTCCACTAGTTTTTATAAAAGACCAAAGTTGTTCTAAATATGTTCATTGTTGTAGTATCAAAAATCAGTAAATAGTTTTATTCCTAAACATTTCAATCCCAGGAAAACCCCTTTAAGCGCCAGGAGGAGAATTTCTACACAAACTTCTGAACTTGAACACATTCTGAGTCAGAAGCGGCTTCCCCTCGGGGTGCGACAAGAAAATACATTATTCGATTTTTTCATTTTTCAAAATTAGTCACTTTTTTCCCTATAGAAAGTTTTTTTTAACATAATAACAATCTACAATAAGTCAAATAAAAAGGCATAAATAGTGATAGTTCAAATGCGGCGCAGGTTTAGAGAACACCCAAAAGCTTTAGTTTCTACAGAACGTTTGGAAATGTATCGCACTTAGTTGAAAGTCCATCGAACCCCGTCCTGATCCACGCAGTTCTTTTGCATCAGAGCGGCTTTAATATTAACTGTGCTTCTTATAATCCGGTGTTTAAAGAACTAGCTACATTTTCATAACTGACTTTTGTTTACGACTCACTCAAGTTATAGATATTAAACAACCTATGAGTTAAATTGAGTGTTAGAGTTTAACGACAGAACGCTCTGTTTGTGGATCCAGCTGATGATTGTCATAACTGTTACTGTTACTGTGAGCTCCTCGTTCTACTGTTCTGGAACCGCTGATGCAACACTGAACTTTCCCCACTGTGGGACCAAGGAGCTCTTCATCCTGATCTGAAACATGATGACGGTTATTGCACTTTAAATAGAGTTTAAACTGGTGAACAAAGTGAGAAATGTTGGACCTGATTATCTGGTTGTTCGACGGAAAATTGCATCAAACAGATTTATGAAATACTTGTGCAAAAGACGCAGTATTTGTTATTTTTTGTATTTGTTTATCATTTTAAGTAATAACGGCTGATGTAAATATACCAGATTGTAGCGAACCTCCATTTGTCCCACACTCATTCGACCCTCGTCTATTGAACATGTTTTCAGTGGTAAGGGAAACCCTAGCACCCGGAGGAAACCTACACAGATGCAGGGAGAACATGCAAACTCTTCCCGTCCTTCTCTTCGTCCTCTTTCCCTTATTAAGTTTCGGGCTCATTTTGTCTACTTCAAACCTGGCGCCTAAAGGGTTAATCACTGATTCCTTTGACTGCCCTCCTCCACATCGTGACGGGTGATTGGTGCGTTACGCTTCTAGTGTGAGAAAGAATAAACAAAAACAATCATTCACTTTTTCAGGTAAGAAACAATACTTGAGCAGAAGAATCCAAAAGTGGAAGTAGCTTAAAAATCCTTTTGTGTCGGTGTCTTCCACAGACTCATGTTTCAGTCCGTCGCCTCTTCCTGTTCAGTGAGGAATCCAACAGTAATACAAAAGAAGAACACATTCTCCATCTTTGGGGATCTGAGGGTAGGGTCAGAGAGTTTCATCTGTAGAAATGGTGTCCACGTGTGCTCTGCAATGTAAACACTACGGCCAGATTTTCCTTTGGGATTTCAAATAGTTCTTTAGAATTGGAAAACTTTGACCCACTGGAGAAAAGTGAGGCAATGCAACCACCCTGGAGGCCGTAACATGGGAGTCTAGGGAGGCACATCGCCCCCTGTCTGTCAGCCAGAGAACTGCCCCAGCGCTGGAGGTTATTGCTCAGAGGTCTTCAGGCTGTGGCGCCTTACACCTTTCCCTGTTTGAGCCTCTCTATATGGTGGCACAGTTTGAGAGCCGGCCCCAGCTTCAGACCCATGTACTTCATGATCATGTCGCTCCTCAACAGCATCAGGGCCCGGCCATCGATCTCCTGCAGAAGAGAAGAAGAAAACTAAAAGTTGACCATATGGTTACATAAAATGGAAAATGATGTGATTATTCCTGTGGCTCAGAGAACAGACTTTAAAGCAGCTCTGTGTGTCTCTCCATGACCAAAGGACATCTGTGACATATTAGTAAGTAATCTAGTAATCTTTATTTATATAGCGCATTTTTAGAGACCAAGGTCAACCAAAGCGCTTTATAATGTTCAGAGTTCAGATACTGTTTTCATTCACTCCACGCGGTGATGACGGATGCGAGACGCAGAATATTAGTGCCATATGAACCAACTCTGAGGAGCACAGGGACTGGCCTCCTGCTGGTCCTAGAGTAAGCGAGAGAGAGAGAGAGAGACACACACACACAGACACACACAGACAGAGAGACAGAGACAGATAGACACAGAGAGAGAGATACACACACAGACACAGAGACACAGAGAGAGAGAGAGACACAGAGAGAGAGAGAGAGACAGACACAGAGAGAGAGAGAGAGACACACACACAGACAGAGAGAGAGAGAGAGAGACAGACACAGAGAGAGAGAGACACACACAGAGAGAGAGAGAGACAGACAGAAAGACAGACAGACAGACAGACAGACAGAGAGAGACACAGACAGAGAGACGCAGACACACACACAGACACACACACAAAAAGACCCACACACACACAGAGATAAACTCTTCACTCACATGTTTCCTGAAGAGTTCTGCGTGTGGAGCTAAAGCCGTGGGATCCGCCTCCTTCACAAACTGCATCACGTCCTCGATGCTCCAGGACGCTGGGCTTTTACTGGAGCCGTCCTCTCGCTCAGAGGCGTCAGGGCCTGTCGTGGAGCTCGCTGCTGCAATCACAGATCACAAAACACTTATTACACAGACCAGATCAATAGTGTCGTAGTAACAGTTGTAGCAGTCATACAAGTCGCAGTAATAATGGTGCTGTCCAGTGTAGTAGGGAAAAAAATATAGTAACAGCAGCAGTTTTTGTTTTTTGCTTTTGGTACACTTCTCTCCAATATCACAGCGGTCAAGAGAGTTGTCAGAAGTGCGCTTGCATGTGAAACGCTAGCAATGTCTGAGTGCGGGTTGTACAGATCACAGTGTGACAAAAATCTGTGTTCCTGATAACTTTTCTCTTGTTGATTCCCTGAAGTCTACAAAGTTTGTGACTGAAATGAGACTACTGGAAATCAGTTCTCTAAAAGAACTGAGCCTCTTCAGCTAGACTAATAAAGGCTCTTCATGAGGGACAGTGGGCTGTAAGTCCGGAATCTACAGTCTCCGTCCAGAATATACAGCTCTGATCCTGTTGCAGTATCTTCCACTGTCCTGTGGGGGGCAGTGTGGGTACAGTACCTTCCACTCTCCGGTGGGGCAGTGTGAAGCTGTGGTCGACGGAGTTGGAGGACAGGCGTCTCATGGGTGTAGTAGCACCGTGGTGGTGGTAGGGGACACTGGGCTGAGAGTGGTATTCTCTGTGAGGTCGCGGCGTCATGGAGTTAGAGGCGGAGTCCATGTAGCGCTGCTCCTTCATCAGACCGTTCTCCTCGTGAGGCAGAGTCTCCGCTAACACACAAACCAGATTCAGGATCAGGATCACTAACTTGGACAATATGTGGTGTCGCTGATTTGTGGTGATACATCAACAACAACAACAGCAGCACTACAACACTAAGCCCAATATGAAAAATATACTAAGCCCTCACACTGTTAGCACATACTACAATTCTTAACATTGACCAACAACACATAGACACACAAACCAATACACACAGGGAGAGAGGGAGAGAAACACAGAGACACACAGAGAGACAGAGTGAGACAGAGACAGACAGAGACAGAGACACACACACAGAGAGATAGAGGGAGACGCACTGAGAGAGACTGAGACACACACAAGTCTATAGAGTACATTTTGGATAGTGTGTGTTGCGTCTAGTCCAGAGGTCCTCACCTTCAGAGGGATGGGCTTCAGCTCGGAGTTGTTTGGGCGACAGAGGAGCAGCGTATGGAGGGGACAGTGCCGACAAACTGCGTTTGGTTACACGGCTCATAGACGGAAGATCCAAGGCCTCTTCTTTCACTGGGCATCAACAGGGAAGAGTCATTAGCTAAATCTACTACATACAAAATACCTTCATAATGTTAAACCACATCTTTAAATATGTCTGTTCATCCAATAAACACATTATAGTTACAATAATAACCATGTTATTAGGCGAGAGTAAGTGCTCAGAGAAAATAGGTCTGGATGTGGCCCGAGTCTGGACTGGTGTGTGTGGGGCCTGCTGCCTGACTGCGGTCGTAAGGAGAGAGAGAGGTCTGGTACCTGAATTGGTGCAACCATAGGGGGGTAGTGGCTGAGATGGTACCTGACTTGGCACAGCCGTAGGGTGTGTGTGTGGTACCTGACTCGGTGCGGTCATAGTGGATTATGTGGTACCCAACTTTGGTACAGTCGTATGGGGTGTGGTACCTGACTCTGTGCGGCCGAGAATGTGTGGTGCCTGACTTGGTGTAGTTGTAGGGGGAGGTAGTGGCCTAGGTGGTACCTGACTTGGTGCGGTCGTAGGGGGGGTAGTGGCTGAAGGGCTGGCTGCTGAAAAGACTGTCACTCTGCAGATGTCGACACATTGTTTCCAGGAACCGAAGCACAAAGGAAGCGCTGGAGGCAGCAGGCAGCTTTACCACACGCACCCCTCCATCTGTGCGGACTGGGGAGGAGAGGGTTTAGTCTGGAATTACCGGAATACTGCAGGAGAGGGTTTAGTCTAGAAATAAAGGAACTGCAGGAGAGGGTTTAGTCCAGAACACTGAGACTGATGCCCCCTACACACGCACGCATCTTGATGTTAGAAAGATTCTCATATTGTTTAATTGCGACAAACTGTTCAATTCAGTCTGTTCTGGAAGGGAAGCTAACCGCTACAGTGAGGGAAAAAAAAAACAGTATTCAACCACCAAGTCCTCAGACTTTATAAACATTGCTGCTGTGGCATATACAGGTGTGCCTCATAGACAGTACGGTAGATAAAGATAAGTGGGGTTAGAATGATCTTACCTCGGACCACCTCCCCTCCACCGGCGTGAGTGTGCAGAGCTCCCAGCAGCACTTTGGGCTGGTAGGCACAGTCAATGCAGGACTGGACCACCTGCTGCAGGACCGAGTTCACGGGTCCAGGTCCAAAGTGGTCTGGCAGCCGCTGCATCAGCTTCCGGTCCAAGTGAGGCCCGACGTTCCCGTGTTTGTTGACATACACACAGGCTGCAGAAGGAGGATCACAGAGGCCACGGACCATTAGACATCAAGAGAGAGCATCCAGCTACATACAAGCTAGCGTTGTCGCCATCTTATTATAACCACCCAATCTTTGCTCCACCCTCTCCCATGATGCGCCTCAGATAGAAGGTGACACAGGGCTGTGGTCCTGTGTGCGCCTACTGTTCTGTGTCTTGATACAACACTGACATTTCCCCCACTGTGGGATGAATAAAGGATCTCTTAGAAACGCCTACACTCTCAGTGGATAGAGCTGCAAAGAGGGCGAAGCTGAGGTTTCAGGAAGTAACATTTCAAATTTAAAATTAGTACAAAACTTGACTAATGTAAATCTACTACAAAATAGATCAGGGGTTCTCTCCCACCAAGAGGAGTCATCGTGTAAACATAAACAAAGGTTCTATTAAGACAAACTAGTAGGGCTGGGCGATTAATCGATTTTAATCATTAATTCGAGTTTTACGTTTAGGGCGATTTCTTTTTTTAAAAAATCGATTTTTATTTTCTCCAGCGCAGAACTACAGCGCTAACGCGCTAACCGCGGGTCTATGGTGTTAAGCAGTCATTTTGAAGCTAACCTAATGCTAACAGTCTCCCTCTGGCCTGATGCTCGCTCTCACAGTTGGTGTTGTTGCAATAACACTTCAAACGTTCAAGAATCAGACTTTATTTAATCGCCAAAACACACACACACACACGCACGCAGTAGCTGTTAGCTACAGTAGCAGCTACAGTAGCTGTTAGCTACAGCATCAGAATGTAAACAGGAAGCTCGCACAATGCGGGAGTCACTGAAGTTAGTATTAGCGCCACCAGCTGGACCGAGCGTTGTACTACAGCACAGTTACTCAGGCACAGTTGGAAGAACAAGCATGAAAACCCGAGGAGGCTTTTGGAAAAGACTGTCTGTTACAACATTTCTATTTTGAGTAATCAGTTTTAAAAATATGATATTTCATGTAAATAATGCATGTGTTTAATAGGATTGATATATTTGCGATGGGCCTTGTTTGTGTGATTTAAGTTATTTTGAAGGTGCATAGTGTCATTGTAAGTGAAGTTATTATAAAACTGTTAAGCTACATTTTCACTGTTTACAATGGCAGAGCCATCTTGTTTACAAGCATGTTTTAAGGCTTAATTCCTGTTACACTTATGCTCCATGGGGATTTAGATTAAACTGCATAAAGGAAAATCTATTTCTTTGTCAGTTGTAGTTTGTTTTTAAATAGAAAAAAATAAATCGATTAAAATCGAAAATCGGATTTGGTGTGAAAAAATCGGAGATTTATTTTTTTTGCCATATCGCCCAGCCCTACAAACTAGTTATAAAGCAATTTTCTCTTCCATTCTCAAACACTAAGTATCTCCCTCACCTGTTGACACCACAGAGTTGAGGCTGGCGAGGCTCTCCTGTGGCACTGAGATGCTGGGCAGGTCCAGACTCCTGTGAAACAGTTTTGGCTTCCGCTGGAAAACACAAACAATTTACACAAAATACTTTACATCACTGTCAATATTTTAGACCATTTTGATTCTTTAAACCAGTTTTAGTAAAGTCATAGAGCAGTCACAACTTTTTCCGTCTGTTGCTTTGTTGCTTTTGCATCTCCCTCAAGAAAAATGACCAAACAGCAAACTACTACTACAATGCTACAACTGCTGTTACTCCTCCTACTGCTACTTATTTACCAATGGATCAAGTTTGAAGTGTTACCAACTTTATCAAGCTTTGTAGATTAAACAAACAGGATAAAAAAGGATTAAATTGAAAAGACTTCAATTTACTAACTATTATTTATAGTTAATATCCATCTTCTTCCCTTAGTCCATTTCTTGGTTGAGAGTGGCAATCTGCTGCCACCCAATTCACAGAGCACCAGCCCCTCTACGGTGTTCTACGGTAACGCATCGTTGAGGTTTTTTATCTTTTTCTCATGTTTCTCTCACAGCTCCCATTAAGTGGGAGGACTTGCAAAACTGGTGGCAAAATACCTTTTGGCGCCTATGCTGTGCTCTCATATTTGAAACCAGTCCTCGTCATAAATATATGCATTTATTTATGTTTGTATGGGTGCAGTGTTTCTACTGCTGGACACCAGCATTTCTCCTACGAGGATCAGCCGAGTATCGATCTGTCTATATCCATCCATTCTCTATTATGTACCTTGCTTCCGGGCTTGGGTCCTCGTTTCTTGTGGGGTCTGGGTTCGAATGCTTGTATGATCCCCGGGATGTGGGCTCCGTTCTGATTGGCTGCTGCTGCCTCGGCCACGGCCTTGAGGAGCGCCATGGTCTCGCTCTTGGGTCTCCTCCCCCTCACCCCCTTCCTCACAGGGAGCTGAGGCAGCGGCATGGGCAGTCTGTATGGCGGCTGCAGGGACCGCCGGCTGGGCTTGGCTGGGGAGGAGGAGCTAAAGACCGGCAGGCTTTTGGGGAGAGTCACTGCAACAAAACAAATCAGACTCTATTCTATTCACATAAAACCTCTGACAATGTTCAATTCCAGGTTTAACACAGTTTTGCTGCAATAACTGAAGGATTGTATCTTAACTAAACTAAAAACTTGCCTTGCCTAAAAAAAATGTGCCTTGTCTAAAAGGACAATCAAAGCCAGGGTACCTAACTCTCAAAGCACAAAACAAAAATGCACCTTGTAATGTGCCATGTGATACATCTTCTCACTCACAAAACAGAGTTTTTAATCTAGTATTGAAACTAAGCATTAATTTGAAGAGTTATTCATACTAAAAATGATGACACAAACTTGATCAAATTTGACATCTCTAAGCCATTTTTAATATTAAAATAAAAAATATATTTATTATTTTGTTTGAAATCTAATTTATAATGTGGAATCTTACAATTACTTTTTTTTTTGCTTTTGTCAACTTGTCAATGACTCTTCTGGCCACCCTGGGAAAGCCATGTTCCAGCTTCTTCCCTCTGGCAGAAGATATCGCTCTCTGAGATGCAGGACATCTCGTTACGCTAACAGTTTTTATCCACAAGCTGTTATCAGTGTGAACAGAGCACTTTAATGATTTGCACTTGTTTTGAAACTGTTTTAGTTGATCGATTTCACAGTGACATTTGTTTACTGTTTTATTTGTTTTATTTTTGTCTTTTAATGTTGTTTTATGTCTGTATTTGTCTGTGCACACTGGTGACTTTTGCTAATGTATTCCAATGTGGTGTTTTTACTGCAAATGGCAAATAAACTGAATCTGAAATTAATTACTATCATTATGAGCCTAATCACTTTTCAGACTGACCACCACTCTTGCTCAGTCAATCAGCTCTTTGCCCTAAGAGTCAAATAGTGACTATTTAAGCAGAGAAAGAGTGTCCAACAGTATGCATAACATGTCATCTTATAATAGATAAAACATCAAGTGGTGGTCTAATTTTACTTTTCTGTTGGGACAAAAGTTTCTTCTGCCTTAGTTCCACAGAAAACACAACGCACTTACTTCTGTATCATTTAAACTCACAATAAGAAACTAAAATGTTGTATTCAGTTCATATTCTTTCCCCATTAGGTAGAATTTCAATTATAGCGAGTCATTTATGGACATTGGTCTCTGCTCCGTATAGACCAGAGGCTCAGTGTGTCATCGCATTTCCTGTGTTTGAACTGTTTGATTCTGTTGGTGGATTTAAGGTAATACACAAATACATTGAATCATCAGGTTTAGCGGTAGACAGTGTAAAGCAGCGAGTGTGGAGGCTGATGCGGCCTCTGCGGCAGACTCACCGCTGTTTCCTGGTGGCTGCAGGTTGTGTTTGGTGAGAGCGCACCAGCCCACAGGGAAGATGTCACGGGAGTCGTACTTGCACCAGTAATCGAAGGCCCCTCTCCATCCGTCGAACATGATGAAGACCTCGTCACCTCTCACTTCTCCGATGGTGGCGGGACAGATCAGGTACGGGTTCTTCTTATCCACCGCCTCCAGCTTCAAACCAGGACTGAAGTTGTTCTGAGGAGGTCTGGAAGGCTCCTAAGGGACACAGTCATCAGAGAAGACTTACATAAGATAATTATTTATAGTGTCATGGTGTGGATTTTGTCATTTTGGAATTTGGTTTTATTTTGACATCTGTTGTCTGTGCTTTGGTTTTAGTTTGACTTCCTGTCCTGTTTTCCCCAGTCTTGATCGTCTGCTCCGCCCTGATGTATTTCACCTGTGTCTGTGTCTATATGTACCCTGTGCTCCTCTCCTCTTGTGGCTGGTCCTTTGTATTGTCAACGTCCTGTTTTGTCTTGTCAAGTTCTGTTCCTGGTTCCTTTGTATTTTTTTGAGATTTGTTTTCACGTCGGAGTGGAGTGGACATTATTTTATTAAATTATTATTTTTGATGGATCTTCCATTCATCTCACCCCACCTCGTGACATATTGTCTCCCATTGGAGAAATGTGTGTTCTGCTTCATGATGAAAGGTATGGCAAGTTAACCAAAACCAGAATTACTTTTTTGAAGGCTGCGACTGGAGCCATCTCTGCTCCATTCAAAGTCCTCAAGAGGAACATTGGCCAAGAGGAAGCATTCATCCGAAACCCTGCAAACACAAATAATAGATCAATTAAACATCATGATTCTTGATTCTCCGTTCCGAGAACAATGGGTTGGAGATTTTTTTTACAGTGTGCTGCTCATGCAGCGTGCGTTTACTCCAACAACATAACCACTAGAATTACATGTTACCTTTGCAATAAGTCTGGAGAAAACTTGCAGCTTGTGCTTATTTTTTGACAAAATGATAACATGAAAGTATGGAGGATCTGTTAAACGGTTAGCCAATTTCAAATATGTGGCTGGAAATCAATTTGTTCCAGTGACTTGGGCACTACTTTTGGAGACTGGTTTTAACTTCACGTGTATCTGATCATACTCTCCATGAAATTTCCAGCGACTATTTAATCACAAATCAAATTCAATTCAAGTTCACTCATCAGTGAAATGCTATTCTTAAATACACTTAAACATTGATAATAATTAAACATAAATACAAATATGATCCTCATATATATAATATACCAGATTAGGCTTTTATTACCAAGTTCAAATGCTTGCATATTCAAAGGTTTGATTGTACATGGAACATGTATATGGATTATTTATGATCAATATCACAAAAATCTAATCAAATACCTGCATCATTTAAATATCAAAATATGGATAGATAACACAATAATGTAAATGGCAATGAAGGCACATTTTGTGACACTGATCTGATCAAAATGTAATTTTCAACTTTTTAAATTTAACCTTTAAGAATTTAGGGAAAATAATCAGCTGACAATATGGAATCAAAAATACTGTAATAAATAATAAATCTAAAAGAACTCATATCTCTTGGTCATTTTCCTTTTTGTTTTTACACACCACACATTTTTAGAGGTCTGTACACTGTACAGGATAGCTTGGCTTTGAGACAGGAGCACCTTGCACTCTCACAGTTCCCCAACTTAACTCAGCTTTACAGCCTCATAACAGATTCTGGGGCTGGATCATTGGTCATCCACTCTAATTTTAGATCCTTATTTTCTTCAAGGATCCAACCATGACTATCAGGGGAGGGTGCCTCTATCATGTGCTGCAGAGATCTTTGATGGATATCTGCCTGATAGTTTTCTCTTCGGTAGAGAAAGCTGTCTTATTGCTACACAATCTTTGCCCCGGTTGTGATGATGAATGTGCTCAACAAAACAAAAATCAATAATTTTCCATATCTACCAAATTGAATCACCGTTTTCAGCCACATCGCCCAGCCCTAGCTATACAAGAATAAACTGAATTGAATTAGGTAACACCTGAACAAAAATGACAAAGTCAATAAACACAAAAACTAAATAGATGCAGCAAGAGTCAGCAATGCAATAATAGTTTAGAGAATGAATCTATTTGCCTAAATAAATTACCTGCCCCCAATGCAGTGAGGGTTTTGAATGGAGAACTTTTATATATGTAATCTATGTTGGACACAGCTCAGATTTTAGTGCATCCCTTCATATCTAATTTAACTTTAACTTTTTTTTAAAAACTTGTTTGGACAGGGGTCATTAAAATTGGTAACCCTGCTTTAAAAGTACATGTTCCATGAATAATAAATGTATTTCCATGGTCTATGCTGGAGAACACAGTTATCCAAATGTAGCATGAGATACAGTTTCCTGGATCCTCACCCAGCGGTGGCTGCAGCATGTCTCCGTTCTTTTCACAGGAGCCGATGGGCTGGATGTCGGCCGAGTCCACGAGTCTCCAGAAGTCGTTACTGTTGTCACCGCCATCCAGCCGCAGACGCAGTCGCACGCCAGTCAGCCCCATCACCGTGGCGATGCACACTGACGTGGCGTTCCGTGGGTCATGGGCCTCCAGCTTCATGCCCACCTTAAAGTCATTCGATGGCGGCACTCGAGCCTGCGGGGAGAGTTCAAATTTTCATAAAGTTCATAAAGGAGAAGAGATGATCTGGTCCAGGGCACCAAAGTCTGGTCTAATTGCTAGTGATCTATCCTGCATTATTTGATTTAGATGTATTCGTCAACACACAGTCAACAAGGCAAATCTATGTGTTAAACGTGAGTAATGCCCATCAGCAAATCCTAAGAAGCTCTGTAACAGCTGTTATTTTGTGCTTTACAATAGTTATTTTTCACTTTTGAGCCTAAAACCGTCTGTGTGGCGCCCTCTCTATATTTTCGGTGGCACTACATTAGAGCCCTGCACGGGCCTATTATGTGGGCCCGGCCCTGGCCCAAGGGGGTGGCGCCCCGGCCCGGCATGGTTTCTGAATTTTCAGGCCCAAATCCCGCATCAAACCTTTTTTTTTTTACCTCCCATAACAATGTTTTTAGCGTAGAAAAACCCGGGCTGTCGGGCCCTCGGGCCATGGGCTCAAGTGCAGGGCTCTACACTACATTTGAATTTGGTGCCTGGCCTCCCCAATGGCTCTGGAGTGCAAAATGACGTTGCTTTGTACTGTGTGACGTCCGTCTCTCTGCGCCTGTGGTATAGGAAGATCTTTGTTTACACCTCGCTGGGTGGCAAAAAGACAGAGCGACACATACTGAAGCATGGATGCGCTGAGTACTTTCAAAAGACTCAGTGGGAGAATAGCACTGTATATAAGCCCTTCTAGGCAAGAAGCACTTTTATGCAAGAAGATCAAGCTAAAAATAAGTATATGAGACTGAAATGAACAAATTCAAAGCCCATAGTCCTGAGATGTCGAGAAAAATATTGGTCAGACTCGCTTCTGTCTTGGCACCAATCTGCTGGGACTGGGAGACATTCATTCTTACTTCATAGAAAACTCGGGACCCTTCACGCAAGAAGGGTCCGTGGTGCATTTTTTTGCCGCTGATGTAAAGTGGTCCGCACATTAAAAGCGGGTTGCCCCTTTTTGCCGTTACTTACGGTAAAGGTGGAACAGGAAGCCGCGGGGATGAGTAACCAAAATGCAATGTTTAAATTTAAGCATCATTCATGAATTAATGAATGAATAATTGGGCAGTGAAAGTAGTTGCAAGACATAAATTTGTTTATGAATTTTATCCCCTCATCCCCCATTTTCCCTTTCTACGTTTATCGTAGGTAACAGCATAAAAGTGAAATCACATTACTGCGGCCTTTTTTCGCAGTTTCTTTCCAAAAGAAATAGAAATAAAACTTAATCTGTCCCCAGCAGGCCGTACAATTCAATTCAACTTTATTCCGGACTCATAGTCCAATAAAATAAAATAAAAATAAAGGACAAGACAAACAATTAAAATGGCATTTTAAAAAGACAATCATGCCAATGTCTCCACAAGTCAGATTGATACCGTGTCGCACTCCATTTTATATTCGTGAGGGACACTATTATTTCATTTTCAGACGTGTTCAATCGACACATAAAGCTGTACATCAAAGTTCGTAGCACGACCTGTAAAGTGTTCACTCTGGCATTAACAAACATTTCTGTGGCACTTGACCATCTCGGCTTTTTCAACAGTTTTTCCTGTGTTCAAACTGTTTGATTTTCTACAACGTTGGCAATTTCTTATCAACAGATTAAAGTCCTTCAAGATGACTGTTGTGATTTAGGACTGAATTGAAATTGTTGTTGTCTTTGTATATGATAAAATTAAATTAAAAGATAAAAAACATAAATACACATTTTTGATGAGATTATATTTATGCTGAAATGTATCAATTATTTTTTATGAATCAATTTGTTGTTTGGCAGCAAAACTACAGCTATTCTAGGGGAAGTACATATACAAGTACCTGACGAAAGCAGCTGGCTGGAGCCGGGAGGGATGAGGTTTCTTTGAGGTACTCGTCCCACGTGAAAGATTCTGTGGAAAGAGACATTTGTGGATAAACTTAAATATGACAGACTTTATGCCACAAGGATCAATATGTGGAGCTTTTTACCTGTTGGTGGAAGAGATTTTGCAGGCCTCTCCTTTTTGCCATCTTTAGGATCCACTGTCACAGACATAGAGACAGATCAGTGGGAACAGAGGTGGGAGCAGGAGCAGAAGCAGAGGTGGTTTTTTTTGGTGAAACTGTGGTGACTGTTACCTTTAAGCGGAGTCTTCCCCATGATGACAGATGAACAATGATGACGGAATGATGTAGGCTGTCGCTGACTCACTGGCTCTTTGTACTCGAGGAGTTTAAGCCTAAAATAATACTGGAGAAACAAAGGATTGATAAAAGGCTTAAGATATTTGTGGACTAAAGAGGATGACAAGTTTATTTGATGATGGAATGCAAAATAAAAGTTATTGTTCTATATCATAAAGAAATAAAACACATACATTTAAATTTCCCCTATAGCTGGGTGTTGAAAAAATAATTATAATAATAATGCATGGGATTTATTCAGCGCTTTTATTGGAAACTCAGACACTTCACATGTCATTATTCATTCACTTCAAACACGGCGGTGATAAACTAGTACTGTAGCCACAGCTGCCATGGGGCACACTGACAGAAGCGAGGCAACCAGTCTGAGCTGTCGGCCCCTCTCACTACCACCAACCCAAAAGCGTAAATGAGCATAGAGCCAATACCAAAGTTCCCTGTATTTGCATTTGGTCCTGTCCAGGTAACTTAAATGTCCATTAATCGTTTCACATCACTAATATTTTACACTAATCTAATCATGTTGCCTTGATAGTATGTGTTGATAGTGAGCAACACACCAAAAAGAGCAGTTGTTTTATGGACTCCATGCGTCCTGTCATCAACAGCTGACTCACTGACCTCTGAGAGAGACCTACAGAGGCTGACTCACACCCAAGAGAGGCAGCAGAATGCTGTGTAAAGGTTAACTACACTTATTATATTCATTAATTTAGAGCAGAAAATTGTAGCTTTTCCATGACTATAAATGTAATATAGAAAGTAATAGCTAGACCAGTACATCCAATAGTTGGATTGCCCTGTTAAACTTCACATATTCAGCACAATTTTCACAGCAAAGAGAAAAGAAAAATGTTAAAATTCACATAATTTATAGAATGACAAACAAGAATTGAGCACGAGTATATGCATGTAGTATGAGATTTAACTGAACTCAACAATGTAAATACAAAAGTTGGAAATTCCAAGACTAGAAACCAGAGATAAGAAATGACGACCCTAGGAATTCCAGTAAGGACACTCCCCCTTGAACTAGGTATTTTTCTACCGCAACAAGAAGCAATGGAGTAAACAATATAGATTAACGCAGTGCATAACACTGTGGAGCTGTGTATTCTATTAGTAAAATACTAGTAATAAAATCTATTGACAAATACATAATAATGCATGAAAGTCATGTCCAGGAAAATTCCTCACCAACTTATACATCACGGGCAGCTACTACTGCGTAATAAATCATTAGTAATTAGTTACATTTATAAGTTAACTTTATAAAAACAGACTATATTTGAAAATAAATAAAAAGTATCCAAGTTGTACATCATGCATTCGTTTTCATTTTACCCAAAGGCTAAAAACAGCTAACGTTACCTACGCATTGTTTACAAACACACTGCATAAAAAACAGTGCAATTCCTCTGAATAGTAGCCTACGTTTTACTGTGTATTTCTACAAAATGAACATTTAAAGTTACGAGCCCAAATAATAGAAATTCAGTTTTTACAGGATTTGTTAGCCTTTGCTCGCTAGTGGCTAATGTTAGCAACAATGTTATCCTATGGACGGAGGCTAACGTTAGCATCAGTGTTATCCTATGGACGGAGGCTAACGTTAGCATCAGTGTTATCCTATGGACGGAGGCTAACGTTAGCATCAGTGTTATCCTATGGACGGAGGCTAACGTTAGCATCAGTGTTATCCTATGGACGGAGGCTAACGTTAGCATCAGTGTTATCCTATGGACGGAGGCTAACGTTAGCATCAGTGTTATCCTATGGACGGAGGCTAACGTTAGCATCAGTGTTATCCTATGGACGGAGGCTAACGTTAGCATCAGTGTTATCCTATGGACGGAGCTACGCATCGCTATTGCTAAGTATGCTATTGTATAATTGTACCTAACGTAGCCAACTTACTGACGTTATTTAAGACAGAATTATCAATAAAAATAGTCTTACGTGTGCCGCGCTTTCTCCTACGATCAACTAAGGAGCTTTCGTCACTTTTCTGTAATCGCCAGTTGCCATTTTTCCTACAAATGTACCAAAAGGCATGTAATATACGACAAAGATTGTTTTCGGAGAAGGTAGTGAGACGCTGCGTGAGAAAGCCAACGTAGTTGCCAATCCGCTTCCGTATTGCCTTATGCTTTAGCCAATCCCTGACTAGTGTACTCCTATGGACCAATCAGATAACACATACAAAGGTTGTTTTTGTTTTTGAGTGCGTAAAGTTGGGTGCGCCATCTGTGTCGTATACGATCTGTGTAATATTTGTCTCTTCTTTCTCCCGCTACTGGCTGAGGATAGAAATCCGAGGGGAAACTAAATATAAATTAAAAACCTTTAGCTTTTTACGATCTGCGTCGCTTATACTACTTTCACGTTAACCTGCACTGTAAAATATCTATTGTGTGTACATAATGTGCACCTGTAAATATGTTTGGAAGAGATGTTTACATCTAACTCATAAAGGCATAGCCTGGTCGTACCCATAGACTGTATGTCGCACCACACCATAGTACAAACTACATTTGTGAGATGATGATTGAGTGGAGTGTACGGATGGCTAAGGCCAGGCTAATAAAGGCATGTATAAGGAAAATTATATAAACGTACAAACTCCAAGTTTGTGACTGTGTGTTACTTACAATGGGATTAAAATCCAACTGATTTCACTATTCTGCACCTTTCATTCAATGTAATAAATAGGAAGTTGAATAATTATTTTACTAGGTTTTGTTTGAATAAGTAATGGAATTTTTACAAGCATAGACTATATAGCACTGAATACAAATGATGTGCGTCCTGAGGATGATAATTAATAATAATAACAAAACATTTGTTTTATACAGCGCTTTTTTGGACACTCCGCTTTATTCATTCACTCCAAGCACAGTCGTGATAAACTACTACTGTAGCCACGACTGCCCTGGGGCAAACTGACAGAATTGAGGCAAACAATCTGTACCATCGGCCCCTCCCACCAGCAACCATTCAAACACACACACACACACACACACACACACACACACACACACACACACACACACACACACACACACACACACACACACACACACACACACACACACACACACAAGACTCACACCAGACTCATTCTATTGTGGGTGTGTTTGCCTAAGGACACAACAAAACGAACTGAAATGTCACCAATAACTTTATTAGGCTAAAGATAGAGATTTATATTTGTATGATTGTGTTGCACTTAATATTTAATTATCTTGTGTTGTGCTGTGTGCTCCTCATTCTCACTGCTCTGTAACTGGCGATGCAACACTGACATTTCCCCACTGTGGGACGAATAAAGGATCTTTTTATCTTAAACTATGAATACCTCATGAATTAATTTTTTTTTTTTTAAAGGAATCCATTTCTTTTGCTGTGATTTCAAATTTGGGGCGGATGCAGGCAGTAGAATAGGAGCAATATCACGTTGATAGTTTCTGTAGTTTTTTTATTGAATGATAATAATGAAATGTAATAAAATGTCACGTTGCAGATAACATTTCTCCTTCGGTTTGAACCACCGTGTGTCCTGTAGGGGGCAGTATAAGGCTTATCTTGTATAATCACTATCACAGTCCATTAGAGAGTTGTTTTCACTGTCTTTATACTGTTGATGAATATTTTGATTGTCTCCATGTTGTTCTTATGGATAAACCATGGGGTAATGTATCTCAAAATTTGGGTATTTACTTTTATATTCAACTTTTATATTTTATATTCAATATTCCGAGGCCTCGACACTGGGATCTCTCTTCACAGACCTCCCATCCACACAAACACCTGGACTGTACTATTGTTCACCAATGTTATTTATATTTACATTAAGTTTAGTTCCATGGAGTTTGAAATGGGATGTCTGTGTTGCTCTCACTACAAAAACATGAACATAACAACATAATCAACGTTTCACTAAACCTGTTTAACTCATTATAAAAGATCCATGGTTTAACTTCAATCTCTGAAACACTCATTGGTCAACACACATTCTAGTTCAAACAAATGGCTGAACCCTCTGAGGAGCTTTAGTTTTGGCCTCTGATGACTCGTTCGCTCAAAGTACAAGTGGGAACAAGAACAAGAACAGAAAATGGTCGACCTCCAAAGTCCACATACATTTTTCCATGGTTCATATAGAGCTATAGTTTGTGTCTGAGGGTCAAATTAGCTGCAACACGACTAGCTGTGACCAAACTCCTGAAACATAGATTCAGGACCTGTAATAATATAATACTATGATAATTTAATAGTTTACTTTTGAATGAGCTGGAAACGGCAACAAGTCCTAAGTAGCTCTGAAGCTGTTGTTTTGTGGTTTACAGTTTCCAGACCAGAGCAGAGAGGATTCACGGATCGAAGCAAGCAGATCAAGAGGAAATCCACTGGAGGAGTTGGGGGATTTTATGGAAAATGCTAACAAAGCATTCAGCATTTTACTATGGACCAGAGCAGAGAACATTGGTCCGAAACAAGTGGCTTCACCTCTGCTGCTGTGACCCGTCCTGCTCCACCCAGCAGCTACTCCACCTCTGCTGCTGTGACCTGTCCTTCTCCACCCAGCAGCTACTCCACCTCTGCTGCTGTGACCTGTCCTTCTCCACCCAGCGGCTACTCCACCTCGGCGACCTGTCCTTCTCCACCCAGCGGCTACTCCACCTCGGCGACCTGTCCTTCTCCACCCAGCGGCTACTCCACCTCGGCGACCTGTCCTTCTCCACCCAGCGGCTACTCCACCTCTGCTGCTGTAAGTACAGTAAGTAAGTAATCTTTATATAGCGCCTTTCACAGACCGGAGTCACAAAGCAGTTTACAATTGTTATTTTTGGGCACTTGTCCTCTCACTCCACACAGAGAGATGGGAGAGGGGTCGTCGAACAGGAGGCACATGCCAGACCTATTTTACATATTTTTAGTGGTAGGGGAAACTGTAGTACCCGGAGGAAACCTACGCAGACACAGGGAGAACATGCAAACTCCACTCAGAAAGGCCCTGGTCCGACCGGGATTTGAACCCAGGACCTTCTTGCAGAGAGGCAAGAGTGCTATCCACTCAGCCACTGTGACCCGTCCTGCTCCACCCAGAGGCTACACCATCTGTGCTGCTGTGACCTAAAGTGCAGTTGCATTTTAATACTACTACTATTGTTAGCTGTACTTATAGAATTATCTATTTATTTGTTTTGTTTGTATGGATGGATGTGTCCTTGGTTCAACTCTCTCCTACAGGGATCAATAAAGTAATTATAATACTGTAATAATATAATAGTATGATATTGTAATAACATAATACTGAAATAATATAATTCTGAAATAATACAATACAATAATACTATAATTACAGTAACAGTAATAATTGGTCTATATTTCGTGTGTGTGTTTCGAGTTCAAATTGGTCCTGGTCCCAGATTGTTTAATCAAGTGGATTTCCACTTCCAGACAAGACCCTGTGTTTACATGTTCTCTCACAGTCTGAGTAGGGCTCCTCCGGGCGCTTTGGTTTCCCCTTCCACTAAAAAGGAGGTTCTGAAATCTCAGTGGGACATGGTTAAATACAAATCAATAATAGATTTGATTGGAAATAAGAGGGATTACTCTTAATGTCATGTAATAGTTTACTTATTTATTATTTATGAAGAGTAAAATCCAGGTCCCTGTTTGCAGGATTAAAAACTCTGGGCATGTATACTTTTGAGACTTGCTCATAAACGATATATTGTTGCCAACCACCCTTTCCAGTCGACTAATCAATCATCAGGGCATGTCTTTAATCGACCAAGAATGTCAATGGTCGACTACAGCCCTTGATATAATTATTAATACCTCGTGAATAAAAAAACAACACCAACACTTCCCGCCCACAGCCCTGTACTGCTCTCTGATTGGCTTCCTGGAAGTAGGCATTCCCATAAACAAGACCAGCGGGATCTCTGATTGGCTCGGATCGCTGTCTGTCAAGCTGTTGCCTAGTGATGTCGCTCGCAGCTTGTCAACCACACGATCCAGTTACTGTAGCTGCTGGTGCAATGAGAATATCCTCCTCCTCCGTCTGTGGGTGGATACATGGGCCCTTCTCCTCAATTCTGTCCCAAAAAACTGACTTTGCTTTTCCCAATATCAGAGGAATTACACCATATGCACGTGTAGGGATTTCTGCTCCTGCTGCACACGTGAAAGGTAATGTAAAGCTTGTGATATTAACCCGCAAAGATATGTTTTCTGATTGGAATGTGTCAGAAGTTAATGGTAATGTTGCTAAGAAGTCAGTGAGAAAGCTGCGATCTAGCTGGTATAATGTATGGTCTGTAAGGCTGCTTGTAGAATGAATTAAATGTAAAGTTGTGATTTATTAGCTGTTAGAAGGGGATGGGCGGTGTTTTATTGGTCTGGCGTAGTTTACTTTTACACACGCACTGGCTTCAATCTGTCAAGGAGATTATTGTAATGTCAAATTTAATGTCATATTAACTACTAACAATAACACCTATGGAGAAGATACAAACCAAGACAAGGATACTTAAAACTTTGAAATTAGACTAATCTTACTATCTGTGTTATGTGTGAGTTTATGCCACAGACTGTAAATATACATAAATATACTTTTAACAAAAAACATATAAGAACAGAAATTGCATTGTGTTGTGAACCATTACTGTTCCAGTGAGTGGACTTGTTACTAGTGCTTATACATTCACACAATGGAGATTATTGATAAGTTTCTGATTTACCCCAAACAGCAGCATGGATGACATATGAGGAGGTTTTTAAAGGTCTGCTATTGTGAATTCCTCAGGCTCAGGCCATTACCACGCATGAGTCATTCTGTTCACACACACAGACAAAATATAAGATGCTCACAGTGCCCAGTGCATTCCTGATCATATTAGTCCTGCAGACGTGAACCCAGGAGTCGATAGCCGGAATCTCCTATGGATTAATGGAAAATGTTAAGCACCTTTGATTATAGCAATAAGCAAATCTATGTGATATAGTGTACGTGGTTTTGTCATGTGCCTGCATGCACTGAAATTATATCGTGAGCATGCGCAATAAAAAAAAAAGTGCCATGAGTTGGTGCACCAAGGTATTGCTGGCAGTCTGTTTCATTATAATATATCCATGGTTTCTCCCGAGAATAGGAAGTGCTAACTAACTACATTGGTGACTGGTATAGCGTTAGACCAATGCTTCAGGTTATGGGCCCAGTCATTCAAAGGTGGTTTAGTATTTTATTCGACAGTTTTATTTGACAGTGAAAAACTCTGGGAAACGCAGTTTTTCGCAGGCAGAGTTACACAGACTCAGAGACAGTATCTTGGAAAACCGGCTAATAGATGAGAATGCGGTGCCGCTCTCGCAGAAGATGAGGTAAAGAGCTGGTGCAATGTCTGGACTACAAGAGTTTGCCGTTAATAACAAGTTTTAAATGAAACTGCATGAGAGTACAGAAAAATATGGAAAGACTGACGTGAATGCTGAAGAAGATAAAGTGATAAGAGCTAGCTAGAGATCACAAGGTAGAGGAAAGAAAATTGACCTGGCTAATGTCTAGTGTTACACTTGTGGGAAAAAGGGACACATGGCGAGGACATGTCCTGACAAATTTCAAACAAGAAGAGAGGATCAAAAATGAAACACACCACATCAAGGAAGGGGATGTGACCATATAGCTGATGGGGCGGCAGAACCTAAATTCTTCTGTTGCTTCAAGTTGAGTGACTCTTCTCTGCAAAAAGGGAACAAGAAGGGTCTCATGGTCGACTTTGGCGCCACCACACAAGTGATCAATGACCCCACAAAGTTCAAAATCAACGAGATTAAGAGTCAACAAGAGCTTCAGACCTGAGGACCACATGATTGAGCTTACCGATGGGACCAAGCTTGTGACGACGAGTCAAAACAAGGCTCAAGCAAGCACGCTTCATCCCATCATTTCCACACACAAAAAAATCTGTCAAGTCAGCTACAGCCAATAGAGTCGAGCTACACTTCAAAGACGATAGTAACTGGCTGGTCCACCAGGATGGTACCTAGTTCAAAATGCATGTGTAAAGTTTTCTTAGCACAGTAGAAGATGAAGTGTATGGTTGTCATGAGATTCAAGCCTGGCATAGGATACTTGATCATTGTAACTGTGATGATATTGCAAGATTAGAAAAGGTGGTTGAAGGGATGTCAAATAAAGGGAAACATGAAAAGTCCGACCAAAACTGTGTGTAAACTGTACCTATGTGCATATTTCAAAGTAGTACACACATACCTGTTTGGCCCTATAGATAGATAGATAGATAGATACTTTATATACTATATTGATCCTCTGTAGGAGAAATTCAGGTGTCCAACAGCAGAAGACTCTTTTTTTGTTGTTGAACAGTCAGTCAGGTTTGTTGTACAGTCAGTCGGTCAGTCAGCCTGTTAAGAAATGTTATGTTTTATTAGCATATTAATAAATGTGTGGGTCTTCATATAGATTGTGATGGGACAATTTCAGCACTCAATGGCAGAAAATCACTTATCTAAGTCATGAGGTCAATGTGACGTTGGAGACAGTTTAACCAGGACTGGTCTACAAGATTATTGAATGACATGTGTATTGATGACATCCTGTGCCTTGTGACCAACCCATGAGGCGTCTGATACTTAAGCAAGCAGTGTTGCTCGATTCATTGTCTTTTTGCTTTACATCTAGCGAGACCCGGACTAGTGCAGTCTTTAAAATTGTCTGTGTGTGCTGATGTCGAGATAACTGTAGTTTGAACCAGCGTTGACAACATTTATTAAAGGGATTATGTTGTTGAAATTTGACTAGTTTTTCACACAGACGAAGGAACAAAGGATCTCTTGAAACGTTCCGTTCTGCAGCATAGTGATAGGAGCCTGTTGCTTCAATTACTCCTCTGAGCGGCCACAGTGTCATACAGAGGGTGTCTGGAGTTACCCAGGATGCCCTGCATAGAGCCAGCAGATAAAGATGGATGCAGATATGCAATAGCATTTACTGATGATTACAGTAGGGTGACATTTCCATACTTTATCAAAGCAAAGAGTGACACAACAAAAGCCACAGAGTAATTCATATCCAATGTTGCTCCATATGGAAAGATAAAGTGCATAAGGTCAGCCTAATGAGAGGAAAGAGTCCAGTGTTGAAGAGACAGAGCAGAGCCACCTTAGACCGAGAATGAAGCTATTCTACAAGAGAGAAGAAGGCTCCAGAATATAGAGTACCCATGTAAAACTGAGTGTAATATTGATGAAAGAGGGCACGTTGATTATTTCTACAAAGGGATGTACTTAAAACATTCACAGGGGCTATGGACTCAAGAAGTAAAAAATGTGGGTTAGCGCAATGACAGAGGAGACTTTCACTCTGACTCCACTGCCAAGAGGCAAGCATGCAGTGGAATGTCGCTGGGTATATGCGGTGAAAGGCCCTGATGGATTAGCAACTTGTAAAGCAAGATACTTCGCAAAAGGTTATGGCCAAGTGAAAGGAATTCACCATAAAGATACCTTTTCAGCAACAGCAATACCCTACACCAAATGGATGTAAAGACCACTTACCTTCATTCTCCGATTAACTGTGAGGTGTACATGGAACAGCCGGAAGGTTTTGAGGTCTAGTCAAAAACTGGAGAACCAGTTATTGTATGGTTTGAAAAAGTCCGGGCATAATTGGAACATGTTGCTGCATGATCACCTTACAGGGAATGGTTTTATTCAAAATGATGCTGATAATTTTGTTTACAGCATAAAATCAGAAAGTGAGATAGTGATTATGTTAGTATGGGTGGATGACTGAGGCCATGTCCACACGTAGCCGGGTATTTTTAAAACCAAATATTTCCCCCCCTCCGTTTATAAAATATTTTGCATCCACACATAACCGAACATCTGTGTTTTCAATAACATTCAAAACAATCCAAACATGTGCGTCCTCTGACGTCCTTTCCTGCGTTGGAGAAAAACACAGAAGTGGGCGGAGCTTTGATGCAGACGCTGGTACTTCTGTAGCTCCACTTTTACAGTCACAGTAGAAACTCAGGGTAAAGACATATGTTCACAAGCACTGACCCCCGTCCTCAGCCCTGGTTTAGTCCTGGTTTAGTCCTGGTTTAGTCCTGGTTTAATCCTGGTTTAGCTCCTGTTTTGGTTGTTTTCGAGCGCGAGTCCCCGTGATCACTTTGCTGCTCTCTGATGTGGAGCGAGGATGTTCGCTGCTGCGAACCGCTCATGGCAGCGAACAGTTTTTGTAAGATCCTTCTTCAGTGATCAGAGGTTGCACGTTTTGTTTGTTGTTGTTTTCGGGGCATACTGTGACGTGCGAAAACGCAAAACTCTGGTTATCTCTGTCTACACGCAAATGCATAAACAGAATTTTCAAAAATCTCCACTTTTTTTAATATATTTGTTTATGATGCGTTGTCATGTGGATGACAGGTGCAAACGAAGACATATATCTGCGGTTTAGCAGATACCCGGCTACGTGTAGACGGGGCCTTAATCATGGCGGCGTGTAGCAATGCCTTACTCAGTGATGATGAAGAATTGTTACAGAAAAGGTTTAAGATGAAGGATATGGGTCCACCTAAACACTTCATGGGTATTGATTCCAGATAGAGTGAAGGATAGATCAAAATGACTAAATGAAAGATGTTTCGAATGTCAGAATTCAAGCCAAGATCCATGCAAGCAAAAGTTACACTTTGACAGCAAGTGTGAAGTTATCGATTCAACTGGTCATAGAGAGATAGTAGGTAGCTTCATATACATTATGACATGTACTAGACCTGACTTGAGCTTGGTTGTAAGTAAACTAACATGACACCTAGCAGAACCAAATCAACAGCATTGGACTGCAGCAAAACACCTTCTCAGGCACTTAATTAAGGGCACTATTGACCCCTTGCATGTGACGTCCCGGCCACGCCCACTCTCCATGACAGACGGCCCGAAGTCTAACTGCGAGCCTACAGACACCTGACCAAAACAACCTGTTTCAGCGCATTACAACCAAAACTGTGACATTTTGCAGTGCGGTTGATTATACTAACAGGCAAGGACATAAGCTTTTTTATCTGATACCTGCTCGTCATGAAGACAGAAGACAACGATGGCCAGCGGCAATCAACCAAAAGGACTGGGACCCATCCAAGTACTCCCTAATATGCAGTGAACACTTTTTACAAGATAAAGCAATCACAAGTTTGTATTTATTTTATTTCCATTAATGTGGAGGACAATGACACACGTCAAACGTGTCTCTTACTACTGTCCTGTATGTGCGCTGCAACATTGACATTTTTTTCTTTTAAGTCAATTGCGTGTTTCACTATTTTCCTCTCCGTCAGTACGTATCATGTTTGGCTTTAGACAGAAAAGCCACAGAAAAGTGGACTATTGCTAATGCGACCAGCAAAATGTACATATAAATCTGCTCCAGTGTAAGGGGATGCATTGTTAACGATAATGATAAAGATCATGTAGGGTGAATTTGGGCAAAAATAGACATTTTATTTAATCAATAAAATTGACTGGGGGGAGAAGGTACGGTCAACATCCAGTTAGGCGATCCTTAACTTCTCCAAATACCACTCTTTGTGAGCCCTGACCTGATGTCCTACTTCCACCTATAACGTAATCGAACATTGCTTGAAGCAGCCACTTCTCGATTTAGGAGAGGAAGCTCCGTTTTTAAGAGTTGTGTCCGTTTTGCTCTCGCAGCAATGCTAGTTTCCAATACTTCCGCCGTAAGCTCATTCACAATCACGTGACTGGATGACGTTGATGCATCTGGTCAATAGAGCAAGAGCTACACTTCCAGAGAACTGAGAAAAGCCTTCAGCTTGAGGGATATAGTGATGCTGATTGGGCAGCCGATAAAAATGATTGGAGGAGCACAACAGGAGAGTGTTTCAGCTTAACTGAGAATGGTCCAGTCATGGAAGAGCAGTAAACAGCCTACGGTGGCTCTCTCCACCTGTGAAGTTGAGTATATGGCCTTAGCAGCCACTGCTCAAGAGAATAATGTACCTTGTGCAACTACTTAAAGGTATAGAGATATATAGGTGTAGATATAGGTATAGTCTTCGGCTTCAATTTCTTGATAGTACCAGAACTATATCTATATTTACTATTGCATTCTTTGCCATTGCCAAACTACAACTGCCCCATTCGGCACAAACTCGTCACTACGTCACCCACAACTAACTACAACACCCGCCTCCGGCGCTCGCTGATTGGTCGGATGGAATTCCATCAATGTAATTGCAGACACTGGGACTAGACCTAGACCCAGGCTATCCTACTGCAGACATGGTAGCTGATGTTTTACCAAGCCAGGGACGAAGGCACTATTTGTGAGTATTTATTTTGGAGAGTAATGTTAACTGGCACATCTAAATGTGTTTTGAAGTGTTTACAATGCCAGTATGCCAAAGGTATTTTGAGTTATTATGTCTTTGAGCGGGAGTGTTTAGCACTTTTGATTATATCAATAAGCAAAGCTATGTTATATAGCGTGATGTCATGTGCCTGCATTCACTAAAATGATATTGTCAGCATGCACAATAAAAAACAATGACGTGAGTTTGTGCACCAAAGTAATGATGGCTATTTTTACAGTGAATAGAAAGTGCTAACTAACTACATTGGTGACTAGCGTTAGGGGGCTGCAGAAATGAAAACAATGGTCTAGAACAGCTCACTGTAGAACTCAGATTGAACTGTTGAAATCCAAGCATCGTCGAGGTACTTTCAAAACTGAAATCGATGAGTTGACATTTGGATTCTTGTCGCCATTCTTTTGATGTGATTTTTCATTGGGTCTGTCCTTGTGTTGTTTGGACTAGATTGGTAACTGTTAAATCACAATCTCAATCATGAACATGTACAAACAAATGCAGAGACACCATCAAAGTGAGGATGGACTGAAGAGGAGTTATTCTAGATAGACAGACAGATAGACTAGAAGACAGATTAAGAACAGTCTTTTCTTTCGTCTTTCATTTTAAGAACTAAATTCATCCATCCATCTTCTTCCACTTCATCCGTTGCCTGGTTGCAGGGGCAGCAGTCTTAAGAAAGATGCTCAGACTTCCTTCTCTACACATACCTGTACCTCCTCCAGCTCTTCTGTCATCTGGGGGAATCCTGAGGCGTTCCCAGCTGAGAGACACCGGGTCTTCCCCTGATTTCGTCCTGGTGGGGTACAGGAAATTTTGATTCATTGTAATTTTAACCCCACATTGCCCAGCTTTATACTGTATCGTAGAAACTTCGTGTTAGAAAGATCTGGAATGGAATTTTAACCTTAGGAACATAAAAAATACTATTATTTTGTGTTTAAAATGATCATCCAAAGAGCAGGATTCACAGTTTCGTGACAACACTATTTACAGAGCTCTGTTATTTCACTCGTTGTGGGAAGAAAAGCCGAAAACCCAACAGCCCACAAACAGATATTTTTAGTTACATTACGAGACTATCAGGTCACAAACATTATCACAGGTTTGTAGCTAGTTATAATGTAGTGTACAAAAGAGAAATAAGTACTTTTTATAGTGAGTTTCTATAGCATTTAAGATCTCTGCAACTAAAATATTGACGAGTCTCTACTCTGACTCTGACCTACTCTGATCTAAACTAGGTTGAAAATATACTGTAACTGTTTAGCTGTGCATACAACTCATTCTGTTTTATATTATGTATCTCTTTAATCTTTCTTTTTAAACCCACATTTTAAAAATACCCCAATACTTGTATACAGCTTTGTTTGATATGAAATGATTGTAAATTGATGAATCTTATTGCCTTTTTGTTTTTAATAAATTTTGATCTGTGCTTTTAAATTGCTCTTGGGAAGTACTTTGAATCATGTACATTGTTAGTTTAGTGCACAGTGTATACGTTTCTGAGCTTGTGCATGTGTTTGTCAGCCGTTGGTTTAAACGCATTGTTTAGGGTCCTGTCAGACGACCTGTGTTTGAGTAATTACATGCTGGTTCCAGCTCCCACCAGTTTATTTTTGTCCTGAGGTTTTTGCATCGGTGCCCACTGCGTTGTAGGAGACTTACTATGTGTAGGTTTGTCCTGGATTCGGAAGAGGATCCGGAAGAGGAGAGGAGGAGGGAATTGAATGTGCATGGTCAAAAATGTACATTCAATTAGTCTTATAATGCAAATAATAAAGAAAAGTCCAGCTTGCAGGCACAGGACTTGCTCTCCTTTGCTAACCCAAAATAGCCATTTAGGTCATCCAGCCAACTTCAGCTCCACCAATACAATCTAATTAATTTGTGTACAGCACTAAATCGCAACAGCAGACTGAGGCTGTGGACGTAGGACTGAGGCTGTAGACCCTGGCCTAAGGCTGTAGATCCAGGACTGAGACTGTAGATCCAGGACAGTGGCTGTAGAGCAAAGATTGTGCAAGCCCTTCTTGTATGTCTGTGACGTATATGACACTCAAGCTGTTGAGAAAGAAAACATCAGTTCTGTCAATAAGAACCTGTTGTCACTGTATTTAAAACTCAGAACAAACAAAGTAAAAGGTGATTTAAGGCTTTAATGAACTCTTGATCTAATAATTGATTAGTTTAATTCCATAAATGGAGAAGTTGTCTGAATCACAAAGCATTGGATAAGTTAACAAAAACAACACTAAAATGAGAGCTTCAAGAACATCTTCTTTCAGACGAACATAACTGTTGCTTATTACAGTGTTCCCTGACCTTTACAGGCCTTGGCTCACCTTTAATTGACACATCACAAGCAAACATTAAAATCTATATAGATTTTATATGGAAAAAAATTAAACAACCGCAATAATCTTCTAATCTTCTACACCAACTACTGCTTCTCCAAGCCTCATTACTTACGTCTTATACCACCACCAGTACTTACGTCTTATTCCATCACCAGTACCTCAGCCTTATGCCTCCAGTACCTATGCCCCGGGGAGATCATAAATGTCACACAATGTTCTTCACAGGCCCATTGCTGCAGTTGGGGTCTGGGGTCTTTAATGCAGTTTCTGTCTCTGTGTTTTTTTTCACCCGATTGAAATGACGCTGTTGCTGCCACTTTATTGCAGGCTGTCAATCTTTAAACAAACTACTTTCTTCAGCTCTTTTAACGTGGCTGGTACATGTTTGTGTGCAGGTGTCTGAGCTGCAGAGGAGCTGGAGACTATGGACCAGAGACCAAGTCGACGGCTGGCTCCTCCTCTGTCTTCTTCTCTATCTATTTCTCTGTCTCCCTCTCTTTCTCCTTCTCTGTCTCCTTCTCTGTCTCCTTCTCTTTCTCCTTCTCTGTCTCCTTCTCTGTCTTTGAGTGAAGTGTCCACTGCTCAGACTTTGATTTCATGAAGATCCCTGACATCGGTGATGTAATGAATAAATTTGAAGTCCTTGGAATCGTGGGTGAAGGTACATACTTTGTTCTGTGGTTTTACATCTCTCTGGTCTCTCTCTGATCTCTCTCTGATCTCTCCCTGGTCTCTCTCTGGTTTCTCTCTATATACTGTCACATATATTGAATAAGTTGAAGCTGTATTGTTCATTGTTGCTTTAAACCGACAGTGAATTACGTATCTTCATTGCTGCTGATTCAGTCGACCTGGTTTGATATTGTTTGCTAATTTTGAAAGCGTGACATCGACCTCACAATGGCACAGCTGATCTCCAGCGTTCAGCCTGTTGTCACTAACTCACACTTTAGCTGCAGTCGGCGAGTAATCGTTTAATTGTTGTCCACGTTGACCCTTGTGGAGAGAGTGAATCATGTCCAATGGAAAAACTATTTGGCCTCATTCCATTGCACTGTTGCGGGGGGGACTCTGATTGGCTTAAACAGCTGGTCTCTCCGAAAGCACATATTTGGTTTAAATCCTCTCTCCAAAAGCTCGCCATGCCTCCTCCTCAAATATTTCTCTTCCACGAGTCGTTTGGTTGATAGAAAGAGCCCTTAGGTACGACCACCAACTCCAGGCTGTTTTAACATGCAATTACAGTGCGTCTCCACAGTGGCTCTAAAGTTGTCAGCCCTTTTAGAATCCTTCCTCAACTGTTTTAAGTGTTTCAGGGTAGATCTACTATCTCATTAATCACATGCGCTGAACTTCCCAAAGACTTCAAGTTTTCTGTCTTGCTTTTGTGCACAGAGCTTTCCGATGGGCAGTTCTCATTACATGCTTCGTTTGATATGAATGAAAAAATACATGGTGCATTATATAACTGAGGATCAAGTGTTACCACAGGATAAAGCCATAAGAATCAGAGCCGACTCCCTGAATTAAAAATAAAATGCTTTTTTCCTCGGCCCTCTGATCTTTCATCCACAGACGGCAAACAAAACTCATTTGCAAAAGTGTCATTGTGGAAACGCACGGCAAGTTAAGATAACAATCAATTATCCAGAGTCCGTGGTTTAACTGATCACATTGATAATAATGCAGTTTTTAGCCCTGTTTTCACCAGGACTCTGTTCTGCTCTGCCCCGCACCACCCTACTCCACTCTACTCTAGTCTACTCTACTCTAGCTACAACTACAGTGGAACCAGCTCCAGCGTTCTACTTCCTGTTCCACTTCAGAGCATTCATGAGGAAAGTGCAGGTGTCTTATGCAGCTGTGTCTGATGCAGTTGTGTCAAACTGAAACGCTTACCACAGAATTTTGGATTTGAACCAGATTCTTTCTGTCAGTGTGGTTATTATTTCATGGAGCTTTTAGGGTTGACCTCCTTTGACTCTATGACTCTTCATATTCATGAGACGACACTCTGAGATAACTCTGTGCTTCTCTCCAGGAGCCTATGGTGTGGTTTTGAAGTGCAGACATAAGGTAAGCACCTTTTATTACCCCTCTCTACACGTGTACTGTACACTGCCCGGCAGGCACCGTATTGCAGCTGTGTGAAGAAAAAGGTGTGAATACTCGCCCTGCAATGACCTCACCACTCTCCCTCACGTACATTTTGACACGCGCCATAGAAAAAACAAACAACAACGGCGGCGGAACAACTAATGCTGTGGGTATTTCAGTGGTTACGGAGGAGGATTCTACTCCTTCGTCCAAACAAAACAGCTGTACTTTCAGTTTGTTGCTGCTTCTGATGCAGAATAATTTTGATTCTTTGGCCTGAGGAGGATATTGTTGAGGAAGTGATTATACTGGTGGGGGTCACGTGTGTTGCGTTGCAAAGTTCCACTGCCCCCTATTTGCTGGGTGCAAGAACTACATTGTTTTTCTTAGCCGTGTTGACGCTTAGCACTTCGGAGCGGGGTCAGTTTTGCAAATTACTTGGCTGTGTCTCAGCGGTGCCTCCATCTAAAGAGGGCCTTAGAACCAAACTGTTTTGTGAGCAAGGAACTAGTTTTATTATTTTATTTTTAAATAATAAAATAAATATATAATATAATAATAAATATAGATTAACAAGCCTGATAGCAGCCTTCAAGAGGAGGACAACATTCTTATTAAAGCTCAAAGTATAGTATCCAAACTCTTGTTTAGGCCCTGATCCTTTGCCTTATGTGACCCCTCCCACTTGGTGTCAAATTGGTTTGTTCCCTTTGTCTCTTGTGAGAGATATGGATGTGTCTTCCCGCATTTAAGCTCTCAGTCTTAATCACCCTTCACTCCTCTACCCATTTTCTAATCTGCTGTTCATATAAAAGCGTATTTCACCAATTACATTTCCAGCGCCAGGAGATAATTAGCAATAGACAAAACAAAGCAGCTCTGTCTCAGTCCTCTTCAGTCCTTTAGAGAAGAGGATGTGCAGAGATTGACAGACATCCAGCCCGAATAAAGGACTAACTACCACCTACATTTGGAGACCTTCCAGTTGAGCTATTTCAGTTGTTTCTAATGTTAACTTAAGCAGCAGGATTGTGAAAGAAAAGGGAAAGAAGTCTATAATTACCAACCTTATATTATTGAATCAGATTGATCTTGGTTCTAAACAGCTGCTGAGTCTCTGCCTCTAACAGATGCCGAGTTTAGGCTCAGAGGAGTTTGTGCATCTGTGGACAGTGAGAGGAAACTGGAAGTGAAAGGAGGCGTCTTTCTGTCGGTCTAATGAGCGCAGCGATTGTTCAGCAAATTGATCCTTGAATGGCTTCATTTGGAGACTTTTGAGGTGTCATAGAAAGGAGTCACTGCAGCAAATAAGGGAAGAATCAGAGGATCCATGTTCGCAAAGAATGAGATTTGAGTTCTGGGGCGATAGGGCAATGCATGGAAGCTCAGATACATTGTAATACATGTTCGAATCAATGAAACTAAAACTAAATAAAGTCAAGATTCATTAAGCATTTATTTTTCAGGAACGAGGCTGTAGATCCAGGACTGAGGCTGTAGATCCATGACTGAGGCTGTAGATCCAGGACTGAGGCTGTAGATCCAGGACTGAGACTGTAGATCCAGGACTGAAGCTGTAGATCCATGACTGAGGCTGTAGATCCAGGACTGAGGCTGTAGATCCATGACTGAGGCTGTAGATCCAAGACTGAGGCTGTAGATCCAGGACTGAGGCTGTAGATCCAGGACTGAGGCTGTAGATCCAGGACTGAGGCTGTAGATCCAAGACTGAGGCTGTAGATCCAGGACTGAGGCTGTAGATCCAGGACTGAGGCTGTAGATCCAGGACTGAGGCTGTAGATACATTTCTTGCTGTACAAACCAGAAAAAAACTAGAAAACACTTCCACGTGGATGGTTCAATTCCTTTAAAAAGATTCCTGGAGCTGGACCTTGTGTTTACTCAAAAACATCACATACAACGTCATAAGCTTGCAGTATAACAGTAACCTTTATTTAATGTGAGAAGAAAATGTTTGTGGCTTGTGGCTCTCTGATCTCTCTCTCTGGTCTCTTTCTGGTCTCTCTCTGGTCTCTCTCTAGTTTCTCTCTCTCTAGTCTCTCTCTCTGGTCTCTCTCTGGTCTCTTTCTTGTCCTTCTTTGGTCTCTCTCTCTGGACCCTCGTTGGTCTCGCTTTGGTTTCTCACTCTCTGGTCTCTTTCTGGTTATGTTTGGTTTAGTTCAAGTTCCTTAATCACTCACCGTCTTTTTAAATCATACTGTATATTTACTGCTCCTGTGTGTCTTTGATGTTCTGTGATTCAGCATGTTGTATATTTATGGCTGAGAGGATGCTTCTGTGGCTTGTGGATCAATATGGAGCTCTGCCAAAATATAGTTGTTGTTGTTGTTGTGTGAAAAATGTCTTCTCTATAGGGGTGACTTTTGACCTCCAACGCATAATGAGGCGCACTGGTCGCATTTATAGAATATACATATGTCCTGTTCAGAGCTGAGGTTATTTATCACCATCAGAACAGAAAAGAGCTGCTTCTGCTAGGACCCAGCTGCACACAGAGCACGCCCCTGGATCTGGGTCGATACCACACGTGTATTTATCAGTAATTATTAGATCTGGGAATGTAGGAAGCACAGAAATAGATCCGAGTTAATTCAGCCATGTTCTCTCAAGAGGTGGGAGGTTTAAATAGGTGCAAGATTTCAAAGAGATGTTTTGAGATTGTATGGCAGTCCTAAACATCGGCAGGACCATGGATAGTTCCCCCGATAAAAGGCAAAAGCCACAGTCTCTCTGTCTAGGACCGTAACTGGTTTCTCTCTGGTCTCTCGCTAGTCTATTTCTGGTCTCTTTCTGGTCCCTCTCTTGTCTCTCTCTGCTCTTTCTCCCTGGTCTCTCTGCTCTTTCTCTCCTGGTCTCTCTGGTCTCTCTCTAGTCTCTCTGTTCTTTCTGTTAAGAATAAAATGTTTAATGAAATGTTAGTGTCTGCAGCTGTATTTGCATTGGTCACTTGAAACTTTCTCTGCTGCTGTTACTGCCTGTCCAAACTGAGGCCCACAGGCTGATTGCGGTCCTCTGTGTCAGGTTTTGTGGCCCTCTGCTAAACCATAATAGCCATTGAGATTCAATTCAATGTATTCTTGTATAGTTCTAAATCACAGCAGTAGTTATCTCTGAGTACTTAACAAAACTGTTGAAATCGTCAACACAGATCAGAGAATCAAAGAGTTAAACACAGGAAATGCAATAATAACAAACACATAGAGACATTGGTTCATAGTAGGGGTGTAACGATACGTTTTTAGAACGATACGATCCGTATCGATATGAGAGCAAATTATTATCTTTAAAACGATACAATTCGATACGATTTTGAACGATATATCGATACAGTAATATTGGATTTTTCTGTAAATAATTCTGAATTTTTAAGCAAGAGCTCTGGTGTGTGTTGGTGCACACCGGGGTAGTATTGCACAGTTTTTCCAATGTGGTTTTACTGCAAATGGCAAATAAATGAATCTGAATCTGAATCTGAATTGTGGAATTTTTAAATTCCACAATTCCACAGAATTTTTTAATTCTGAATTTTTAAAATTCAGAATAATCCAAACTTAGAAATCTAAGTCAGATTTAAAGTGCTGAACAAGAAATAAAACTTTTTTACAATTTCAACAAAAAAAAATATTTTGCCCAAGAGCTAACTTATAAATAACTCACATGAATAAAAATAATAAAACAGATGTATAACAAATGTTTTACAGCACCACCAAAGTGTTTAAAATTATATCATATATTTTTTATTTCTATAGTGGTTAAATTAGAATGAATCTGAAGCTGGATTTGATGGAAATAAGTCCAGACAAGGACTATTTTGTTATTCCAATTGATAATTTTCTTAAAATTTAATAAAAAGGATACTGTTAATTTGAAGTTCTTGATATTATTACTAAGTTCTTTATGTTGTCATGACAGGTGGTCCAAAACTTTTGTTGAGCAGTGAGCACTGTACATTCTAGTGCTACATATTGAAGCCTTTAGCTCGTATAGAACTTTGAAAATAGCAGCAACACCTTTTTGGTCTGCGCTCTTGCACCGCAGTTACTGTTTTTGGATGCTGTTCCCTCGGGTGACTCTTCTGCTTTGCCAGCGATGCCGTGGCGTCGGTACAGTAGCATCTATGCACTTCCTTTGGGACAGACATTATTCCATTTAAAACGATGTAGTGTCGATGTGCGGCTAGGATCCAAAGAGCTGAGCGCCGATCAATGTAGCTGGATTGCAGGGGAGACACATCGATACCTCGATTAAATAGATGCTCGTTACACCCCTAGTTCATAGGCAGGAGAGACCAGTCTAGGAAGGTTCATAAACAAACAAACAAACAACATATACGTCTTTGCTTCCAAACTGGTCTGACCACTGTACCATTCTGACCACTCTTACAGTCACTGGTTGAAATATCAGCTTTAACAAAAAGTTAGCGTAATTCCCCTTTAAGTTTCATTCTAGACAAAGAATAAGCATTTAGAAACATGTCAACTTCCCCATGTGTCCAAGGATGTCATTATTCATTCACTCCAAACACAGTGGTAAACTATTAGCAAACTTCTACTGTAGCCACACAGCTGCCCTGGGGCACACTGACAGAAGCGAGGCAACCAGTCTGTGCCATCGACCTCTTTTCAGTGCGAATTTCCAAACACCAAATTGTTTCCATTCAGTGGTTTTTCTCTGCATTAAAATCTGATCTGAACTCTTAACATGACGCTCTCTCCCCTGTTCTTTCTTCTTCTCCTTCTATCCGTGGGTTCATTAATCTTCTTCTGTCCATGGTTCATTCTTTTTCTTCTTCTGATCTGGTGCTGTTATTTGCTAAACACTGCCTTCGACTCACGCCCTGTGCCCAGTGTCTGTAGATCTGTGTCTTGGTTTGTTGCGGATAACAGAAGCAGTTTTACCTCTGCGTGGGACGACTCTCTGTGACTTGTAGCTAAACTCTCTTACAGAAACAGAAGACAGTTCAAAATACCACATGCTTCTTCTTTTAAAGAGAGACCAGGGAGAGATCAGAAAGAGACCAGAGAGAGACACCAGAGAGAGACACCAGAGAGAGACCAGAAAGAGAGACCAGAGAGAGACCAGAGAGAGACCAAAGAGAGACCAGAGAGAGAGACCAGAGAGAGAGACCAGAGAGAGAGACCAGGAAGAGAGACCAGGAAGAGAGACCAGAAAGAAAGACACCAGAGAGACACCAGAGAGACACCAGAGAGACACCAGAAAGAGAGACCAGAAAGAGACCAGAGAGAGACCAAAGAGAGACACCAGAGAGAGACCAGAAAGAGAGACCAGAGAGAGACCAGAGAGAGACCAGAGAGAGAGACCAGAGAGAGAGACCAGAAAGAGACCAGAGAGAGACCAGAGAGAGAGACCAGAAAGAGAGACCAGAGAGAGACCAGAGAGAGACACCAGAGAGAGACCAGAAAGAGAGACCAGAGAGAGAGAGACCAGAAAGAGAGACCAGAGAGACACAAGAGAGAGACCAGAAAGAGAGACCAGAGAGAGAGAAGATGGTTCAAAAGTGAATTTTCTATTAAAATAGGTTACTTGTAGTGGTCCTGATCTGAATTATCCAAATGAAATTGACATCACAAAGAGACTTTTCCACAGAAGCAGTGGGTGATGCTTCTCAATTGATTCCATTGTCCAAGAAGCTGATCAGCTCCAGTCTAAAATTAGACTTTAGCTTTGGCTAAACAAGCAGCACTGACAGCAGCGAGGAGCGGTGAGAGAGAACGCAGACGTGAGAAAACAGAAAACACAGAGACCACTTCTCACCAGAGAGAGAGAATTGACATGTTTTAGGATTTGTACATTCCCCAAATGGCCTGTTTTATCCAAAGTCTATGATCAAAGAAACTCCAAGACATAGGAAGTGCATAGACGCTACTACAGACTGTGTTAATGTGACATCACAACACTCCAAAGAGCCTGTGTGATAGTTTAACATTGTGGTGAAGGCAAGCTGAAAAATGTCCTGGTAACTATTGTAATTGTCAAAATTCATCTATTTGAGCCAATCCATGGGAAACAAAAGCTAGAACAAAGTTTCACATCTTCTTTGTCAGTTTCTGTAAACATTGCTATATTTGTTTTCAGAAAGTAGTGACAATATTCTAAAAAAGAAAAACATGATGTTGGCCAGGATGAAAGAATTTCAAATACAGTATGTGGTTTGTGAATCTAATGATTATCAAATTAATTATCTAAATAGAAAAAACTAATTCAAAACTCAGGAACCAGGATAATAGACGGACAAAGATGAAGACAATACAGGAAGTAAAACTAGAGACTTGAGACCAGAGAAAGCAACCACTGAGCGAATCCAGAGAGACCGGAGAGAGAGACCAGAGAGAGACCCTTGAGAGGCCAGTGAGAGAGGCCAGTGAGAGAGACCAGCAAGAGACCAGCAAGAGACCAGCAAGAGACCAGCGAGAGAGACCTGAGATAAACCAGAGAAAGAGACCAGAGAGACCCTTGAGAGACCAGTCAGACAGACCAGAAAGAGACCAGTGAGAGACCAGAGAGAAACCAGAGGAGGTGGTGGTATGCGAGGCGAGAGTAGACAAACGCAACGCCAGAACAAACTCCTTATGAGGCTGGAAAAGCGCCAGTTATTGGGAACTTTTATACTTCTGCTTGATTGGCGTAGGTCGGTTTGCGATTGGCCGAGGGTTAAAGGGGGCCGCAGCCTGGATGGACTGCAGGAGACTGAAATACCAAAGGCTGCATTTCATTTCTGGAGCGGATACTTTTGCAGAGTGAGATTAAGTCAAACACAAAAGCTCCATTCAGGTTTGTGTGCTGACCTCCACACAGAGTGTCAGAGCCTCAGGAATGCTCCAGCCTCGGCCTCCAGTGTTTCCCAGTGTTGACTCTCAGGTGAAACATTGACAGAATCAGAGCTGCCCTTCCTCAGTCTGACTCCTGGGAATATTATGAAGCTATAGCTATGGCTTTTCTGAATCTGTAAAATAAGCAGATGATTCGCCATCCATGTGCTTTTTTTTTTGCTTAAAGAGCAAAACAGTCAGGACATGGAAGCTTGATGCTGATGTTGGTGGGACAAACTCCAGACTCTTCTTTTTTTGCAGCGTTTTAGATCAATTTAGAGATTTTAGTTAAGATTAGAGTAAAAAGACTTTATTGATCTCACACTGGAGAAAATTTCAAATGCGAATCTTGAGCGAAAAGAGTATTGAGCCTACACAGGTCTTTGATTCTCGCTGCAGACATAAGAAAGGTTATCAATAATTACACCAAAATTAAATTCAGAAATAATAAACATGTTTTAGAGAGACCTGTGGTTATACTTATATTTTTACGGTTAAAGATGTGTTGGAGTGCACATTACAGAACCTTGAGATCAAAGAAGTTCGCAAAGATAAATAGCTACGTTTATGTGTTCATAAGTTTATTATGTCTTCTTTATGTTAATTGCGTAGAGGGGTCTTATAATCAGACAAAGAGTGCAGAGTGAGAGGGACCAGAGGGAGACCAGAGAGAGACCAGAGAGAGATCAGAGAGAGACCATATACAGAGACCAGAGAGAGACCAGTGAGAGAACAGAAAGAGAACAGGGAGACCAGAGAGAGACCAGAGAGGGACCAGAGAGGGACCAGAGAGGGACCAGAGAGGGACCAGAGAGGGACCAGAGAGGGACCAGAGAGGGACCAGAGAGAAAACAGAAAGCCCAGAGAGACACCAGAGTGAGACCAGAGACAGACCTGAGAGAGACCATATACAGAGACCAGAGACAGAGACCAGCGAGAGACCAGAGAGAGAGACCAGAGAGAGACCAGAGAGAGACCAGAGAGAGAACAGAAAGAGACCAGAGAGAGACCAGAGAGAGAACAGAAAGAGACCAGGAAGACCAGAGAGAGATAAGGGAGACCAGAGAGAGAGACCAGAGAGGGACCAGAGAAAGACCAGAGGGAGACCTGACAGAGACCTGAGAGAGAGACCAGGGAGACCAGAGAAAGCCCAGAAAGACGCTATAGAGACACCAGAGAGACACCAGAGGACCCAGAGAGAGACCGGTTTACATCAGTGTGAAGGAGAAGCGTTCACAAAAGGGACCAGCGTCACAGAGTAAAAATAATCCCGGTGATGATGAGGAGCAGTACTTCCTGTCCTCTGATGCTGCCATCTTTCTGTTTGTTTTGCTCTTGACAGAATATGGGCTCTTACCTCCGCAGCTAATTGCCTGTTTGGCATCCAGCGCATATGGAACCAGAGCCATTACAGAACGCAGCCAAAGAGAGTTCATTCAGCCCAGAACACTCATTTACTCGTGCTACATGTTTCGATTCAACTAATACACGTGTTCACCATCATCACTTAAAAGCAGGAAAAATAGTAGAGCATTTATAGATCTGCAGTTTCTCCGAAGCTAAAATCAGGAACGTGTAGTCCCTACCCCTCTGTCTAAAAGCGTGTGTCTCAGTCCTCTAGTACTATGATGTCATTGTACCTCTATGACATCACAATCACACTCAGTATTAGTATTTGTAGCAGTACTTGTGTAGTGTGTCACGTGGTGTTAGCTCCTTGTTTATCTTTAGTTGTGGAGACTGAGCATATGTGGCACATGCCAAAAGGAGTTTACAGGCACCATACAGGCCTCCTATGGCGAGGACCCCTAGCAGCTTCAGCGTGTGGCGTTTCCTGGCTCACTCCGGTTCACTGAGCCTCAGGACTTCAGCTGCAGTCATATTTTTCCAATATTACAATAGAGAGATGGATAATTTATCTATGAACAACACGGTCAATAACGAGTGACTATAGTAACCCATACATCTGTCTTTACTTCGGTTTAAGATTCAGAAGAAATAAATAACAACAATAACTATGGTTCCAAAGTGTTTGTTAGTTTGAAATGTTGCTCTAATGCAGTAGTTTAATTATGAGTCCGGGGAAAGCATCGTTGGTCTTGATTCATAAACAATATTTTAAAATTGTGGACCTTTCTGGACATGCTGGAATTTTTTAAATCTGAGTTTTTGCCGCCGTTTGTTCTGTTTCTCACGGGGGTCAGATGTATGACAGCATGCGGATCAACATTCCCGCACCGTTAAGTCAAGATAAAATCCGATCAACCTCACTCATTTCTTCATCCCTGAAACATCACCCGAGGCAGATAGTGGAATGAGTTCTGACTTTCTTATAAGTTCATTTGAAAGAGTGTAAGGATTAGATAGCTATTTGGCCTATGTGCAGGACAAGCGCAAGACTCTGATTGTGCATCCATGTTTTCACTATGATTTGCTCTGAGTGTCTCTGATTTGACACGTGTAACGTAACAATGACTATAAAAACTGTGTACTGCTTTTCTGAGAGAAAGAAACAACAGAAACCACTGAAGCCTAATAAACTATGGTATGTTTATGTTACAAACAGTATAGGCCCATAAAATCCCCAAATGGCAGAGTTAAGGGTTGTTAAGTTGTTTGCAGGCACTCACTATTCACAATGTGAAATCATTGACAAGAAAGAAGTTGTTAATTATAGTTATTAAGAAAGGATTAATTCCTGATAGGATTGATATTTAATTCATAGAATAGCCAAGACAAGAGTTGTGCTTCTCAAAAGAGAGCTGTGTGAAATAATGAACCAGTTTTAAAAAGCAAAAACAAAAAACAATAAAGTACTATTAGAATAAAGTCAAATTGTATTCCTCTTCCTTAGGTCACAGCAGCAGAGCTGACACAGGTGTACCACTCAGTTAAACACAAGCTCAGCTACAGCAGTGCTGACTGTGGCCACACGCTGAACCACAAAGATTCAGCAATGACTCTTGAAAGAACAAAAGCTGAGGCCCTGGCTAAAGATGATCAGAACAGACACAGGAGTCTGCGATAAAATGCTAGATTTTAATAAGATTCAGATTCAGATTCATTTTATTAGCCATGTGCAGTATAAAAACTACATTGGAATACATTTGCAAAAAAAGGTACTCTGTGTGCACAATACAATGTAATATAAAATACACATACACTGAATATAAAAGAATAAAAAAACAGCTGACACTGTGGCACCGATCAACAAAACGATACAAGGGGTAAAAGCAGGAATTAAAGTGCTCTGTTTAGGCACCTAACAGCCTGTGGAAAGAAGCTGTTAGCATAGCGAGATGTCTTGCATCTCAGCGACCGATATCTTCTGCCAGAGGGAAGAAGCTGGAACATGGCTTTCCCAGGGTGGCCAGAAGAGTCATTGATGATTTTAAGAGCTTTGTTTAAAAGTCTGGATTTATAAAGAACCTCCAGAACAGGAAGCTCACAGCCCACGGTCCTCTTTGCAGAGCGGAGCACCTTGTTTAAAGCTCTCTTTTCTTTATCTGTGATGTTTCCAAACCACACAGACACAGAACCAACAAGTAAACTCTCAATGGTGCAGCGATAAAAGTTAAGCAGAATCTTAGAGTTAGTGGTAAATTCTCTAAGTTTCCGCAAAAAGAAGAGCCGCTGACGTGCTTTCTTAACAACCCGGTTAGTATTTTTGTCCCATTTCAGGTTGTTAGACAGAGTTAACAATTACTCACAAAGTTTGGCTTATCACTGGATCAAGTTAGCATATAGTGCAGACAATACCAATGTTAATTCTGGAGTCCACAACGCTGTCTTTTCTAAGCTTTAAAGTAAACACACAGATATAGTGAAAGGAAACTGCCTTGCCCATATTGTGCTGGAAAATGTTGCTCTAAAGAAAAAGGGAATCTTTGAAGGAATTTTGTGATGTGGAGTTTTGTGACATTTTGCGACATGTTACAAAAGTATGTTAGGTGGATGTCCCTCATCCAGCCATCTCTAGGCTCCTGCAGATCTGGGTTGCTCTAAGGTCCTACTTTAGCAGCCTAGGGTAGGAATGTCCCAAGCACGTCAGTCATTTGCTTATCTCAGTGATAATGATGAAAATGTGAATGATGTTGAAGTTTACCTCCTCTTTAGTAATAACATATTTTCTCTCTTCGAAGAGTTTGTCAAAAAGCTGGAGTGTTATTCTACTACCTGTATGAAGTTGTACAACATTATTTAAATGTTGTACAACATTTAAAACAAAAGCTCACACTAAGGAAGGATAATCAGTTCTATGGGGACCTCACCCAAATGAAGCTGCAGCAGCTCTCCTCAGCAAAAGCAGATACAGCCTGGAGAGAATATAGAAGACAATGTCCTGTTTTACCTGCAGCCCATTTGTCCAAGCAGTGACCAGCTTTCTTTTGAAGACATTGAGAAAGTAACAGCAAAGCTCAATCTCATTAAGAAAGTCAATATGGATGCACTTTATGATGGATGTGTTACAACAGATAGCAGAGAGAGAGTTTAATGGCAGTCCAAAGATGTGGCTGCCAGGTGGATGAATGTATTTCAAGAAACTGAGCTGCCTAATATGCTGTCTATCATCAGTCACACCTTGAGCATCCCAGCATCTACAAGATTGAGAAGACATCTTCTCCAAAATGACCAATAAGGAGAGTCAGAGTTGAAGCAGTGGCTCTGTAGAGCTCATTAAGAGTGAACTCTTGATCACTGTTAACTTTGAGCAGTCCAGTTCTGATTTTTACAACACAGGCTTGAAAGACAAACGGATCCTCAATGCTGCATAGAGTGAAGAAAAATACACTCTAGCAAGCAAATGCAGTCCACTTGTGAGGCTCCTTTTTTATAATTGTTATAGTTATATAAAAAGACCCGGCTGTTCTGATTAGGGTCAATGTGAGTAAATAGACCTGAATTATCTCTTAAATCCAGATCCCGTCGGACCTCTGAAGCTAAGCAGGACAGGGCCTGGTTAGTACTGTGGTGGTGCCACAGTGGGGCAGCTGTGGCTGTAAAGTGCCATACTGTGGTTCTGTCCTTAGGCAAAACACTTCATCCACATTAGAATGAGTCTGATGTGTGTGTGAATGGTTGTTGGTGGTGGGAGAGGCCGATGGCACATACTGGTTGCCTCACTTCTGTCAGTGAGACCCAGGTCAGCTGTGGCTACAGTAGTAGTTTATCACCAACATGCTTGGAGTGAAAGAATAATGAAATGTAAAGCGTCTTTGGGTGTCCAGAAAAGAGCTGTATAATAATAATATTATTATTATAGCACTTTATGCCTTTGAAATGTTCCAGTGTCCATCATGAGATTTATTTAGCAGAGAAAGACTTTGTCCTGTTTGAAGGGAACAGTTATTTTTGCACCAGTGGAAACTGGGACAGAAGAGGACTTTGGCACAGTGTGTTAAATAGGTCACCTTGAGTGAAGTGTGCATGTGTGTGTGTGTGTGTGTGTGTGTGTGTCTGTGTGTGTCACCTCAGTCTGAGCTCTGACCGCAGTCACATGAGAGAACCCTCGGAACCCAGGATTAGAGCAGATGGAGGTGCAACAACTGGAGCAGATCAAAGCATTATTGGATCTGAAACAAATCACATGAAATATTTAGCTTTATACTTTGGACTAGAGCAGAGAATATGGTCCAAACCAAGCGGCTACTCCACCTTGTGACCTGTCCTGCTCCACCCAGAGACCACTCCAACTTTGGTGCTGTGACCAGTCCTGCTCCACCCAGAGACCATTCCATCTTTGGTGCTGTGACCTGAAGGCCTGTGGCTGATTAAACTATTATTAGGTTTTTAGAATGATTAATTTGAATTTTTCTGCTACTGGACACCTGAATTTCTCCTACGGGTATCCATCTATCTATCTATCTATCTTTAATATTAACGTCGTCAAAGTGGTGTGTGTGGGATACAACACCCTGGGCCTGGATAAACAGCCTCAGTCCTGGGTTTCTGAGTGGTTCCTTTCTGATCCAAGAGGGTCTAAGGACAGTAATGATCGAGGACATTTTTACATGTGTTTTTCTAATAACACATGGAACATGGAGCTGAAATACTTAATACTAACGTCTCCAAAGGCCTCTGTGGACCCGGTGGCTGCAGATGTGGCTAATGGAGGGAGACGCTGCTGTTCCTAGTGATGTCACCTGCTCTCCCACTCTCCTTCATGTCGGTGTAAATAATCACAGTGTGACATAATGTCCTGGACATGAGTGGACGGAGCTCTGTGTAGGCAGCGATGGAGAGAGACTCAGTATCTCTGCAAGTCGTCACACCAAGTCTCTCCACGGATCATGTTGGATTTGAAAGACTGAGCTTGAAAAGTGACAGATCTTTGAGTGCAACAAGAAAAAGGGCTAAACTCGGACATAATTGCGTCTGATGCCACCAGCAGGAGGTGCAGCCAGCGTGAAATGGATAATGAGGTGGTTTTATGCATAATTTAAAGTTCAAGAAAATCATTTACAGCTACAAACACGCAGCAAAAGCCGATTGAAACAAATTGTTGCAAACTTCAACTAAAGTAATATTATTCTGGGTTCTTCTGGAATGCAAAAATAATGATGATGACGATGAAATAAAAGTCCAGGGAAAACCAAACTCAAATATACAAACAGAAACGAGAACCAAAATAAAACCAAGGAAAATAACAGGAAGTCCACACCATGACAGAAGCCCTACAGCAATTACATATTAGTAGAAATATTCAATTCAATTTATTCTTGTACGGCCCTAAATCACAACAGTAGTCCTCTCAGAAGACTTAACAAAACCATGGATATCACCAACACAGATCAGAAAATCAAACATCTGTACTGCAGCAGTATGTTTACATCTGTACATTAGCAGCAGTATGTTTACATCTGTATATTAGCAGCAGTATGTTTACATCTGTACATTAGCAGCAGTATGATTACATCTGTACATTAGCAGTAGTATGTTTACATCTGTACATCAGCAGCAGTATTTTTACATCTGTACATGTTAGCAGTAGTGTGTTTGCTTCTGTACATTAGCAGCAGTATGTTTACATCTGTACATTAGCAGCAGTATGTTTACATCTGTACATCAGCAGCAGTATGATTACATCTGTACATTAGCAGCAGTATGTTTACATCTGTACATTAGCAGCAGTATGATTACATCTGTACATTAGCAACAGTATGTTTACATCTGTACATTAGCAGCAGTATGATTACATCTGTACATTAGCAGCAGTATGTTTACATCTGTACATTAGCAGCAGTATGTTTACATATGTACATTAGCAGCAGTATGTTTACATCTGTACATTAGCAGCAGTATGTTTACATCTGTGCATGTTAGCAGCAGTATGATTACATCTGTACATTAGCAGCAGTATGTTTACATCTGTACATTAGCAGCAGTATGTTTACATCTGTACATGTTAGCAGCAGTATGTTTACATCTGTACATTAGCAGCAGTATATTACATCTGTACATTAGCAGCAGTATGTTTACATCTGTACATTAGCAGCAGTATGATTACATCTGTACATTAGCAACAGTATGTTTACATCTGTACATTAGCAGCAGTATGATTACATCTGTACATTAGCAGCAGTATGTTTACATCTGTACATTAGCAGCAGTATGTTTACATCTGTACATTAGCAGCAGTATGTTTACATCTGTACATGTTAGCAGCAGTATGTTTACATCTGTACATTAGCAGCAGTATATTACATCTGTACATTAGCAGCAGTATGTTTACATCTGTACATTAGCAGCAGTATGTTTACATCTGTACATGTTAGCAGCAGTATGATTACATCTGTACATTAGCAGCAGTATGTTTACATCTTTTCATTAGCAGCAGTATGATTACATCTGTACATTAGCAGCAGTATGTTTACATCTGTACATTAGCAGCAGTATGATTACATCTGTACATTAGCAGCAGTATGATTACATCTGTACATTAGCAGCAGTATGATTACATCTGTACATTAGCAGCAGTATGATTACATCTGTACATTAGCAGCAGTATGTTTACATCTGTACATTAGCAGCAGTATGTTTACATCTGTACATTAGCAGCAGTATGATTACATCTGTACATTAGCAGCAGTATGTTTACATCTGTACATTAGCAGCAGTATGTTTACATCTGTACATTAGCAGCAGTATGTTTACATCTGTACATTAGCAGCAGTATGTTTACATCTGTACATTAGCAGCAGTATGTTTACATCTGTACATTAGCAGCAGTATGTTTACATCTGTACATTAGCAGCAGTATGTTTACATCTACACAGTGACTCAGTAAAGTGACAGTGACATGTGGTTATTGCACATTCTGATATAAGTTTAGGATATTGCACCGACACGTGAGATCAGGTTGGCAGTGTTTGTTAGTCCTCATTGTTTGTTGTACAGTCTGACAGTGTGAATGAGGAGCACACAGCAAAAAACAAGTGCAATAACATCTCTAACTTTGCATAATAAAGACGCAAGTATAAAAGTATGAATAAGCTGTTTATTATTGATTTGAGAAGGTATAAATGATCTAGAATTTGATAGAAGTTTGTGTCTTGACTAGAGACCAATTTTTATCTCCATTTTTCATTCTTTTGTTTGAATTTGTGCCACTTTTAAACTGAACAGTTTGTAACGAGAGTTTGGCCGATCTGTTATTGACAAAGTCACAGCCAAGTTCATGTTTGATGTCCTTATTTAGACAATGAACAAATGGAAGAGGAGGAGGGGACTGCCTTCTCTCAGGAGGAGGTGGTAGTAGTGGTGGAGGAGGAGGAGGAGGGGACTACCTTCTCTCAGGAGGAGGTGGTGGTGGAGGAGGAGGAGGGGGGGACTGCCTTCTCTCAGGAGGAGGTGGTGGTGGAGGAGGAGGAGGGGGGGACTGCCTTCTCTCAGGAGGAGGTGGTGGTGGAGGAGGAGGAGGGGGGGACTGCCTTCTCTCAGGAGGAGGTGGTGGTGGTGGTGGTGGAGGAGGAGGGGGCTGCCTTCTCTCATGTTTGGAAGATTTACTGTTTAAATAAACAACAATCAAAGCAGGAAAACCTTTCAGACTGTTTCTGACACGTACAGAGCTGACGCATCTCATTTACCCCATTACATAAGTCTGTGTTCTCTCTCTCTCTCTCTCTCTCATTCTCTCTCTCTCTCTCGCTCTCTCGCCCTCTCTCTCTCTCCCTCTCTCTCTCTCTCTCTCTCATTCTCTCTCTCTCTCGCCCTCTCTCTCTCTCTCTCTCTCTCTCTCTCTCTCTCTCTCTCTCTCTCTCATTCCAAACAAAATAATCCATCATTTATGTCATGTAAGTGCACATTCTCCTCGAATCAAATATTAACACCTTTGGAACTTTTGTTGAAGATTCATTTTCTGAGTTGGTGCAACATAGGTTCACAGGAAGTGTCTTGCCTAAGGACACAACCACAATTTGGAACTTTACACCTGAATCTGAAACACTGCCTCCTCATGATCAGATCTGGTCCTTGCTTCTGGTGATGAAGGAAGTCCTGTCTCTGTCTCTATCTCTGTGTGAGTCGTGTTCAGGGTTTAGTGACTGAGGGGAAAGTGGAGCATCGCTCTGAGCCACAGGCAGAAACACCATCAGGACAGAAGTAGGACAAGAGCAGAACCATCAGGACTGAAGTAGGACAAGAGCAGAACCATCAGGACAGAAGTAGGACAAGAGCAGAACCATCAGGACTGAAGTAGGACAAGAGCAGAACCATCAGGACAGAAGTAGGACAAGAGCAGAACCATCAGGACTGAAGTAGGACAAGAGCAGAACCATCAGGACAGAAGTAGGACAAGAGCAGAACCATCAGGACTGAAGTAGGACAAGAGCAGAACCATCAGGACTGAAGTAGGACAAGAGCAGAACCATCAGGACTGAAGTAGGACAAGAGCAGAACCATCAGGACAGAAGTAGGACAAGAGCAGAACCATCAGGACTGAAGTAGGACAAGAGCAGAACCATCAGGACTGAAGAAGGACAAGAGCAGAACCATCAGGACAGAAGTAGGACAAGAGCAGACCCATCAGGACTGAAGTAGGACAAGAGCAGAACCATCAGGACTGAAGTAGGACAAGAGCAGAACCATCAGGACTGAAGTAGGACAAGAGCAGAACCATCAGGACTGAAGAAGGACAAGAGCAGAACTATCAGGACAGAACCATCAGGACTGAACCATCAGGACAGAAGTAGGACAAGAGCAGAACCATCAGGACAGAAGTAGGACAAGAGCAGAACCATCAGGACTGAAGTAGGACAAGAGCAGAACCATCAGGACTGAAGTAGGACAAGAGCAGAACCATCAGGACAGAAGTAGGACAAGAGCAGAACTATCAGGACAGAACTATCAGGACAGAACCATCAGGACTGAACCATCAGGACAGAAGTAGGACACAAGCAGGACCACCATGACAGAACCATTAGGACTGAACCATCAGGACTGAAGTAGGACGTTGTGGGTCATCAGGAGCCTCAGATTCCCTTCAATATCACCCATCCTGGCCCCAGGGAAGCACCAACAGTAGCCCCTGGGATCTTAACACCTCTGACAATAGAGGAACCAATTTCCAGCGCGAGGGGGCGCAGCCTGACAGATCGTCGCAGCGATTGTAAATGCTACCAGGCAAAGGTCTATTGGGGAAGCTGTTAACAACAAGTCGCCCCCTTCCAACCGTCACAAAGCCGTCCCTATCCTGGTCTTGTCCCGGCAGCAGGGGACAGGCTGGGAGGTTTGGCTCACTAGTTCTTCTCTGCCTCGGCCTGTCATAGCTGCGCTCCGCTGTCCCTGATACTGCCTGATGACAGCTCTAACTCACTGACCCTGGATTCCAAAGCTACAACTATGCTTCTCTTAATGCAGCTATCACTAGCCTCAGAGAAGGATTCAGGGTTCAGGCTCATCATATGGCAGCTCGAGCAGTAAAGGACGGAGGGAGAGGCAGCAGCAGTCATGGGGATAGCAAGCTAGCAGCAAGGCTAGCCCAGGATACAGCACCGAAGAAAGTGTTTTATCCACAATATATGGTTAAGTCATGGATCTATTGTGATAACTGGATAGGGTATTACCAGCTTGGAGCTGAAGGACCCATGTGCTCGGGGGACTCTCGGAGTAGTGCAGACAAAACAAGACTAAATTCTGGCTACCCAGAAATGTTTGCCATAGAACTCAGTGTAAACTAAAACAGCTGTGGGGATTTTAGTGTCCCTTGTCATCCCGCACTTTTCTTGTGTTTGCATTAAAGCCACATACGCATATTCGGCTCAACGCATCATTTCTCGTTCACTGCGCAGAACCGGGAGACCAAACGATGCTCAAATCTTTCGGCCCCCATGGAGGCACATGCCTCACTGATTTGAATAGGACGCCATCTTGGATCGCCGCAAAACTGACTTTAGGTTTGAGTTTGTACCAAAGGTTGAAACTAGGGATACAGAGGTGCACCCAATTTATATATTGTAGCTTTAGTTGAAATTCAACGATTTGCCGGACCCGGGTCCCATACAAGCGGACTCCGAGACCAGACAAACAACCAACACCCAAACCTCAGCTACAATACAGCCGATTCAAAGTGTAAGGGTGTGTGTTTACACAGTAAATTTGTTGTAGACTAATACCTGGATTATCAAAGGTAGTGCATACAGAGAGCAGAGAAATAATCAGTCAAAGCTACCATACCTGCATTATTGTGTGGAAATATCGGGGAATAACTATAAAACAATCTTCCTATTGCAAAAGAAAGCTATCAGAATAATAAATTATGTAGATTATTATGCACCAACAATTATATATTATTTATACAAATACATTACAATTACAATTGACCTTAAAACAGCCATTTTGATGTACAATGTCCACAATAAAAAAATCCCAACATGTGTACAGGAGAGGTTCAAAACTAAAGAGACTCACTTTTATCTAAGAGGAACCGCTCTTTTCCAAAAAATTATTGGGAGGACTAATGCTAAGTGTAGATGTAAATCAGTTAGAGAAGTTGATCGATGGGTTGGTCTGGATGACATGCCAGGGTTTCAAAAAATGTCTTAAATGTAGTGTAATTGTATCCACAAAAATGTTGAAATTGACTTTGCTCAGCTGAATGTATGCTGTTTGTCGTTTCTTGGCTTTCCTAAGTTGCAGTGATAGGATTACGCTCAGATAAACCCATTCAGTCATTGTCTTTTAAGTTTGTAATATGACAGGATCCGTATCATCTGTTTGAGATCTTAAAATGACTGAACAAATAAATAACATATCATAACAAAACATGTGGAAAACAGTTTTACCCTCTGTGTCCCTGTGATGATTTTTATTATTTGCTCTCTCTCTCTCTCTCTGGTCTCTATCAATACCGTAGTACCAGGAGTGGCTTCTGTGCTTCTGGTGGATAATAATACCATGAGGACCAGACTATCGATCTGTCGGTGAATGAAGATGAAAATAGAACTGTTGTCGTCACTGCTCTTTGAAAAGCTCTGCTTTCCTCTGTGTTTCTTGCAGGACTCTCTCTCTGGTCTCTCTCTTACCTCTGGTTTCTTCTGTGATTCTTGCAGGACACCAATGAAATTGTTGCTATTAAAAAGTTCAAGGACAGTGAAGGTAAGAACCTGTTTATAATCCAAAAGAACACAGTGGGCAGAGTCCGGCCCAATCCACAGTTCTATGTGGGCCCCTGTTGTTGCACTTTGGAAACTGTGTTGATGGAATGTGCTATACAAATAAAGTTGACTCTACGGCCCTGGTTAACATAAACATCTGTACAGAGAATGAGGAAGTCAAAGAAACGACGCTGCGAGAACTCAAGATGCTGCGGACTCTGAAACAGGAAAACATCGTGGAACTGAAGGAGGCGTTTAGGAGGAGAGGGAAGCTGTACCTGGTGTTCCAGTACGTGGAGAAGGTGTGGGTCTGTGTCTGTGTCAGTGTGTGTCTTTGTCTGTGTGTGTGTGTGTGTGTGTGTGTCAGGAGGAGAGGGAAGCTGTACCTGGTGGTGCAGCATGTGGAGAAGGTGTGTGTCCTTCTCTGTGTGTCTGTGTGTGCAGTGTGTGTTTGAGGTTCTGTCTCTGACCTGAAGGTGTGTGTCTCTCAGAACATGCTGGAGCTGCTGGAGGAGTTTCCAAACGGAGTTCCCACAGACAAAGCCCGCAGTTACATCCTGCAACTGATCAAAGCCATTCACTGGTGCCACAAGCACGACATCGTCCACCGAGGTGACGCACAACTGACACACAACACATATACAACACAAGCACGACATCGTCCACTGTCGTTGGTGGCATAGTAAAGTGCTTTGTAACTCTTGTCAAAGGAGCTATATAAATAAAGATTACTACTTACCTAGCCCTATCATTGAGAAGGAGCCACACCGATCAGACCCTGACCCTGTACCTGTGTGTCAGTTTTCTGTCGTGCAGTCCTCGTCAGACACAGGGACAGTTTAAAATAGCCTTCTCTGTTTCTAGATCTTTGATACTGCTGCAGCTGACATGCCATCTGTGCTTTACACAGCTGCTCCGCCGTCTAAATGTAACAAAAACTGCACTTTTGTATTTTCTGTTCTCATCCTGAACCATCAGCAGAGAGAGGTTCTTGATGCAGCAGTAAAAACCATTGTATTCTTCGCAGCGTGAGACTTTGGCGTCAGAGCAGAGAGCAGATGGTCCTGTGAGCTCTTGGCTCGGGACGCAAAACAGAGGCCTGTGGTGCCCGCGGTAAACCGGGGTCTTACAGGAGCCAAGCCTGAGCTGTGCTTTTCAGTCACGCCTTTAATAAGAAACGTCCATTCTATCCAATAAGATTCCATTTATTTATGTATGACCTAAATCACTACAGCACTCGCCTTGGAGGAGTCCACAATTTTGTTTATTCCTCACCAAAAGATCAGAGAATCAAACAGTTCGAACACAGAAAAAACAAAAACAAAAATCACATGCAGACATTGGTCCATAAGGAGCAGGATGACCACTGTTTATAAATGTTCGAGAATATCCTGAATTTATGATTTTAGTGTCACAATGACCAGAATCATGATTTAAATGGTTTTAATACAGAATCAGATTTTCTTTCTCTCAAACCTGACGTATCCCGGTGCTTGAAATTATGATCAACTACTCTATTCTACAACTATTCTACAGGAGGGCAGAGTAAGTAAGTAGTAGGTAAGTTTTATTTATATACCGCCTTTCCCAGACCAGAGTCACAAAGCGGTTTACAATTGTTATTTTTTGGGCACTTGTCCTCTCACTCCACACAGAGACGGGAGCGGGGTCGCCGAACAGGAGGCGCATGCCAGACCTATTGTACATATTTTTAGTGGTAGGGGAAACCGGAGTACCCGGAGGAAACCTACGCAGACACGGGGAGAACATGCAAACTCCACTCAGAAAGGCCCTGGTCCGGCCAGGATTCGAACCCAGGACCTTCTTGCTGAGAGGCGAGAGTGCTATCCACTCAGCCACCGTGCCGCCCGGTGGCTGAGTGGAGGAAGTGGTTAGCATTTTGTTTCTGTCATCACTATGTGGAGTGAAGGGAAATATATTATTATATATACAAATATTGTGAAGCACTTTGATCTCTGAATGCACTTTACAGATAAACATTACTGACTAAAGCTGTATCAACTAAATGTTAAGTAAAGACATTTTATATAAACATTGTGCCGACAGAGACATTTCAGAAGAATAGACTTAATGGAAACAGATTCTGTTTTTGAAAATCCATTGGTTATATTGTAGGTAGAACAATTATAATATACGTGTATAATGTGCATCAGGAAACGGGAGGTGAAATCTCAGACAATCTGGTTATAAATGTAGTAATTGCATAAAGTTCAATAATTAAAAGTTAATAAATCCATTTTTGCAGCAGAGGAACAGGTGGTGATGACGTAATGATGTGAGCTTCCTCCCCATCTGTGCTCCTCTTCCTCAGATATAAAACCAGAGAATCTCCTCATCAGCTCCGAAGATGTACTGAAGCTGTGTGACTTTGGTGAGTGGCTCAGCTATAAAACTACTTCTACTGCTGCTAATGCTTCTACTACTACTACTACTACCACTGCTGCTAATGCTTCTACTACTACTACTACCACTACCACCACCACTGCAGTACTACTACTACTACTGTTCTGCAGCTGTGTGACTTTGGCTCAACTTTAAAACATCTGTAAAACTAACTACTAATATTACTACTACTACTACTTCTACTACTACCTCCACAGGATAACAATATCCAGATCATCGTTATCCTGATAACAGACTTTCCCATAATACTTCTGCCGCGTTGTGTTGAGAGAATGAGCGAATGTAAACACAGCGTATCCAGCGTCATGTCGCAATCTGGAGCGAGAGACGGACGACCTGGTGTTCCTACTGTATGTGTGTGTTACCTCCTGTCTGTGTGTTCATGCAGTGTGTGTTTGTGTGTTACCTCCTGTCTATGTGTTCATATGTGTGTGTGTGTGTGTGTTACCTCCAGTCTGTGTGTTCATACCTGTGTGTGTGTGTGTGTGTGTTTCCTCCTGTCTGTGTGTTCATGTGTGTGTGTGTGTGTGTGTGTGTGTGTGTGTGCGCGGGTTTGTGTGTGTGTGTGTTATTTCCTGTTTGTTGCCATACTTGCATGCGAAAGCCAGATCCTTTCAGACCTCTAAAGCTAGGCAGGGCAGGGCCTGGTTAGTGCTGTGATGGGAGACCTCTGGGAACACCAAGTGTCACAGTGGGGCTGTGTGTGTGTGTGTGTGTGTGTGTGTGTGTGTGTGTGTGTGTGTGTGTGTGTGTGTGTGTGTGTGTGTGACATGAGGTTTGATGCAGGGTGTCGCTTAAATGCTGCAGCTGAGTGTCATTGACAGATGCTGTTGCAGGAACAGTGAGAGAACACTGAGTGGCGTAATTCTTAGGTCCTCTCTCAACCTCTGCTTTAGCTTCAGGTTCAAACTGAACTCAGCTGAGGAAAGGGGTGTAGTCTGCTGTGCTCCTATGTCCGTTGGAACTAAAACCTGCAACCACTCGGTCCTTTGAGGAACGGCCTTTACACTGCAAAAATTAAAATTTTAATGTCAGTAAACAGCAGAAACTAGCATCCAGACTCTACTTTCTGACACATGTAAAAGCAGAGTGTCATGAGGTGCCTTCAGGTATCTATCTATCGATCTAGTATGTAATATATTCTTCCAGGAGGATTCTGTTGGAGGTCAAAGTGATATTCAATCCACGCTTTCGGACACACAGTGACTGTAATGTTTCTTTTTGCCAAATTGGGAACTTAATTTTCCTTGGAATTAAACTGTCTTGTTCCTGTTCTTTCCTGTTTTTATCAATAAGCTTTTTAAGTTTATTTGTTTGGGGGTTTTTTTCCTCTCAACTCTGTCATGTCATGTTTCCTTCAGAAGAACAATAAAGAAAATTAACCTTATTGAATCTCGAACAACAAGTCTCTTAGCATCTCTATCTCTTAACAAGTGTCACTCTTGTCCATCATCTCCTGTTCCTTGGCCTGGTCAGCTCGCATTATAAACGGTTTTTGGCCCTCAACTTGGAGACACGCAGCAGCCTTTAATGCCTGAAAATACTCTTTATTCCTCAGTATCAAAGGTTGTGTAAACACGTGTTAGACCGAACAGAGCTCTGATTGGATTCTCTGCAGTCTCCCAAAGGCCTCCTCATCTCCTTTTCAGATGCAGCTTTTCCCTTCGCCCTCCAGGCTGACTACACTTTTGCATACTCATGATCTCTCTGTGAGGTCTCCAGGAGGCAGGTCTCAGCACGAGGGGAAGAAAGAGGCTCATTATACTGATATCTGCCTCTGTCTCCTGCCAGGCTTCGCACGGAATCTCTCTGAGGGAACGGACGCCAATTACACCGAGTACGTGGCCACGAGATGGTACCGCTCTCCAGAACTGCTCCTGGGGTAAGAACTTAGCTGCTCTTGGGGTAAGAACTGAGATGCTCCTGGAGTAAGAACTGAGATACTCCTGGGGTAAGAATTGTAACAAGGAGATGCTGTTGTTTTGTTTAGAATCAAGTAAAAAATTAATGTTATACAAAGCTATTTCGTGTTTGACCAAAATTACTCTGGATAGACTGGTTTTAAAGTTGGTGTACCACACTTTGATAGGATAAGAGAACCTTTACCTGTCCCCCAGTGGGCAAATTTCAATGTTGCAGCACACATATAAGACAGTACTAAGAACATACAAAATATACAATGTACTGTAAGTAGCTGCTATATTTCTTATCTAGATGTAAATGCTTCTATATCCATACATCGATCTATCTCTATCGGGATACAGTGCAGCACGTGGTGAAGCGATTAGAGCTTGTGTTTAAAAGCAAGAAGGTCCTGTGTTCGATTCCTCCGGGTGCTTCGGTTTCCCCTACCACTAAAAGCATGTACAATAGGAATTAAATGAATATATGGTGTTGGTTGAGGGGGCTTTGATGCTCCAGTGTGTTCGGCGTCTCGCTTCCATCATCACCGTGTGGAGAGATCTGAACTCTAAACATTGTAAAGCACTTTGGGTGACCTTGGTCTGTAAAGATAAGATAAGAGTTCCTTTATTTCGTCCCACAGTGGGGAAATTTTGATGTTGCAGCGCACAGACAGGACAGTAGTAAGAGCACACAGGCAGCACACACAATATACAGAATAAGTAGTAGCTATGTTTCTTAACTAGCATAACTAGCTGTAGATGCTGAAAATGCTTCAATACCCGTCAAAAAAAAAATATATATATATGTAGTAGTGTATATACGTGTACATATACTGTAGTGCAGGATAATAAGTAGATAAAGTAAAGTGACATTGACCAGTGGACATTCTGAAGTTGCAGTATTGCACATTGCACATGATTTAAGAATTTACTTATTTACAGATGAATGACTTTCACAGGCTTAGCAGTTCTCATTGTACAGTCTGACAGCAGCAGGAAGGAAAGGCCTACGGAACCTCTCCTTCACACAGCGAGGGTGAATTAGTCTGTCACTGAAACAGCTCTCCAGAGCAGAGAGAGTGTCCTGCAGGGGGTGACAGTCATGGTCCAGCATAGATGTTAGTTTGCTCAGGACCCTCCTGTCCCCCACCTGCTGCACTGTGTCCAGGGAACAGCCCAGGACTGAGCTGGACTTCCTGATGACCTTGTCCAGCTTCTTCCTGTCCCTCTCTGTGATGCTGCTGCTCCAGCAGACCACACCGTACAAGATGGCTGATGCCACCACAGAGTCATAGAAGGTCTTCTGGAGTGGCTCCAAAAGACCTGAGCCTCCTCAGCAGGTAGAGTCGGCTCTGGCCCTTCTTGAAGAGGGCGTCTGTTTTATGAGTCCAGATGAACACCCAGGTACTTGTGAAAGTCCACTCTCTCAACGTCCTTTCCCTGGATGTTCACTGGAGCTGGAGCAGCAGAGTGACGTCTGCGGAAATCCACCACCATCTCCTTGGTCTTCCCCGCGTTGATGAGGAGGTGGTTTCGCTGACACCAGTCCACAAAGTCCTGAATTACTCCTCTGTACTCCGCGTCATCGTCCTCGGAGCTGAGTCCGATGATGAGTCGTCAGAGAACTTCTGGAGGAAGCAGGAAGTCCGTGTTGTGTCTGAAGTCCGCAGTGTAGAGAGTGAAGAGGAACAGCGCGAGGACAGTCGCCTGGGGGGCCCCCACACTGCAGGTCAGGACCTCAGACACAAAGTCTCTGGTTCTCACAAACTGGGGTCTTGTCTGTGAGGTAGTCCAGGATCCACTCAGACAGGTAGTAGTCCAGCTGTCTCCAGCTTGTCCCTGAGAAGCCACGGCTGGATGGTGTTGAAGGCGCTGGAGAAATCAAAGAAGAGGATTCTCACAGTGGAGCCGGGTTTCTCCAGGTGGGACAGCGAGCGGTGGAGGAGGGTGATGATGGCGTCCTCAACTCCGATGCCCGGCCGGTACGCGAACTGCAGCGGGTCCATCGCTGGGCTCAGGTTGGAGCGGAGATGTCCCAGGACCAGTCTCTCCAGTATCTTCATGCAGTGGGAGGTCAAAGCCACCGGCCTGAAGTCGCTGAGGTCTTTGGCCCGTGGTTTCTTGGGCACCGGTACCACGCAGGAGATCTTCCAGAGCTGTGGTAACAACCTCAGCCTGAGCCTCAGGTTGAAGACGCGCTCCATCACGCCGCAGAGTTCGACTGCACAGGAGCGAAGGAGCCTGGAGCTGATGTTGTGTGGTCCTGGTGGCTTTCTGGTCTTTATCCTCCTCATCTCTGAGTGTGCAATACAGATAAAATATCTTTTTATATAGTGCAAAGTTACATACATATAGGGAAGGATAAGTAGATAACGTGACATTCAGAGGAGTAAGTCATCTTTATTCATCAAGCACATTTCACAGACAAAAAGCTTTCCAGTCTTGGTGTTCCAGTGATTCTCATTCTCTTCACATGTTGAAGCCATGTTGAAGCCACTAACAATCATCATCCACTCTCTCACATTAAGGACTATTGCACATGTTTTAAATGATAGGGGAAACACAGACTTCCTGTGTCTGCTTAGGTTTCCTCCAGGTGTTCCGGGACAGGCAAACTCCACACAGAGAGGCCTGGAGGTGAAATCAAGCCAACTTCTCTCTGTGAAGCGCTAACTGCTAATGTGGTTTAATCTCAAGATCATCTTTAAGGAGCAAAATGAATCAATGCCTCGTAGAGGGTGTTCTTTTTATAGTCTATGTTTCCGTTGTGTTTGTGTGCGTCACGTAGTCAGAGCCAGAAAACACATCTCTGGTTTACTGCCATCAGCTGAATGTCGACAGAGGCGTTAGAGTTGGAAAGAACATATCATTAAAATAAGCTTCGAGTTTTGCCTGTTTGAGATTCAATATGTTCCTGAAGTGATGATGACTCATGAAAAAAATGAAATGAAAAAAAAAATGCCCTATTTATTTGAGGCAGATCTGAGGGAGACCAGAGGCAGACAATAGGCAGACTTTTTATTATCATTTATTTATTTGAATTTAGAACAGTACATATTAATCAAAGTGTTGGCAAACAGTATCAATATGAATATGCTGGAATTAGCACGATAGCTAAATTGTAGGCATTGTCCAAATGCAGGTATAACCTATAAACACACAGTTTGGCAACAGTACAAACAATAACTCGACAAGAGAAAAGAAAGACAGGCAGACCATAGGCAGACCATAGGCAGACCATAGACAGACCATAGACAGCTGCCTGTTAGACAGGATCCTCTGTAATCTAATGTAATGTATTGTGAGTATCCTCCACTTATGGACCAATCCCTCTACGTGTTTGTTTTCATTACATTTCCTGTGTTTAAGCTGTTTGATTCTCTGATCTGTGTTGGCGAATCAACAACTTTGTAAAGTCCTCAGAGATAATTACTGTTGGGATTTAAGGCGATACAAAAGTAAATGTAATTGAAGTTGAATAATGTAATGTGGCTGCTCTCTTCTTAGGTACAGTATATAAAATGTAATAAATGTAAGACAGAAAAATCCCAAAACACAGCCAGACAGTCAGGCCTGTGACCCTAAGAGCAGAGCAGAATAATGGAACTCCTTAACCCTTAAAGAGGGTTAGGGTTAATGAACCCCCAGGCCACTTTTCACGGTCCATATGTGTTTTGTACTGTAACACCAGCCTCATGCTTCCAGGGCTCCGTATGGGAAAGCCGTGGACATGTGGTCAGTGGGATGCATTCTGGGAGAGCTGAGCGATGGGCAGCCTCTGTTTCCAGGAGAGAGTGAGATTGACCAACTCTTCACCATCCAGAAAGTCCTGGGTCCTCTGCCTCCGGAGCAGATGAAGCTATTCTACAACAACCCTCGCTTCCACGGCCTGCGGGTAACTACCTTATACTGTACTTTACTGTACTTATACTGGACTTTTACTGTACTGAGAATGCACTTGTGCTGTATAAATGTAGAGTGAGAGACAAATGCCTACAACAATGTAAAGAGCTTTTTGACTGCTCTGTTAAAGGTGCTATATAAACAAATATTACTTACTTATATATTCTACACTGATACTGTACTGATACTCTACTTGTTCTGTATTTATACTGTGCCTCTCCGTCCTCTCTCTTCCCTCCTCCCTTTCTCCTCCCCCCTTCCTCTATCATCCCTCTGTCCTCCCTCCCTCCTCCCTCTGTCCTCCCTTCCTCCTCTCTCGATCCTCTCTCGATCCTCTCTCGATCCTCTCTCTGTCCTCTCCGTCCTCCCTATGTCCTCCTCTCTCCTCCCTCTGTGCCCCCACTGTCCTCCCTCTGTCCTCCTCTCTCTTCCTTCTCTCCACCCTCTGTTCTCCCTCTGTCCTCCTCTCTCCTCCTTCTCTCCACCCACTGTCCTCCCTCTGTCCTCCTCTCTCCTCCTTCTGTCCACCCTCTGTCCTCCCTCTGTCCTCCTCTCTCTTCCTTCTCTCCACCCTCTGTTCTCCCTCTGTCCTCCTCTCTCTTCCCTCTCTCTTCCCTCTTCTCTCCTGCTTCATTGATGTTTTGCGTCACCTCCTCTCTCTTATTTATCTTTCACCCTGTGATGTTTCTACATGTTTCTGCTGCTTTGACTGAGTCATCGTCATGTGAACAGACTCCTCTCTCTCTCGTTGCCCACGCCGAACATCACACTACACCATCTCTGTGCATTACTGATAATAAGACCCATCTTTATCCATGTTTCCAGCTATTCTACCACTAGCCCTTATACTCTACTCTACTTTTCTATGCTCTATACCCTACCGTACCTTACTTTTGTAACCCGTACCAAGTCCTTCTTTAGTCCCTCTTGGACCTGGTTCTATCCAGGTGTTCTAACCAAGCCACAGCGATCGAAGATGGCGTCCTTTTCAAATCAATGGCTTGAGCTCAGTAGCATATGTGCCACCATGGGCACCGAAAGATTAGCTGAACTCACCCATATTTAGTCATTTCTCTGGTCCTTCCAGAGATGCTAATCAGAGCGGAGTTAGATCTGGAGACAATCGAGCAGTGGCACTTAAAAAATCCTTCTGTTTATAGAAACTGAAAGATCTAAGAAGAAAAAAAAATCAGGATGATAAGGGACACTAAAATCCCCACAAAGTCCAAACTTATAAAAGGAAAGGGAGAAAATGTCTGGGTTGCCCACATTAATTTAAGGCCCAACCCAATTCTCACCATAGCCTTTAAAATGTACAATTGCCCTAGATTTTGCACGTGCCCTCGGGGGTTGTAGGGTGTCCCACTATTCTTAGGGAGCAGAGGCGAGGGCACTCACACCCTTGAAACAGCCCCTCAACGCCAGTTACATAGAAAATGAAAGCACATCAGTCTGAAAAAGCGGCAGATGAACTCCCACAAGATTAACGTGGCTAACACTACATCACTTGATTTAAAAAGGAATCATCTTTAAAAAAAATAATCAATTCAAATTCAAATAATAATTCTTAAAAATAAATAATAATCCTTAAAAAAATGTGTGACGGACAAAAGGGTTTCTGTAAAAAAAAGAAAAATCAAACTTAAGAAAAAAAGATTGTCTTGTCCATCCATCCATCCATTTTCTTCCCCTTAATCCATTTCTGGGTTAGGGGGGTGGCAGTCAGAGCTGCACCCAGTACACAGAGCACCAGCCCCTCACTGATCCTCCTGCAGGTGGTGAGTCCACAGGAGCTGAGATCTTTCAGTGGGAGCTTCAGGCAAAGTGGGGTTAAGTGTCTTACCCAAGGACACAACGACAGCAGTCATCAGTGGGAGTCGTGAAGTAGGTCTTACGGTGGGCTCGAACCCACAACCTTCAGGCTCGAAGGCCAATGCTCCACCAACTGAGCTACTGTCGCCCCAGATTGTCTTGTATCACATTTAATTGGTTTACATATGAAAGTCTCTACTCTGTGTAGGGAATAATAATCAATTAATAAATGTGGACTGCTGAAAATATGTGACAATCTTTGGATTGCTTGTTTTAAATTTTAAAACAGTTATCTTGTAGCAACTTCTAATGGACATAGGAGGTATTTGGATAAATGATAAACATCTTATTATTAAAAACTAATATCTTTACACTTTTTGTACCCTTTAGTGTGAACTAGCCCACAGTTCTTTTTATGTGGTTTGAAAGTTACGTAGCCCAGCTTTAAGGTTCACTTTTAAATACCAGTCATAGTGTATTGTTATTGCAGATAGATTTACACTAAATAGCAATAATAATATCTGTTATTTTCACCTGTATCTAGTTATAGTCATGTGACACAGCTCTCCGACACAGAGAGATTTGACGAATGAGTGTGAAGCCGTCGGACTGTGATGTTTATGTAAGACTGGAACAAAAAGAACAGTTCCAACAATTTTAAAAATGAAGTGAAGAGAAAGTCAGAGGCAGCAGTGAACCACATCCAACTTCAGCGTTGTCTTCTGCTCTGAGCCAAATACCTGAGAAGGAGCGAGAACACAGACACACTGCTTTTCTCTTTTGTCTTTTGTTGCGGTGGAACAATGACTGGCCAGGATTGTGAATGTGATGATTGGTGTGAAAACAAAACATTTATATAAGAATTGGCCAAACTATATTTAATCAAAGACAATAGGCTTTTGACTGTGAGAAGGAGTGGAAAAAAATTTGTCTTATTAGTACAGCGTTCAGGGACAAGACTGGCCCAAATGGGCAATAGTTGAAAGTACATATTGTGTATGTATATGTTGCTTTATATGCCAGCAGCTAATGGGGATCTTAAAACAAACAACCACAGATCTGCCCATCCCTTGCTCTTTATGGAGAAATCACATTTCTAACATGCTAGAATAAGTAGGTGATGTGAGCATAACTAAACTTATAATATGTTTTCTGTGTTAGTTTCCAACCGTGAACCACCCTCAGACTCTGGAGCGTAAATACCTGGGCATCATCGGAGGAGCTCTGCTCGACCTCCTCAAGGTAAAGTCTCACCTGCCATCATAGAAATTATTATTTTATCTAATCATTTTTGTTATTGTTCTCCACTTTCCTCTTCTTTTAATGTATTTTCTGTATGGTTACCACCAGTTTTGATCAATTTTGGAGACAAAATCACTCAAAAACTTGTGTTTCCTATTCAAAGAGACATGAGGACCTCACCCCAGATCGCTCGCTCACAGTGGACGGTGCGAGTGCACTCGGCTCAAGCTGGTTGTCATGTCACTGTTTGTTTCCATTACTCTGCTCTGAAAACATTTCTTATATTTGTCATAATCTTTAGTGTATTGCACGTATGTATGTACTATTCATATTTGTTCTTATGAAATGAGAAAAATAAACAAGGAAAAAGCGTGCCGTGAGGCAGGCAGTATCTGTACCTCACTGTAGGGGGCGATAGTGAGCCTGAAGTTCATACCCGAGTTACTAACCAACAATCGGTCCAATCTGCTATTTCTTTTACTGGAAAATAGATGATTTGATTGAAGATTTTTATTTTAAACTGGACTTTCAATCAAAGCAAGAAGTAATATCAACTGGGAGACCGCCGCCGGACTTTCTAGGTTTGTTTCAAATTGTGGGAGGAATTTGTCAATCTCTGTGTTTAATTTTGAAAATTGACCAAGATTCCTTCCCGGCTTGCGATTGCTCGCAGCTCATATAACGTATTCTCTCTTCTGGCATCTCTCTCTCTCCATCCTCATGTCTTTCTCTCCTTGCATCTCTTTCTCTCCCTCCTTGTGTCTCTCTCTCTCCTCGCTTCTCCAGCGCCTCTCGCACCTGTGCTTCTCAAAGATGTTGTCTCAAAGATTTGAGGCGAATTTATGTTTTTTTAGTAGAATAACGATTGTAAATCTGACTTTTAATGTCAGTGTTGGAGGCAACAGGACAACGTTGTCCGCAAACAGCGAAGATGAAGAGATTCAGATTCCTTTTATTTGCCATTTACAGTAAAACCTAATAGGAATACACTTGCAAATGTGAGACCAGCTTCCTGCCAGTGGATCCAACTCACGACCAGGTGGTGATCCGTTGACAGCTCCACCCCTCTCTTCACTCAAGTGTCCGAGACATGTTGCCGAAAGTCAGATGTGGCCTAGAGTGTGCTGATGCCACGTGCACTGGTGGACACCTTTTGTGTTTGAAAAAAATCCTTGTGTTCAGAACCGCCATTCTTTGTGGCGGCACGGTGGCTGAGTGGATAGCACTTCTGCTTCTTAGCAAGAAGGTCCTGAGTGGAGTGTGCATGTTCTCCCTGTACCTGCGTAGGTTTTTGCAGGGTACACCAGTTTTCCCTAACACTAAAGACATGCACCCTAGGTAAAATCCTCCAGCTCTGGTCCTGATCAAGCCGAGCGTCAACATCTGGAGATGGGTTTCCGGGCGCTGTACTACGGCGACCACTGCTCCTGACGTAAGCCTTAGCGGCTTCAGGATGGGTCAAATGCAGAGGATGACTTGCCCTACGGGGATTAATAAAGTGCACCTTTACCTTACCTATACCTTCCCAATCGCTCCTCTCCAATTGTCACTTGTTTAGAAGTCCCCCAGGAGAATAATGCAGTCCCCAGTCGGTGCACCATCCTGTACCTACTCTGCACCCTAGACTTTTCCCCCACCCGGAGGCGGAGGGACGCGACCCTCTCATTCAAAGGCTTCTAATACAATAAAGATGATGGTGGTTAGTTCTGATGTATTATTTGATTTAAAAAAGAAAAATGGTACGATACTGAAGCTTTATTCTATAGTTAAAGATTCTGCATGTTGCACTGATTAATAAACGGAGGGTAAAGAACAAAGAAGCGGGTGTTGGTATTTTCCTTTTGTTGGTATATTTGTCTCTCCTTCGTCACGATTCCCACTCACAGTGTTCTCCGTTTGCTGACACAGTGGTGTGGAGACACTGACTCAGGCACAACTGTTAGGTTTTGGATGTTAGACGCTCAGGACCAGACAGAGCCAGGATCTCCATGGAAACGTGTAGGAAGCATTTATGGTTCCTAGTATGTTTTTGTTATTGTTCTCATTATAGACATGTCCACATATAGGACCGAAGGGAAAGCTCTAGGGCAGGGGTCGGCTACTCAAAAGGTTCAAAGAGTTTTTATTTGACAAAAAAACTAAAAGTCTGGAGCCGCAAAAAAATAACAGCGGCTCCAGACAGATGCTTATATGACGGTAACACAGGCTGCTGGTAACATATTAGCCTAACATCTAAATGACAAAGTAAAGGCTACAATAATACATAATAAGCATTCATAATTATCAAATGTGTGTTTTCACTGCAGCGTGTCCTGGAGAGACTGAAGCACCACGTGACGACTCTGCTTTAACTTCCATTTTTTTTGCGTTCATGCAATTGTAGAAATACAGTAAATAAATCTGCTTTTTGGCTCAACAAAAATAAATTGTGTGGTTCTCAGACTAAAAAGGATATGGGAGAGAATGGTCTGTGGGAAAACACATGTTGTTTTTGACGGGATGCTCAACTTGCCCGGTCAATCTAAAAACAGTTTTGTATTTCATCCGAATCTTGAACCTCAAAAAAGACAGAACCTTTTGCTTCCATGTGCAATGATTTAAAAAAAAAAACACATAGAGCCTTTGGTCCATAAGAACAATGTCCTATAAGGAGGTTGGGGTTGGAGCCTATGTTTTTATGATTTATGACACAATTATGATGGACTCCATGACCTATTTATTATACAGTATATTTGTATTTATTTATTATATATTTGTATTTATTTATTATATATTTGTATTTATTTATTATATATTTTTATTTATTTATCATATTTTTTTTATTTTTTTTTATTTGGTGGATCGATGTGTTTCTGCTGCTGGACACCTGAGTTTCTTCTTTGGGGGTCAATAAAGTATTTATCTATCTATCTGTCTTTCTATCTACTGTCCTCAGAATACTAATGTTCTGCTTCCTAATTCTTTTTTCAGAACCTCCTTCTGCTGAACCCCACGGAGCGCTTCCTGACGGAGCAGAGTCTGAACCATCACGCCTTCCAGAGCCTGAGGCACGTGGACCGACCAGGACCCCCCACCCCCACCCCTGCCCGGTCATCCAAGAGGAAGCCCCACCATGGAGACAACACCACACCCAGCAGGTCAGCCCTCAGTCCGCAGTCCACCTCAGCCCACCTCAGTCTCCTCAGCAGAAGAATGTTAGGGCGACTATTGGGGGCTTCTTTAAGGATGCTAATTAGTGATCTTGAAAAAAGTGGTAGATTCCTCACCAATAGACTAGAGAATCAAACAGTTCGAACACAGGAAATGCATTAGTAAACACATAGAGGCATTGGTCCAATGAGAGTGGGAGGAGCACTGTCCAGAAATGTTAATGAATATTAATAAATATCCCAGATCATCACTGTCCTTTTAACCTCTTGCAGATCTGATGCAGTGGTGACTCCCACATTTGGTACATGGGGTCAATAAGATAAGATAATATAAGATATTCCTTTATTCGTCTCGCAGTGGAGAAATTTCAGTGTCATAGTTGCGCACATTTCAGCAGAGAAAGAAGGAAATAAGATTCAGATTCAGTTTATTTGCCATTTCCATCCCATTGGAATACATTAGCAAAAAGTCTCCAGTGTGCACAGACAAATACAGACATAACACATTAAAAGACAGAAATAAAACAAATAAAACAGTAAACAATTGTCACTGTGAAATCAATCGGCTAAAACAGTTTCAAAACAAGTGCAAATCATTAAAGTGCTCTGTTCACACTGATAACAGCTTGTTGAAAAAAGCTGTTAGCATAACGAGATGTCCTGCATCTCAGAGAACGATATCTTCTGCCAGAGGGAACAAGGCTTTTCCAGGGTGGCCAGAAGAGTCATTGATCAGACAAAAAATAACAAAACACAGATTGTGCACACCAGAGCTCTCACTGCGAGCTATCAATCTGAGAGCACTCAGATTGCACAAATCAAACAGAGTCTATTATTCAAGATAATAGACAATACAATTAAATAAGATATAGAATAAAATAAAATAAACTGGAGCTATAATTGCACTTGGTTCAGGAGTATTTACAGATGTGTGTATTGTTCTTAAGCAGCGGAGAATATGAGCAGTATAAACATCAGTAATAATAACAACAGGTAAAGTGACAAGTGAATGGCAGAACTATCGGATGGATGGATATGTAATAATGCAGTAATAATAATAACAGGTAAAGTGACTAGTGAAAAAAGTTACTAGTGAATTATTATCAATGACACTTGTACAGACTCAGCAGTTCTTGTTATACGTTCTCATTGTACAGCCTGACAGCAGTAGGTAGAAAGGACCTGCGAAACCTCTCCTTCACACACCGAGGGTGTCTAAGTCTGTCACTGAAACTGCTCTCCAGAGCAGACTGATTGTCCTGCAGGGGGTGACAGTCATGGTCCAGCATAGATGTTAGTTTGCAGGATTCTTTAAAGTGATAGTCTGGAACTCTAAATAAATTACAAATTTTAAGAATCGTATTAAATTGACCTCCTGGCCTTAAATGTTGATATAAATCATTTTATTAATTCTAATATTACGGGCAAGTCCCACCTTCCCTTCTCTTAGCTATTGCTCGAAATCCACGTTGCCGTCCACGTTAACCAATCAAGTGATGCCAAGGGTTGTCAATCCTCGCCCATGCTCAGTTGTTTGTTTTCGCGGAGTCTCCAAAATCAAGCCTCTTAGGCTCTGAAACTACATGAAAACTGAACAAAGAATTCTGAACATCTGCGCTGAGGTACTCATGTATATACTGAACCTATATCCATAATCAGATCCTCTGCAGATGTGTCCTATAATGTGCAATTCATGATAATAGCTACTTCCGGGTTTGCTGCGATAGTTTTTTGTGTGCATTAAAACATTATTTTTTTCATGAAAACTTTAACAAATAATTCTGAAAACCTCTGTGCATGTGTATTAATAATGTATATGTGTAATGAATTTTCCAATTAACATTTAAATGTGTTACGGAAACGTAGGTGTAGACCAATCAGAAAGGAAGGGGGATGGAGCTTGCCTCGTTTTTTTTCCAAATCAAGTACCTCTCTCTCTCTCTTTCTGACAAACTCCAGACAATCACTTTAAATGCATTCCTTTTCTTTACTTACTTTTCTTTGAAGGCGACAGTCAAACATCCCACCCTGACCTCCGCTCTCTGAGACATTCCCTTATCACTCTCTGGTCTGTCCTTCCTCCTCTGCAGAACACACAGCTCTGAAGTATTGTCAGTACATTTACCATGAGTGTCCTGCTGGTGGACCATGTGTGTTAGGGCTATGGTGCACACTGCTGGTCACATTCATCAGTGAGTGTTCTTGTCTCGGTTCCCATTCACACCCTGCTTTCTGAGCTCAGAATTTCCTGACAGCTGTAATTTTTGGATATCTAAAATGGTGTGGTAGAAATTGATCTAAAGGTGTGATAGTGACAAGTATTTGTGTCGTGTTGTGTATGTAGAGGATGTACTGTTAGGATTGTTAGCAGCAATTTGTTTTTGATTGTGTCACAAAATTTAATTTATGCCATTTTAGCTATGGTGTGAATCATTACGGACACATCCCACCTCATGGGACCAGACCAGATCCAGTAGAAACAGTGTTGAAATGCAGGTTAGTCTGGTGAACTAAAGTGCTCACAACTCCCCTGATTTATACAATCAGAGCCTCGAATTCGTTCCCCTCTCTGTCATCGGCTCTTCTTGTCTTCTAAGCTTGTAATAGAACATAAATATACAGATTTGTGTTGTTGTTTGTTCCCCTATTTTTCAGGAGCCACGGAGGGAAGAGTTCTGGAGGCCATCGCTCCAGCAGCAGAGAGTGCTCCAGTCTGCCTCGTCAGGAAGACCTCCAACCAAACAACGACTGCTTCCTCAATGGGAACCTGCCCCTCAACCTCAGCCCCACCTTGCACCCCAAGAACTACCAACCCTCCCTCTTCAATCACGACCTCACAGGCCCCAACCTTCCCCACCTGCTCAGCTCCAACGACGGCCAGAACACTGGCGACTTCGACATCAGCCTGGGCTCCGACGGCTTCCTCAAATCCAACTTCCGTCCTCAGACTCGGCATTCGTTTGTGGAGGGAAAAACCAACACGCTTCAGTCCGGAGAGAAACACAGCCGCCACTACATGGATTCGCACGGCTCGGTTCCAGCCTCCAATAAGTTTGCCTATTTGAACTTGTCCAAAAGCTACGGCAATCTGAGCGACGCCAAATCTGTGGGGAACCTGAACGACGTGCACCTGTACACGGAGGAGCCCACGGGTCGGTACTTCCCGTCCAGCTGCCTGGACCTGAGCGCGGCCCCTAGCAGCCCCGCCTCTCGCAGAGTGGAGCGGCTGGGGCCCGGCCGCGGCAGCATGCGAGAGAGAGAGAGCAACACGCTGGACTCGTCGTACAGGAGGTCGTCCACGCGCCACAAAAACTCAGAGGATGGAGAGGAAGCACAGGACGCCAGAGGACATGGTAGGGTTAGGAAAGGGTTGGATGAAAACTTAGCGGACAGAAAGCACTGTAGGGTCATGATAGAAAGAAAGAAGATATCCAATAAGAGACAACAACCCTTCATAATTTCAATGTGATAAACAAGTTTTGATAAACAAACAAACGAAACAGTCATCATTAAAGTATACAGTGCCTTGCGAAAGTATTCGGCGCCCTTGAACCTTTCAACATTTCGCCACATTTCAGGCTTCGAACATAAAGATATAAAATTTAAAAAAAAATTCATGAATCAACAACAAGTGGGACACAATCGTGAAGTGGAACGAAATTTATTGGATAATTTAAACTTTTTAAATTATCCAATAAATTGCTGTAGTTATCTGCAGTTCATCCAGAGCGATCATGGGCCTCTTGGCTGAATCTCTGATCAGTCTTCTCCTTGTTTGAGATGAAAGTTTGGAGGGACGGCCGGGTCTTGGTAGATTTGCAGTGGTCTGATACTCCTTCCATTTCAATATAATTGCTTGCACAGTGCTCCTTGAGATGTTTAAAGCTTGGGAAATCTTTTTGTATCCAAATCCAGCTTTAAACTTCTCCACAACAGTATCTCGGACCTGCCTGGTGTGTTCCTTTGTCTTCATGGTTCTCTCTGCGCTTTAAACAGAACCCTGAGACTATCAAAGAGCAGGTGCATTTATACAGAGACTTGATTACACACAGGTGCATTCTATTTATCATCATCAGTCATTTAGGACAACATTGGATCATTCAAAGATCCTCACTGAACTTCTGGACTGAGTTTGCTGCACTGAAAGTAAAGGGGCCGAATAATATTGCACGCCCCACTTTTCAGTTTTTATTTGTTAAAAAAGTTTAAATTATCCAATAAATTTCGTTCCACTTCACGATTGTGTCCCACTTGTTGTTGATTCATGAAAAAAAATAAAAAATGTATATCTTTATGTTTGAAGCCTGAAATGTGGCGAAATGTTGAAAGGTTCAAGGGGGCCGATTACTTTCGCAAGGCACTGTATGTTACATAAAACATACACTAAAGAGAGCTGAACCATAGACCATAGACCATCAGTCTTTCTGTTTGTTTTGTGGGAATCAGGAGACTTTTTTTATTTGTTTTTTGTATGGACCAATTTATCTCAATAGCAACTACCCAGAAATCAGCACAGTTCACTTGCAGAAGGACAGAAGGCTCCTGATTGTTTAGTGTGATGCCTCCTGTAGGTGAAAGCCAGATCCTGTCGGACCTCTGAAGCTAAGCAGGGCAGGGCCTGGTAATAAATGTGTTGGGAGACCATGGGAACACCAAGTGCCACAGTGGGGCGGCTGCAGCTATAGTGCCAAATTGTGGTTGTGTCCATAGGCATGACATTCACCCACCTTAGAAGAAGTCTGGTGTGTGTGTGAATGTTTGTTGGTGGTGGGAGAGGCCTCCCTGCTCCTGTGCAGCTGTGGCTACAGTAGTAGTTTATCACCACTCCTACGCTTCCCAGAGCTAGCGAATAGACATGGCCATGCCTGTATACAGTCCATGGAATCAACAACTCTTTTCAGAATAGCGTCAGAAGTTTCTATTGTCTTTTGTATCCATTTTGTAATCCATTTTAAGAATTTCTACAATTATCTTTAACCTTTCTGTAATAACGGTGGTGTGTTTGGAGCCCCTTCCCGTAAGAGTCTCACAAATGTCATTCTAAAGTTAGAATCAAACTCAATATCAAGTTGAATCTGAAATGCAATGATAAAAAAAACACCTCCTCTCTCTTGGTTCCAGGTCATGGACACTCGCTCTCTGCTCCTCACGACCCTCAGTACGCACAGGGCTACACCAGTCCCTTCTCCTCTCAGCAGAGACCACACCGACACTCCATGTACGTGAGGAGAGACCACCAGAGGACCCACGAGGAGGGTCTGTCCGTGGGCCAGGGGATCCCCACCAGAGCCTCCAGCCTCCAGCTCCTCTCCCCCCAGCTGCAGCACCGCACCCTGCCCCGCCACGCAGCCTCGTCCCGGGAGGAGGACATGAGCCGGGTCAGTGACTACTACTGTGGATTTATTTAGTTATTTATTAAGATTGTTTGAAAAAAATATATATTATTCTATTGTGTTTGTGTGAATGTGAGCGAAGAGTTAATGCACAATTAGCTTTGGGATCAATAAAGTATCTATCAAGATTAAGAGATCCTTTATTTGTCCCACCGTGGGGAAATTTCAGTGTTGCATCAGCAGTTACAGAACAGTATGAGTAGCACACAGCACAAGATAAATTCATCTACAGTATCTACCTATCTCTCTATCTATATCTATTTTTTGGGGAGAGGCATTAAGGGTCATGAGGTCTGGAATCTTTTATAGGTTAATTTCTTATTCATTTTTGTCACACATTATACTGTCATAATTCTGCAAAAAATATGACAAATTACAAACACAAACTAGAAAGTGTGCAATAGCTGAGGCCATCGTGAGCAACTGCATACAATAAACAAAAACAAAGTGCAACAAAATACAAATAAGATCAAAAACATTTAAAACATGAAAGACAGGAGCGAGTGTGGAATCTGCTTGATCCACACAAGATTTGATCATAATGTGTTCCTTAGTGGAGCTTCACTTTTGGATTAAATTAAGGTCTTTATTTAAGTTAAATATTTATGTTGTTACTTATTTGTGTTTTAATTATTGCCTCTAAAGTCCAACCAACATGAACACAGCTGCTAATGGGGGTTCTGTGCTGCTAGAAGTGTTTCCAATGAATAGAAGGCTATGGAGGCCAGCCCCCTCTGGTCTAATTATTCTATCCGCCAAAGTTTATCTCCAGTGTGAAACTATATGAAAAATAAAGTGGCAATGATAAATGCTACTTATTACTTTGTATTAGTTGTTTAAAGGGGACGTAACACACAAAAATGACTCAACATAGCTGCGACTCTTCCTCCTAACTCATCTGAGAAACTGAACACTTTGATTCATCTTTTAGGCTCAAAAAATCTCTATTCCTCTGATGCGGCCAGGTTTCTGCTTTCAGCAACAATACAGTGGGGATTTTATTTTTAGAATTGATATGGTGATTTAATTTGCCTGAGTGCATGTTTACAAAGTTATGAAATGACACGATTCTGCGTTGTTCCCAACCCGGTCTTACCACTCTGGTTCTAGTCTATTCAAATCAGTCTAGTCTATAGTCTATAATAGTCTATCTAAAGTTATCTAAATCAATTCAAAATTCCATGCATTTTAATCATGTTGCAGTCTGATTTATAACATATCCAGCGTAATTACATAGTTTTCTGCAATAATTCCGTTCAATTTGATGTATTTTTGTATTTCCTTTTTGCAGTTGCCTATGAGGACTTTACAAAGTTGTCAATTCCTCAACAACGGATCAGAGTCAAAACAGTTCGAAATGTAATAATAGCGTTCTCATGATGCACAGATGTATTTTACTGTATCCTCTGTATCACTGTCCTTCTCTCATGTTGGATGTTGTGCTTCTGCTCCTGCTGTTGTGATGTCACGCTCACTCTCCATGTTGCATTGAACGGAGAGAACAGGCTCCCACTGAGGTCAGCCTCAGCAGACCCCATATACGAGACCCCACAGGAGACCCCACGTGAGATCCCACAGGAGACCCCATGCGAGACTCCACACAGGACAACATTCCTTTCTCTCACAGAAGCAGAAAAACCAAGTTCGACATTCTGCTCCCACCTCCTCTCCCTCTGCCCACAGCCAGCGTGGTGTGGGTGGATTCTGCTGCCGTCATGCTCTCTCTCTCTCCTCTCCTCTCTCTCTCTGCCTCTCACACTCTCTCTCCTCCTCTCTCCCTCTCTCTCTCCTCCTCTCTCCCTTTCTCTCTCCCTCCCTCTCCTCTCTCACCTCTCCCTCTCCCCCCCCCCCCCCCCCCCCCTCTCCCTCATCATCAGATGCCTCTTCATTGTCTGTGTGCTTCTCTTCCATGTGACCAACAGCCCAGTCACAGAACAGTTTATAACCACTGCTTACTGTGACATCCACAGGTTTTTTGGGGCGGCGTTTAGGAGAAAGCCAAATCCTCAGTGTCTGGGTTCGGTTAGTTTTTTAGACCTGTGTCTGATGAGACCATGCGTGTAACCATTTGTGTGACCATGTGTGATGTACCAGGTGGGGCTGTACCTGGAGCAGGGGGAGGACGTCAGCTCTAGTAAAGAGAACAGAAACATCTACAGTGAGTCGATGCCCAGGAGGGTGGGCAGCTTCTACAGAGGTGGGTCTGACACGTCACAGAGTTTAATGAACAAACATCAGAATCAACTTGAGCCAAAGGAATCTGCTTTGGCTCAAGTTGCAAACATCTTATACAAGTAAACTGGGTATAAGGCAAAAACCAATCTCTATGGATTTTCTTAAAAAGATGACTATATACAAGTGCACACTGAGCAGTGTTGGGCACGTTACTTTTAAAAAGCAGTTAGTTATAGTTACTAGTTACTTCTCCCAAAAAGTAACTGAGTTACTAACTGAGTTACTCCACTATTAAAGTAACTAGTTACCAGTAAAAGTAACTGTTGCGTAACTATACTTTTTCGTTACGTTCTGGAACATAATGTGCACTCGACGTGGACATTTTGACCTTTAACCTCATGAGTTTGAAATAGTGGTGATATTTCCATCTGGAAAAGGATGTTTTGTTGCTGGAGTCCTCCTCACTCTTCATCTCTCTTTGTTTGCTGTAAGCACTAAACACCCACCACTAGGGTTGCCAACTTGAGAACAAAAAAATCAGGGACACCATTTGGGTGGATCGGGTTGAGCACTTTTTAGTCCTAATTACAGTCTACACAGTAATCATGGAATTTCATAATCACAGTTTTTAGAATGTAATTTATTGACTACATATATATATATAAAAAAATCCTTAGTCAAAAATGAAATTGAATAAATAGGTGGAACTCTTTGGCTGGTTAAGGACTTAATGCATTCTTATTAGTAATAAAAAATATAAAAAAGACAAATACTGTAACATACATTATTTATGAATGTTACAGTAAAGACCAATTTCTGTAAAAGCAAATAAAAAAAGAAAAACATATGTATTCATTAAAAAAACTCACAAATCAAAGTCTGTAGCAGTTCGATATGGTCATCATTATTTATATTGTCAGAGAGTTTTGTGCAGGTACTGCAGGTTTGTGGCTTCAGTAAAAGCTATTGTTCGTTTACAAAGCTGGTCTGGATATTTGTTGACGGTCCCTAAGTACTTTTCTTGGCGCTTGCAGTGCACTGGATTCAGAGGATTTCTCTGCATTATAACAGCGCATTGAATTTGTAAAATCAACGTAGAGATGATCATTTTAGCACAATTACTTTTGTTTAACAAAGTAGCTTTCGTGAGCTATTGACCGCGGAAGTCTGAATCTGGGAAAATGACGCTACTTTATCCATGAAACTTCTGCTGATTGTGCTGCGGGCACGGCCCACGCTGGCGATTGTCAACATTAAACCAACGTCTGTGATCAAGCCTATGCCCCTTTGACAGTGATTGGCCGAAAGGTAGACGCTTAAACTGTGATCATTACTGTGTGTGTGCGTGTGTCGCGCGTGTGACATGCAGTGAGTGAGTGATGCATTTAAGGTGGCTCTGAAAATACGGGACAAAAGCCGCCCCGTATCAGTTCAATACGGGACGCACATAGTTTTTCTATAATACGGGACAATTCCGTATTTCAAGGGACGGTTGGCAACCCTACCCGCCACTGTGAATGCAGAAACACCCACCAGTGAGGTTGGTGATTGGTGAGGCACTGACCTCACCCCAATTGTATAAATCATATAAATCAGGACCTACAGAGCGGCTTATTCACTATTTGTTTGGCGACAACCAGCAGCAGCATTAGCCCAGCAGCATTAGCCTAGCAGACACCACTGGAAACAGCGAAAAACAGCACGGCATTGATTCAGACGGGGTTTGAAGTATCGCGGCGAAATGAAAAGATATATTAAGACATATCAGCTTCACCTCGAAGCACTGAGGATTCATCAGACTCCATAACAAGCTGTGAAAAGTTTAAAAAACTGAAGGAGGACAATAAAAAACTCAAAGACCGCAACAACCGGAGCGGTTACGACCGTAAAATAAACAAATGGGTTTGGCGTAATGAGTTTCTCTCCTACTGCAGTGGAGACACGGCCACTGAGAGGACAGTGGAAACGCAGCAATAGTGGAGGGATCTGAAAACAGCATGTTGTGGTCAGATTTAACATAGATTATTTAAAAGAAAGTTAGATTCCCGAACTTTAGATGTAGAACCACATCTGGACTCTTAATTTTTTATATCAAATATCTTTGGAAACAACTCCAATTCTAATGGATTATACACACAGTAAAAAGTAGGGGTGTGACGATATATCGATATATCGCGATACTTTCTCCCGCGATTCGATTATTATTATTTTTTTACATTTTTGTAAAAAAAATTGGTATCAATAATTAATATATGGCTACATTACGCATCTCCATTCCATTTATCATGAAATAAAGTGTATTTTTTCTTTTATTTATGCCATAAATTGGCATATTGTATATTTCTGACCAATATATCGATAGTCGTCATATCGTGATAAAATTGTTATTGTGATAATATCGTTATCGTGATAATATCGTTATCGTGATAATATCGTTATCGTGATAATATCGTTATCGTGATAATATCGTTATCGTGATAATATCGTTATCGTGATAATATCGTTATCGTGATCTTTGTATCGTGTATCGTATCGTATTGTGAGGTACCCTTAGGTTCCCACCCCTTGCAAAAAGCGTTAATGTGACTCTGTTTCAGATCATATTTGGTGCCACTCAAAACCATTGTAAAAGTGACTCTTTGGTCTGAGTTAAATGTTTAGAGTTTAATATTGAGTTTAATACTAATTAATATTAGTTTTTAGAGCTCAATATTGAGCCAAACTTTAAACAACATGTTTACTGTGCAGAGATCAGAACACACTCCTTCCACGTTTGTTGTAACCTGCTTTTCCCTCAGTCCCCTCTCCGCGACCAGACAACTCCTTCCACGACAGCAGGGGGCAGCAGCGAGCAGGGGACAGTGGCTCCAAACGACAGCCGGCCTTTGACCCCTGGTAATGATGTCTTGAACTCCTAAACCCCTGAATCTGAATTTGTATCTATACCCCTCCCCCTCCCCCTCCCCCTCCCCTGAATCTGTATCTGCACCAAGTCCATCATCTCTAATGCTCTTAAAACCTGTTTTTCTCAGGAACGGTCCGGACACAGTCGTCCTGAATCCTGAACCGTCCAAAGAAAAGGAGAAGCAGGGTTTCTTCAGAGCAATAAAGAAGAAGAAGAAGAAGTCTCAACTGGTGCGTGTGTGTGTGTGTGTGTGTGTGTCAAAAGGATGACAGATAAACGAGGAAGTAGAGACATAGTGTTAGGGATGAGGCAGAGAGAGACATAGGAAACAATGTAATAATTCAAGGGCAGCTATGGTAACATATGAAGCTGCCGGTGGGTTATTGTTATTTTGTATGTATCTTTACTGACCCACAATTAATATTATGAATTTTTTAGATTTATTTAGATTATTATTATTATTTTTTTACTTAAACACAATGAAACAATACCATACATAATACGATACTGCAGGAATAACTACTACGTCAATGAATCTGCAACAAGTATCTCTGAGGCAGCGAACCTCTGAGCACCACTGACCGCCACATGGTCTGAATCTGCTCTCGTCTATCCTGTTGTTGCTGGCTCCTTGCTTGTCCTCTGTGTTCCTGCAGTGTTTTGCTCTGGTGTGGCTGTACCTGTCCTCTGTCCTGTGGCATCAGTGTTGTGTCTCTGTATTTCAGGTGGAACCCCCCGATCGCAGACCTCCCTCCCTCAGGAAAAGTCTATTTCCTCTGTTTAGTCCAAAGAATCACATAAAGCGTAGCTCGTCTGTGAGAGTGCTCCCTGTGCTGTCCGCTCCCATGGTACTTGTTCTGCACCTTTTCTATGTTCTACTGCATGCTTCATTATATTCATGTATCTGACTTTTATCTACATGTTTATTTGTTGGACATTTCCCTGGCGAATCATTGACACTGATCAGATCCATTCTTAAGGAGAGAGAGAACGGGAGAACAGTAGAAATGCAGTGTAAATTTATCAATGTCAACGTTATTTGTATTGCACATTTACAACAACACCAGCTGCCCAAAGTGCTTCACAGGCATGAAAGATAAAAATAAAAGAACACGTCATAAAAATACATACACATACATAGACAAACAGAATAGTATATTTATCAATCCAAGTGGTTTAGTTCAGTATAGGACCAGAGTAGGACCCAATAAATACGTTACTTTTCTCCAATGTTAAAGCAATGGTTAAATGCACTCCTAGTGGTCTAATCATGCCATTACAATCCAACTCACTGTCAAAATCTTCCTCCTGTGATACACTGGTTACTAATGCAATCCACCTGCTGGAGCTGAGCTAGCAACAGTACAAACTCGGTGTTACATATAATACTTATGTTGTGTTCCTGGTTTGATTTAAATATATGTGGCGCTGTTGTTTTCGGTTTGAGAATGTTGTTATATTTTACATTTTACATACTGCTCCTTTAAGAATAATTTAACCGTTGTTAGTATACGATGTGTGCATGTGGCCTGTGTCTGGGGACAAATATATGTCCGCTGTCCCTTTGAATACTACCGTCCCTTTAAAGACCACTGTCCCTTTAAAGACCAGTTTAAAGACTGACGCTGGATAAATCGACCCCTCACTGCTTTAGGTAATTACAATCACAATCAAAAGCGTTTCTCGCAGATGTCCCTGAACGCAGACCTCACACGCAGTGACCAAATCACTGAGAAACATGTGATTCTGCTTCTGATCTGATAATCAAACACCAAAAATAAGAGATGTCCCACAGTGGGGAAATTTCAGTGTTGCATCACAAGTTATAGAACAGTAGGAAAGAGGAGCACACAGCACAAGATAACTGAACAATAGCTGTATAAGTATAAAATCTCTATCTTGAAAATAGTAATAATATAAAGAAGTATAAAAGTATAATGTGTTCACAAATTCCATTTTTCTGTAATTAAGAAAACATTAGCATTGTGATGTGTCCCTTTAAATGTCCACAAGGATCTGGTTATTTTAGTTTAGAATCTGGACAATGTGTGTTACTCTAATGTATCTAATCTAATAATACTAATGTATCTACTATGTATCCCTTGTTTCAGCAGTTTTCCTATAGTTTTAATCTTTTTGAAGTCGTCATTTACAACAGAGAGAACAGGTCTCAATTTCCTCCTCAGATTAAATTGAATTTATTGAAATTGATGTTGTGTTTGATAATGACTGATACACACTGTGCTGTATCTTGTATCAGCAGGAGAACTCACAATCGCTGTGTCTGTCTGATTACACTGTTGTCTGAGTCTGAACCGTGACTGTGCGTCTGCAGGCGGCCAATGAGGCGGCGGAGAACGTCCTTCAGAAGTCATCTAGATCCGGACATCAGAGTCGACACAGATCCAGAGACAAGAGCCGCGAGCGCGAGGACCGCGACAAGGACTGGCCTCCGGAGAAACTTTCCGACTCACATTCTCCGGTACGAACGTTCTCCACATAAGAACAGGTTTAGGAGACTATTCTAATGTAATTTTACAATGATGTGAAGAGAGAAAGAGAGTTTTAGTCTCGTGAGCAGGTTTAAGATAAGATTAGATATTTGTCCCTCTTTCTGGTCACTCAAACAGCATGTCTTTTTTACCACCGTGTTTGGAGTGAAAGAATAATGTTGTGAAGAGACTTTGAGAGTCCAAAAATGTTCTCTGTAAAGCATTATTATTATGTCCTGTGTTCAAATACATAAATATACAGTCTGTGACAGTAACACTGTAACATCTTATAGCCCTTTATATCTATATTTTTTTTTTATATCTTATTATTACAGTATCGAGCTTCTACATTAATCTGAAACATCCACCCACACAGACTGTAACTGTCGCTCAGTGTGAAACTCTTTACACAAGAGTAGAAATATGACATTTCTGCTCTTGTGTAGAGCTGCTCTATAACTGACTGTGACAAATAAGTGCGACAATATCGCACTCAAACACACGCAAGTTTTCTTTGTGTAGGACAGTTTATATACAAGACTCAAAGTGCTGAACCAAACAGGACACTGTCCTCGACCTGTGTTTGTTTCTAATCATTGATGTAAAAATAAAGAGTACTTTTATGGTCCTCATTATAACCTCGGTAATGAGGTGTGATCATAGAAAACGCCTAATATTGAATTCTGTTAGTGTAGAATTCTATCATTCCTCTAAAAACCCATTTCCATTTCAGAGCCAGCCGCTGAAGTCACTGAGGAAGCTCCTGCACCTGTCGTCGTCCTCGTCCAATCAGACGGCTCCCTCCGACATGCGATACCCCGGCCCGACAACATCGGGCGGCTTCACGGAGGGCAGGGCTCACTCTGGGGTCAGTACGCCGCAAATGAAGAGTCGCCAGTACCCACACCCCTCGCAGCTGGACTCAGGCTGGCACTCCTCCGCACTGGGACGTCCTGAAGGCAACCCTTACCCCGAGCAGATGGGCATCAAGGCCGGCCAGAACGGGTTCGGACGCCAGTCTCGCTCACGTGTCCCCAACTTAAACGACCTGAAGGAGACGGCACTGTGATCCGTGACAGGTTCAGCTCCAGCATCAATATACCGGACCAATATCACATCTTATACACATTTTACTTTCAATTCAACTGCTATTTTTTTAAGTTTAGCAGGTTTTTGGTTTTACTTCCTGATTGTCTATTGATGACATCCCACTGGGATTCCCTGTTGTACACTATGGTTTCTGCACTAGTCTTAAAAAGTCTTCAGCAACAAAGGTCTGAAAGCAATTTACATTGAAATTATTATGTTTAGCATTTAGTGTTTGGAACCGTTGCAAAGTGCTGTATCTCTTGGAAAGAATGGCAATTAGGCCTTATTCATTCTACAGTGGTCTTAAACCACTTTGAGGAGATTTAAACTTTGAAGAAATAAGAACTCTTTTTCACTGCTGCAGAAACCCTAGCCTTAAATGTGAACTACAAAGGTTTGAAATGTCAGAAATAATATGTTTTTGGAAATTTGGCCAAAAACGTATGAAAAGAATTGCTGTCTCCTTTGCGTGACGTCGTTGGTCGCATCTCAAATTCCTCTCCTCCACCTGTCCTCAATTCCTCCATTTGTGTGAAGAAGTTCCACACACAGAGGAGACAAGGAGCAAGAGGAGCAAGCGGAGCAGAGGAGATGGGGGATGCATTATTTCGGGACCACTGTCCAGAAAGGTTAATTCATGTCCTGGATCATGACTGTCCTCAGACCCTCCTGCATCAGAGAGGAACCACTCAAGAAACACAGTGGGAAAAAGTCAGATTCCTCTTTCTAAGTCTCCCACAGACATAGAAAGATGTTAAAGTTAAAGATGTGGCAGAGGCCAAAAATAAATGTATATGAAAACTGGTGATAGAAGGAAAGAGCCGGACAGAATATATTATAAAGTTCCCTTTTTCTGGTTTGAAAGTTGGGTACCCGAGCTTTAAACATGTGCCACAGGAGACACATAATATCAAACATTACAAACAGAAGGAGCTACTTTTTGTGAATTCGAACGTAGCCCTTGAAATAGATTTGAGATGCAACATTAGAGATGCATTATGGGACTTCTGCTTTAACATATTTATTCAATTTTTCATTCACAGATTTACATTTACAGCAGTTTCTCCACTAAACATATGACACCTGTGGCTTTCACCTGCTCCACTTTTTCTGTCTGTGCAACTCTGTAACCTGCTCTTTTTTAAAGCTTCCATGTTTGATAGACTTTATATTATTACGTAATTCTAATTCTAATTTGTACTATACCTATAAATATAATACAGATCATATATATATATATGTATATGGATTAAGTGTATATTGTAGTATTTTTGGTTTATGGAAGAATCTCTATAGTGCTTTTTCTGATGTAGTATTTACTATAGGAACCAGGCATTTTAAGACACTTTAACATTGTTTTGGTCAGTAATGTAAGAATCTGTGTGTTCATCCAGAGTCTTAGCTGTTGCCTTCTCTGAGTGTGTGTGAGTGAGAGAAATCCCGATAGTGCAATTAATATGAAACTTATGAACGCTTAGCTAAGAGGTATTTTTAGGCTATTTATGACTTTTAGAAATGCAGCCATTTTAGAAAAACTGGTGCCATAAACTGGGAGATATAAGCTACACCGTCCTCTGGTGGCCATTAACAGACACTACAAATTATTGCTAATAATGTACATTATTGTTTTCTACACACGTGTTATTCTTATGGAGGAGAGATGGGACAGTATCCAATGTCCAGGGTAAGGTGATCATAAAATACTAAACACACTATAATTATAAGTTAAAGAGCTATCATGCAAAAATTAACCAATTTTCCTTTCCTCTACGACTGTCCAGATAACGTACCAAAACAGACCAAAAAACAAGCTAACTAAGTATATCTGTATAAAGGCACATGGGCAGAAAGACATTAAACTATTGTATCATTTTTATTGATTATTGTTTGTGACATCACTGACCGATGATTCAGGACGATACAGATTTTAAAAAATTGCGTTAATTCAGGAAAATGAGGATCAATTGTATGATATCAGTCAATCTGATTGGGACTTTCAATATAACAGGATTCTGTGGGAAGACAGACTCATGGAAACACTTCAGATCAGGCCTCAGTAATTAACAGCATATGCTAACAAACAAGGACTGACAAGTGATGCATAAATACTAATTAAGAGATCATTAACCATAAACGGTACACTATCTAATTATCACTCAGTTCGCTGTGTATTAGTGAGGGCTGAACTAAAATGTGACTGAACTATAACAACAAAACGTAATGTCTCTTGGGACATTGGAGTATCCTGTCTTCCATCTCAACACAATTATCACGTTTGATTCTGTGGTAGTTATTCATCTCTTAATCTTCCTCTTTGTCAATTTAAACATTCACACATGTCCAACCCAGTCTGCTCTGGAGCCCTGCCCACGTTCATCCCTAGAGCTTCCTGATTAGTCATTGTTTTAACTATTCCACCCCAGCAAATCTTACTGGTCATAGTTCTGCCAAGGAGAGGAACTATTTGAAATAAGTTATTGTTGATAAATACTTAGTGTGCACAACATTGTCCCATGGTCAGAAATATACTTTTTTTTTTTTTTATGAAATACAGTTGACGTTACCTTTAAAGCTGCTGTCCCGTCCCTCCGCTGCTCTCAAGGAACTAATGAAACAATAGAAATCATGCAAAACAGACACTAATATCAATCAATGTGAATCAGTATAATGTCCATAGGATCTATTATGTTGTACTGCTTTAAGTATAAACGTGTCACTTTAGATTTGGTGCTGTTTCCAAATGAAATGTGACGATACACAGACCTTTTACTTTAACTGCTGTAAAGATCTTTTTCTTTAAACCTTCTGTCTTCACACTGTTCTTTTTTACAGCAGTTAGAAGACGACAAAGCCATTACGGATGTATCGCTTCATTTCAAAGGGTTGAGTGGACACTTCTGTGCAGATAATGAACTTTTCCTTTTTTGTATCTTCTGTAGTTTTGGTTGCACTTTTGAAGCCGGTGAAAGGCAGCAATATGGAAATGACTTTGTAAATGGTGCGAGGACTGGCACATGGATTTATGAATCACGTTTCTCTGGTCGGAGGGAGCACTCTGTATTATATTAATACTGATGTGACTTCGTTATTGGTAATGTTTATAACAGATCTATGTCTAATCGACTCTGACGTGTGCCGTTTATTGCAGACACCACTCCGTAGCATCGTCTGTGTTTCTGTTGCTTCCTTTTCTTTCGAGGAAAAAAAGCATTCGCCATTTTCATCCAAACAATAAAATGCTCATGGGTTTTAGGATAATTGTTTACATGTAACAGTGAACCTTGAATAAAGCCAACTCAGTTCATTTGACTCTTATGTCATGTTTCTGGACATTTTTGGTCATTTTAATTTAGTAATTATCTGTGAAAGTAAAGGTTTGGTAGCAGCGGCAGCGTGAATATCAAAAATGGTCCTTAGTACTTCATTTGACCCATCCTTACAATGTCACAAGGGCCTGGGTGAAACCGGAGCACCTGGAGGACACCTACACATACACAGGAAGAACATGCAAACTCCTCTCAGAAAGGCCTTGTTCCGACTGGGATTTGAATCCAGGACTTTCTTTCTGAAAAAGTCAATAGCAGCTACAGTAAGTTAAATAATAATGCATTGGTTTTATACAGCACTTTTTCTGGACTCTTCACAAAAGTCACCATTAGGACCTTTTGAAGAAATATGAATCGTACAAATACAGTATATGAGCCATTTTCTATACATTAGTCTCCTGTATGAAGACTTAAAGCAGAGGATTTGACTCTCCAAAACGGCCTTGTAATAGGTATAACTTGTTTTTTTATATAACTACATTGTTTCATTATCATCATTTTCAATCCTACTTACTCTCTGTGAAATAGAGATTGCATGAATAACAAAAAACTGAAGAAAAAAAAATATAATTACATGAGATTATTGCCACGGACCGAGCCTGGCCTTAGCCATCCATACACCGGTCAATCATCATTTCCCTGCATGTAAACTCAGTACGAAATGTATGGTGTGGTACGACCATAGACTGTAAACACGACTATTAATATTATAGATCCATGCTACCACTGACTAAATAACTTTATAAAAAATATTACTTACTGTTTTGTAATGTCTGAACCATAGACTGTACTGTAAATAGTCTGAACATCACATTCTCTATGGTCTGAACTGGCACAGACGTAGGCGGATCTCGCGGCTAATTATGCTGTGATTGACATTTGCACCAGCCAATGACAGGCTCCAAATCCAGCTAAAGCTTTGAGGAAGGCGGGTCTTAAAAAGTATTCTGTCCAATCAAGAGCTGATTTCATTTCCATTTGTCCAATCAGCGCCGGCGTGGTACCTGTCCGGTCCCTGCCAGGCACTGGGAGGATTTAGTTTGGAGTCTGGATCTCGCACTGTTTGTTTAAGGTAAGTGTCCTGTTTATCTGCGGCATTATTTCATATTTACACAACTTATATATTCACAGTTTCTTCAGGGAAACACCGCTGAATGCACAGTGGCTAACAGCGCTCATGCTAACCTCTTAATGCCTGTGATAGCGGGACTTCTCAGACTTTGGTTAATGTTCCACGGACAGGGAGAATAAACTACAATATTAAAAGTTCACGTTTATTATGTATAGTAGATAGTAGAGCATGGTTAACGAAGTGCTGTTTTTAAGTTGTAAGTTGTGTTATTACTTGTTTACTACTTATCAATATAACTTAATGCAGCTTTTACATGTTTGATCATTAACATATGGTGAAGATATATAGGTTTACAGAAATAAAAATAGCAGCATTAGACCTACACGAATTTATAACCCCCACTGGTTTATTTACTATTTAGATTACTATTACATATGCTTATTGACAGCTTCTTTTAATCTTAGTTGCCAGAGCCACAATCTACTATAAAACTGATGTTAAGGATGCGTTTGATTTCTGGGCTCTTTAGTAGAAGTACATAATGTAATTTTAGATTCGTGTATTTAAGGTAAGTTTTTAAGCATGCATTATGTTGTATTGTTGTTGATGTAGGCTGTGGTTTCTGATACTGCTTCTATCTGGTGTCGTGTAGTTGAACGAATGTGTAATATTTTATTGTGAGAAAACATGACTTATTCAGTCCTCTACAGCTAATATTGCGTCTAGTTAGAAACAAACGGGCAAACAAATGGTCCCAGTATTGTAAATTATTTCCAAAGCAGACCTGGAGATTCTTATCTATGCATTTGTCTCCAGTAGGTCAGACTACTGTAATGGCCTACTCACAGGTCTCTCCAAAAAGGTTGTAAAACAGCTAAAGTATATTTAAAAAGCTGCAGCTCAAGTCTTGACTAGAAACAGGAAGTACGACCACATTAGTCCAGTCCTCAGGTCTCCGCACCGACGTCCTGTGACAATGTTCAAATCCAGGTTAAAGTCTGTTCTGTTTGCCTGTGCATACAACTGAAGGATTTTATCTATATTTCAAATGCACTGTGGTAAATTATTTTTTAATTCATTTTTGTGATTTAAATGTTTTAATATTTTTTTTGTATTGTATTATTATTTTAAATTATCTGTGACTTTTTATTGTTTTTTAAATGGTTATTCTGGTGTTTGTTTTATGTGATGATTTATGTCTTGTATGATGTGGACTGTGAAGCGCTTTGTGTTGCCCTGTATATGAAAGGCGCTCTACAAATATAGATCAATTGATTGATAAAATATTACCATCCAATTATCAAGCTGTTATAGTAATTCATGTGACTATCAAAGTAATAGTCTATGACAGCTCTAGTCTCTTAAGTGGGGCTCATGAAGTTTCTCACTTTTTTTCCCCCTGGGTTTTTGAGTGGTTCCACTTTGATGCAGGATGGTCTCAGGACTGTGATAATCCAGGACATTTAAGGACAATTATGAGCATTTCTGGACTTCATCCTGCTTCCTTCCTTTGTATTATTATATTTTCTGTGTTGAGGAATCTAAAGCTTTGTAAAGTGTTCCGAGACAACTGCTGTTGTGATTTACACAAATACATTGAATTGAATTGTAATGCATAGGATATAGAGCATTTTCCCTAATTCTTGATCCTCACTATTGATTGAGATGGTATTATCTGTTGGTGTTTTTGTCTGTGTCACGTCGTCTCGGACACCCGCTCCTCCTTGTCTTGTTCCTTTTCTAACGTCTGTGTTTTGTCTCGTTCCAGATGCAGTTCATGCTCCTGTTCAGTCGACAGGGAAAGCTCCGTCTGCAGAAATGGTACGTTCCGCTGTCAGACAAAGAGAAGAAGAAGATCACGCGAGAGCTGGTGCAGACCGTCCTGGCCCGCAAACCCAAAATGTGCAGCTTCTTAGAGTGGAGAGATTTAAAGGTTGTGTATAAGAGGTGAGAGGTGCTTATTAATGTATTCCATTTAATTCCCTGTGCTTCTCAGAGTCACAGCAGGAGGCCAGTCCCTGTGCTCCTCAGAGCTGCTTTAAAGTCTACACTAGTTTGTGTGTTTTTATCATTACCCTTTGTGTCCTGACATCATCACATGTTTCAGGAGTCTGTGGGATTAGGAGGATTAGAACTGTGGGCGAAATGAACCTATGCTCAGAAAACGATCTGCATCCGGACGTTTAAACTTATGTCCTTCACCAAAACTTTATAGCATGACACTGTCTCATCTGCAGTGAGTCCTGTGGGAGAAGGGTTTAAACCTGTGATAGGCAAGGCAAGGCAAGTTTATTTATATAGCACATATCATACACAAGGCAATTCAAAGTGCTGAACAAAACAAGAAAGCATTAAAATCATAAATAATCACAGAACATTAAAAAGAAAGATAAAAATATAAAATCCCTCAGTTGTATACACAGCTAAACAGAACTGTCTTTAACCTGGTTTTAAACATTGTCAGAGAGGAGGCCTGTCTCACATCTTCAGGAAGACTGTTCCAGATTTTAGCAGCATGAATCTGAAAAGCAGCCTCCCCATGTTTAGTTCTGACTCTGGGCACTAACAGGAGTCCAGTCCCTGTGCTCCTCAGAGTCCGGGCTGGTTCATATGGGACTAACATGTCACTAATATATTTTGGTGCGAGGCCATGGAGAGACTTGTACACAAGCAGAGCTGTTTTAAAGTCTATTCTCTGAGTCACAGGAAGCCAGTGCAGAGACCTGAGAACTGGACTAATGTGGTCGTACTTCCTGGTTCTAGTCAGGACTCGAGCTGCTGCATTTTGAATGTACTGCAGCTGTTTTACAGCCTGTTTGGACAGACCTGTGAGCAGACCATTGCAGTAGTCTAACCTACTGGAGACAAATGCATGGATAAGAATCTCCAAGTCTGCTTTAGACACTATGTTTTTGATCCTGGCAATGTTTTTTAGATGGTAAAAAGCTGCTGATGTTACTGATTTGATGTCGCTATTCAAATTTAAGTCTGAGTCCAGTATTACCCCTAGATTTCTGACCTTGTTTGAAGGTTTTAGGGAGAGAGACTGTAGGTGACAGATGACGCTCTCTCTTTGTTTCTGGGGACCAAAGACAATCATTTCAGTTTTGTCTGCGTTTAGCTGAAGGAAGTTGTTTTGCATCCACTCACTGATCTGTTGGATACAGTGAAGGAGTGAGTCCACTGGTCCATGTTCTCCTGCAGTCAGTGAGACATAGATCTGAGTGTCGTCTGCATAGTTATGATAGGACACTTCGTTTCTGCGTGATACACACAGGTCTGTGTCTGTGCTCTGTCCTTCAGATGTGCCAGTCTGTACCTGTGCCCTATCTTTCAGATATGCCAGTCTGTACTTCTGTTGCGCCGTTGAAGGCCATGACAACGAGCTGATCACTCTGGAGATCATCCACAGATACGTGGAGCTGCTGGACAAGTACTTTGGCAGTGTGAGTAATGACCTTTGATACTTTTATTATATTTCTTTATTATTATTATTATATGGCTCACTCCACGCTAAATTGTACCATGGGTCAATTTAACTTCAAGCGACAAAAAGATAAATGTTTGTACTTAAAGATGTTGAATACTATATATAGTATAATCTCAGATGGGCAGCTGAACCCATTTCAAGAAAAATGGACGCCGTTCAAAAAATGTTTTTGAACTTTGGGGACATACAGTAATTGTTACATATTATATACAGTGCCTTGCGAAAGTATTCAGCCCCCTTAAACCTTTCAACATTTTGCCACATTTCAGGCTTCAAACATAAAGATATAATCGTGAAGTGGAATGAAATTTATTGGATAATTTAAACTTTTTTAACAAATAAAAAACTGAAAAGTGGGGCGTGCAATATTATTCGGCCCCCTTGCGCTAATACTTTGTAGCGCCACCTTTTGCTGCAATTACAGCTGCAAGTCGCTTGGGGTATGTCTCTATCAGTTTTGCATATCGAGAGACTGGAATTCTTGCCCATTCTTCCTTGCAAAACAGCTCAAGCTCAGTGAGGTTGGATGAGAGCGTTTGAGAACAGCGGTCTTCAGCTCTTTCCACAGATTCTCGATTGGATTCAGGACTGGACTTTGACTTGGCCATTCTAACATCGTTTTGCATTGTGGCCAAAAAGTTCGATTTTGGTTTCATCTGACCAGAGCACCTTCTTCCACATGTTTTGTGTGTCTCCCAGGTGGCTTGTGGCAAACTTTTTATGGATATCTTTGAGAAATGGCTTTCTTTTTACCATTTTTCCATAAAGCCCATATTTGTGCAGTGCACGACTGATTGTTGTCCTATGGACAGACTCTCCCACCTCAGCTGTAGTTATCTGCAGTTCATCCAGAGTGATCATGGGCCTCTTGGCTGCATCTCTGATCAGTCTTCTCCTTGTTTGAGATGGAAGTTTGGAGGTACGGCCGGGTCTTGGTAGATTTTCAGTGGTCTGATACTCCTTCCATTTCAATATAATTGCTTGCACAGTGCTCCTTGAGATGTTTAAAGCTTGGTAAATCTTTTTGTATCCAAATCTGGCTTTAAACTTCTCCACAACAGTATCTCGGACCTGCCTGGTGTGTTCCTTTGTCTTCATGGTTCTCTCTGCGCTTTAAACAGAACCCTGAGACTATCAAAGAGCAGGTGCATTTATACGGAGACTTGATTACACACAGGTGCATTCTATTTATCATCATCAGTCATTTAGGACAACATTGGATCATTCAAAGATCCTCACTGAACTTCTGGAGTGAGTTTGCTGCACTGAAAGTAAAGGGGCCGAATAATATTGCACACCCCACTTTTCAGTTTTTTATTTGTTAAAAAAGTTTCCACTTCACGGTTGTGTCCCACTTGTCGTTGATTCATGACAAAATATTTAAATTTTATATCTTTATGTTTGAAGCCTCAAATGTGGTGAAATGTTGAAAGGTTCAAGGGGGCCGAATACTTTACACTGTACACTTATACACTGTATAGGACATGTCATGTTGGAGGCTTTGTGAATTAAATCATTAACAGGACAGAGAAGAATATTCAAGATTTTACATTATGCAAAAAAATTGGACGTTTTGGACATGGAGCTTTCGCGAAAGTTCACCGTGGTAGACCCGGCTGTTGCTGCCAGGCCACAGGCTGCTCTTCCTCGACTCATCAATACCAGCAACGCCCACACCCAGTCAACCAATAACCACCAGGACAGCAAGTTAAAAGCCGGAGACGCCCACTTCCCGATCTTCTGAAGTCTGCAAACTTCTGAAGCCTGCAAGGTGCATGTCGCTAACGCACCTGTTCGCAAATGCATGCGTTGTTCTGGAGGGGTCGCTTTCTGCTCACGTGTTGCTCGTGCGCGTGGCCCGGCTGTCCTCAGTCTGGCTGCTCGTGGTCTGCTCCTCCTCCACGTCCCTGCACCTGCTGTGGTTCGCATATCCCCACTGCTCTCCTCCTCTGCGGGCTCTTTCTGCGGGCTGCTCCGCGGGGCCCCTCCGCGGTTCTGTGCTGCTCGTTCCTCGTGGTCTGCTGCCGCGCGCAGACGGTCAGGCGGTGCCGTGCGTGTCCCTGCCTCCGACTGGCGGTGCCGCGTTGTCCCGTTGCTTTCCCAAGTCTCCTGGCATGTGAGTACAGTGAGAGTGCCGACCGCGGACAGTTTAATCCCGGAGTCTAGGCTGCAGGTGGCTGGTTTTTTGCCCTACGCACTTGACTGCAGGCGTCAGTCTTCGCCCGTGCTTGGTCTGCAGGCTCCGTTTTACACGTGTTGAGCTAACTGAGGGACAATGCATCTTAAATGGCATCAATCTCCAATGTCTGAGGGATATAAGAGGAGCAATGTGCATTAATTCAGATTCATGTTCTGCCACTTGCAGTAAAACCACGTTGGAAAAAATGTGCAAAGACAACCCCATCGTGCTCCAGACGGCACACACAGAGCTCTTGCACGGCGCCATCTTTACAGCATCAATCTCATTACTCGCAAGTCACTATTGTTAAATGATGTATTTAAATTCGTCTATCTGCAGGAGGAAGGAGGGGCCATGCATTTAAATAGCTAGGTCACTAGTATTAAACTGGGTAACTAAACTGCAGTTGTTGCATTTCGAAAGTGCAGCAGAAAGAAAAGGGGCCCAATGTGAATATGCAATGGGTTTGAAGTGGAGCTGGAGCTAATGAACGCATGGATCAGTGATCGTTCATGCGTATCTGCCATAACCAAAGCAGCAAGTTGGCTCCAGGGGACATCTGTTTCTCGCATGGGAATGTTTCGGATTCGGGTTGATTTATTTCCTCAGGCTCTTAAACAACCGTGGGCATGGTTCTCTGACCGCCGCTGCTGCGGTCCCTGCTGCCGTTCCTACTGATGCCTGATCCCGCTGCTGCCTATTCCTGCTGCTGCCTGTCCCTGCTGCCTGCTCCTGCTGCTCCTACTGCTCCTACTACTACATGTGCCGCTGCTGCTGTTCCTGCCGCTGCCGCTCCGCAGGCTCCCAGGCTGCACCTATCTCTACGGCTCGGCTCTTCAGACACGTACGTAACCTGGCTCACGGAGACAAGCGGCGCACGCTGGCGTGACACGTCTGTTGTTCGTATGAATTGCATTGTGCTGCTGCTGCTTGCTGCTTCTGCTGCCGCTACTGCTGCTATTGCTGCCGCTGCTGCTTCATACTGCATCTGCTGCCGTGCTGCTGCTGCTTCTTTACTTTGACACCTCTCTTCACTGCGCATCTCTTTTACTGAAACACTAAACAGCTTCAACTCTATTCTACTGCGGTGGCTTGATACAGGATTATTGCTGTTATTATCTACGGATGCTGCAACCGCTGCTGCTGCTGCTGCTTCATGCTGCTACCGTCACTGCTGCTACTGCTGCCGCTGCTGCTTCATACTGCATCTGCTGCCGTGCTGCTGCTGCTTCATGTACTTGACATCTCTCTTCACTTCACATCTCTTTTACTGAAACACTAAACAGCTACAACAATATTCTACTGCTCTGGCTTTGATACAGGATTATGGCTGTTATTATCTACGGATGCTGCAACCGCTGCTGCTTCATACTGCTACTGCTGCTACTGCTAATGCTGCTTCTGCTGCTTCATACTGCTACCGTTACTGCTGCTGCTACTGCTGCGCTGCTGCTGCTGCTGCTTCATGTACTTTGACATCCCTCTTCACTTCGCATCTTTTTTACTGAAACACTAAACGGCTACAACAATATTCTACTGCTCTGGCTTTGATACAGGATTATTGCTGCTATTATCGACGGATGCTGCAGCTGCTGCTGCTTCATACTGCTACTGCTGCTGCTGCTTCATACTGCTACTGCTGCTGCTTCATACGGCTACTGCTGCTACTACTGCTGCTGCTGCTTCATTTACTTTGCCATCTCTCTTCACTTCGCATCTCTTTTACTGAAACCCTGAACAGCTACAACAACATTCTACTGCTGTGGCTTTGATACAGAATTATTACTGTTATATTTCTAAGGACGCTGCTGCTGCCGCGGCTTGATACAGGACTTTTGCTGTTATTATCTGAGGCTACTGCTGCTGCCGCTGCTGCTACTGCTACTGCAACCCATTCTCTCAGAAGCTTATCCTGCTTCTAATGGATGCAGCCCGGCTGAGTATGCCGCGCTGCGCCGGACTCGCACCTATGCTCCCAGGGTCGCTTCGGCGGTCGTGCTTCATCTCTCTACTGGATCTTCTGATTCTATCAGATGCAGCTGGCCAAGTAGCTGCGCTGAGCCGTCAATCGGACTCCTAATCAAAGGCATCCATACCTGGTTCTTCACTCTTCTGATCACAGGCTCCCCATCATGCTGCCCATCCTGCAGCGGCGCTGAACTCCGGCTCATCTTCCAAGTACATGTCTGCCCTCCTCGCAGCATCTTCTGCTCGCCTTCTGTGGCTTCTCTGCATAAGCGTTTCACCACTGCTCACTCAACCTTCAATGCGGTCCGAGACACGGCTTCCCGTCCTATCCTACTGGCCTAATTATCTACTCTCCAACCCAAGATTCTAAGCGTAAAGGCGCCTGCAACATCAATGGCCCTCTCCGGTGTGTCTCTCTGCCCCTACAGGTCTCCGCTTCTACACGGACGCTGCCCCTTCCGTGGGTTTTTGGGGGATTCTTCCAGGACCAGTGGTTCGCCGGCCGTGGCCCGCTACTTTCCCCGGAGCATTTCCTCTGCCCTACACGAGACATTCCCAGTGGTCGTGGCCTGCGCGCTGCGGAATCACACGTGGCAGAGAAAGAGGATCTCTGTCATGCGTGATCATCTCGACGTAGTGGAAGCATTAAACAAAGGTCGCTCTTCTCACCCAACATAATGTCCCCTGACCATTCAACCTTCATCTCAAACATTCAAAGATCAGAGGCGCCTGCAACACAATAATAGCTCGCTTCGACACATCTCTCTGCCCCTACAGGTCCATGATGCGTTACACTCGCCTCCGCGGCAAAAAGGAGATTTTAACGGACCTCTAATTCTCACTCCAGTCAACCTTCCCATAACAGCAACCTGGTTCAGAGCTCAGCTAAGATCCCTACTGCTCCTCTGCAATTTGTCTCCCCCAGCTCTATACAGCCCACTCCTTCAGGATAGGCGCTGCCACGCGCACGACCTCGCTGGGGCTCCCCCACTCTTCCTCTGCAACGGCTGGGGCGCTGGTCCTCTTCGGCTTCTCCACCTACATCCGGCCAGATGCGACCGCTATCATGGCAGCACAACGTCTACCGGCTTCATCGTAAGCTCCCAGCAAAGCAAGTAAGCAATAAGATTCTGGTGGCGGCACGCACTTTCCTCAAACGCTCAAAGATTCCTTGCTTCAGCGTCTGGCTGAATATGAGCGTGCGCTCATATTCTCAGTTCGCTCAAAGATTCCTCTGCTGCGGCTGGCCGAGCATGCGCGTGCGCGCATGCTCTCAGTTCGCTCAAAGATTCCTCTGCTGCGGCTGGCTGAACATGCGCGTGCGCGCATGTTCTCAGTTCGCTCAAAGATTCCTCTGCTGCGGCTGGCTGAGCATGCGCGTGCGCGCATGCTCTCAGTTCGCTCAAAGATTCCTCTGCTGCGGCTGGCTGAACATGCGCGTGCGCGCATGTTCTCAGTTCGCTCAAAGATTCCTCTGCTGCGGCTGGCTGAGCATGCGCGTGCGCGCATGCTCTCAGTTCGCTCAAAGATTCCTCTGCTGCGGCTGGCTGAACATGCGCGTGCGCGCATGTTCTCAGTTCGCTCAAAGATTCCTCTGCTGCGGCTGGCTGAGCATGCGCGTGCGCGCATGCTCTCAGTTCGCTCAAAGATTCCTCTGCTGCGGCTGGCTGAACATGCGCGTGCGCGCATGTTCTCAGTTCGCTCAAAGATTCCTCTGCTACAGCGGCTGGCTGAACATGCGCGCGTGCGCATGTTCTCAGCTCGCTCTTGCTCTCAGGCCCGCGCAGTACGTCCTGCTATCCCAATCGCAGGCCCGCTTTTGGGGATCATGCACGCGAGCAAGCGCCGTGCTCAACAGCATCCCGCCCGGGCCTAGGGCGCCAAACATGCTCAATCAATAAACATGCTTAAATCTAATAAGTCTAATGCGTTCCTCATGGGTCTCTCCAAGGTGAAATGGAGCTTTCGCGAAAGTTCACCGTGGTAGACCCGGCTGTTGCTGCCAGGCCACAGGCTGCTCTTCCTCGACTCATCAATACCAGCAACCCACACCCCCAGTCAACCAATAACCACCAGGACAGCAAGTTAAAAGCCGGAGACGCCCACTTCCCGATCTTCTGAAGTCTGCAAGCCGCCGCCGCCCCACCTCCTCCTTCTCGCATGAAGCGTGTTGCCTACTGCCTCTGCCGTCACCAGTGCCTAGGCCCCGGGGGGATCATGCACGCGAGCAAGCGCCGTGCTCAACAGCATCCCGCCCGGGCCTAGGGCGCCAAACATGCTCAATCAATAAACATGCTTAAATCTAATAAGTCTAATGCGTTCCTCATGGGTCTCTCCAAGGTGAAGTAACAATTGTGTCCACTTTTGTTGCTGCAGCGCTTTTAATAGTGAATTAATCTGTGTTTAAGTAGCACCCTCTTCACTTGACAAACCAGCTGGAAAAAGACTGGAGTGGGTTCTGTGAGTAGCAGCCACAGACATTTCAGGACTTTTTTGTGTCATTGACCTGAATGTAACACAATGGTACAATTCAGTCTGGAGTGAGCCATATACAAGACACAGGGCCAAACACTCTCTGAACCTACAATATGCCATGTAGAAAGGCACAAAACAACAACAACTTCTATTTTAGTCTCATTAAGCACAAATGTGCTTTACTTCTTCATATGAATCTAATACACACACACACGCACACACAAGCACACACAGATACACACACCACACACAGAAACGCAAAAACACACACACACACATACAGACACACTTCCTCATGTGTATGAACCTAATACACACTTACACAAACACACACACACACAGATATTCACACCACACACACAGATACACACCGCACACACACACACACACTTCCTCATATGAATTGCTTACAGACTAATTTAAACTTGTATATCTAAGGTGTGTGAGCTGGACATTATCTTTAACTTTGAGAAGGCCTACTTTATCCTTGATGAGTTCCTTCTCGGTGGAGAAGCTCAGGAGACATCAAAGAAGAACGTTCTGAAGGCCATTGAACAGGCCGACCTGCTGCAGGAGGTACGACCTCTGTGTGTGTGTGTGTGTGTGTGTGTGTGTGTGTTCTGAAGGCCATCGAACAGGCCGACCTGCTGCCGGAGGTAAGACCCTGTATGTGTGTGAGTGTGTCATTCTCTTGCTATAGACCTCTGTGTTCAAACTGTTTGATTCTCTGGTGGTAAGGAATTGACAACTTTGTAAAGTCCTCTGAGCAACTGCACACAACTGTAGTGATTTAGGATTAAACACAAAAATATGTATTGAATAAACCTTTTACATGGTGACATCACAGCTCCATCCAACAGAGCCTTCTCTTTACTTTCTGTTAATTTTAGACTCTTTTTTGTTTTGTCTTTCTGTGGACATGACCTCAGCGCCTGCAGGGCTCAAAATCTCCATCACCTTCAACTGTTAATGATCTAAATGTTGTAACTGACTTATACAACTTTTTCTTAGACAAGTGTTTTCATGTTGAGATGGCACAGTGTGCATCCAGTCGATCAGCCTCATTCTCACAGTTTGTCCCTATCGTGTTTGGGGACAAACTTTACAATTACAATTCTGCAATTCTGCTCATTTGTCTCTGTCTTTGATTTTTGATTTATTTCAGAATATTGACTTTCAGATGCGCCTTTTTGGAGGTACAGTCAGTAGATCTAAAACTCACACCCACCCAGTAGTAAAAGTGTAAAGTTGTAGATTAGAAGTTCCCACACTCTACTAATCACCAACACAAGGTGGAACACGACATCTGTGTGACTGACTATATAGACCGGCCCTGTCGTTTTATCGGACTATTGTGAGACAAAATATCTCAAATCTATATATCTTACTAGAGTTAGCGCAAAAACAAGAAGCTATTCCAAGATAAAAAAACAATTACAATAACAATCAATCAATCTCAATTTTTTTGAGCGATTTTCATAGAAAAAGCAGCACAAAGCTCCTCACAGTTCAAACAGAAACATTAAAATCTAGGGCTGTCAAAATTATTGCGTTAATGCACGTTAATACAAATTTTCATTAATAGCGTAAAAAAAAATAATGAACGCATTTAACGAATATCCGAATGACCCGCCCATGTATCCCATAATATCACTCAGAATGCCACGGACACATGCGTGTGTGAGATGGCAACAGAGCAGATCTCTGGGAATTCAAGTTTTAAAAGAAAACGCGGGTGACCGCGGGGCACTTGCTGTTGTTTGCTATGAACTGAAGTCTGCATCCTCCATGGCTGCAACGTTCTGACCCGGGGCAGCTGCGGCCACTCTGGAGATACATGTTCCCACCTCCAGTGGCTGTGAGCCTCTAACAACAACACGGCGAATGGCACTGAGGTAACGTGACCATACACGCACAAAACTATTCTCTGAATGTTGCGTGCGTGTCTTTGCGTAACCTGTGCGTAACCTGTGCACGCAGATACAGCGCTGAAGCTGAACTATGGAGCCTCAGGAAGTGTCCATGTCTCCCCTGTGTCTCCTCCTGAAACGCAATTAAACTTGCTAAATTAAAGCTGGGGTACATATATTTTCCCCTTTCATTAACAGCTCATGTTGGTTGTGCCCAAAAGTAAAAGGTTGTGAGCAAATCAAACAGATTCAAGTACATTTGGTAAGAATGACAATGTGTCATTACATTTGATAATCTCATTTCACTTCAATTGGCGTGGATTTGAAATAGAATGTTAAAAAAGTGATTAATCTTGAGTTAACTCACCATTACTATGCAATTCATCAACTAAAAAAATGTAATCGTTTGACAGCCCTAATAAAATCACCAACAATAACATTAATGCAACATAGTCATAAGTAGAGCTTCAATTTCTGAGAGAATGTTGGAAAAAATATAATTCCTTCCTTCAATTATTGAACAATAAACAAGTTGATATAGCAATCATTGTGACGGGCTGAACGATGTATTCTATACTAGGGGTTCCCAACTGGCGGATCATGGTCCGAGTCCGGACCCAGAGAGCCTTTTTTCTGTCCCTCTAGGATTTTTTGTTAAAAAGTTATTAAATATGTTAGTCAAATTTTCACCAAAAGCGATTTGTGAACAGGCGGGCGCGGGGGTGGAAGCGGGATCCTTTTTCGAGAAAACTAGAGCCTTACCATTATTTACCAAAGTGACTCAGCGACTCAGTGACAGAGACACAATTTGAAAAAGTAACTTCAGAGTTTTACAACCTGGTTGTTGTCTTCTTTTGACATTTACCAAGTCAAAGAGAGAATGATTATATTATATCTCTACATGATTTTGTAACCATATGTACAGTAATTGTAATATTTCAGACCAGCATTGTCATTGCAATAGCTTTTGATGTCCTGTATGTTGAGTTTACAGTTTATATCAGTTATGAAAAAGATGAGACATTATTTGCAGTGAGAAAATAATACCTTGAAAGTGTAGATGAGTTCTTACCACAGAATGAACATTAAGAGTGGACTGACCATGCATTAGCCTTTGTGCGGAGAGGATCTGGAGCGGTTACATGGAGCCAAATGTATGGACATTTTGCTGGTAGCAACAGTCGAGTTACAAATACGCTGGTCTGTCCCCGCTCACGCTACTCGCTGCTAAAGCTGAATTGTACAATAGAAGGTTCCTGATTGGTCAGTTGTTAGGACTCATATAAGAATTTACAAAGACAATATTACAACATATTTATCTATCTAAAAACCAGGATCACAGAGAGCATTAAACAACAGATTTAAGCCCAAAATGGTGAGTTTACTTTTACATCGAAGTCAATAGAGGAGAGGAGCCAAACTTCACCATGAGCACTTCCCTTTTGGGCTTCATTGAGCTAGCAGAGGGCGACAGTGGCTCAGTTGGTAGAGCATTGGCCTTTGGGCCCGAAAGCCCACAGTTAGCCCACAGTAAGATCTACTTCACGACTCCCACTGATGTCTGCTGTCGTTGTGTCCTTGGGCAAGACACTTAACCCCACTTTGCCTGAAGCCTCTGCTGAAAGATCTCAGCTCCTGTGGACTCACCACCTGCAGGAGGATCAGTGAGGGGCTGGTGCTAAGTGTACTGGGTGCAGCTCTGACTGCCACCCCTAACCCAGAAATGGATTAAGGGGAGGAAAATGGATGGATGGATGGATGAGCTAGCAGGTTAGCATTGTACATCTATTTACATTCTATGGTTATGTAAACAGATGGATCTGAAATTCAGATCAGATTCAGATTAATTTTTTTGCCATTTGCAGTAAAACCACATTGGAAAAACTGTGCAAGACTACCCCAGTGTGCACCAGACAGAGAAGGCGACACACACCAGAGCACTTGCCACGGCGCCATCTTTACGGCGCCATGCGACAAACAGTAGAATAAACAGCAGAGAGCAGTAACATACATATCACAAGACAGTTTGGATAAGACACATTATGTTTTGGATAAAACACGGATGTTTTTATTATGGAAGTGAACTCCGGCCGCCCTTATGTGGGCCGTCAGAGGGGGCGGGATGAGCAGGAAACACTAAACTTTGGTTTCCCGGAATTGCCACAATTATCCAAGTAACGGTAGAGTCTATGGCAAAACTCCAGGAAAAAGACAAAAACAAGAGATTGCAAGCAGTCAGAAGCAGGAGCGGTATGAGGACACATCTTTGCTCGACGTAGGCGGAAGTAAAGGCATGCGAAATTGATCCAGTTCTTCAGCTGTAGGCCCAAATTGGTTTTTAATACCACAGATAAAATCCTCCCAACTACTAAATGTGTATTAGTCAAGCCCCGGCCATCCAAGATGGCGTCCTCTTCAAATCAATGGCTTGCAGCGCATGTGCCACCATGGGGACCGAAAGATAAGCTGAACTCGCCCATATTTGGGCATTGTCTGGTCCCCCCCGGTTCTGCGAGGTAGACGGGCTTGATGCTTTGCGCCAAATACGTGTGTGTGGCTCTCACGCACGTACACAAAGGGGCTCGGCCGCGCTTTGACCAATCAGAGCAGAGTTAGAGTGGAGCCAGAGCTGGAAGAAAATGAGCAGTTTGTTGCAGTAAAGTGTGGACTTTCAAAAAGTTCAGGATGACAAGGGACACTAAAATCCCCACAAAATCCGACCTTTATGAAAGCCCGGACTCTGAGGAGCACAGGGACTGGACTCCTGTTAGTGCCCAGAGTCAGAACTAAACATGAGGAGGCCGCTTGCCTCCCCATGGTGGGACAGCTACAGTATAAGCAATAATAATCTATCCAGATATTATTATAGATCCATGGTATTAGTATCGGAGCAGACAGAGGAGATCTGGGAAGAGCTAAAACATGACAGTGTTTACAGAAAGAGCAGGGTCTCTCCGTGTCCTCAGGTAAAATCCATGATTAATGAAAGTGTTGCTTTTACGGTAAACTGATTTGGTTTGAGCCAAGTCTGACATCTCAAAGGACGAGAAGACTGTTCATTCAACAGCAGCTTTATCAGAATCTGAATCAGAATAATTTTTATATTGCCAAGTAACAGGAAGTCACAGACTAGGAAATTGCTTTGGCTCTCGGTGCAATCAAGTCAAAAGCAGAGAATAGGTGAAATAGAAAAGATACTGTGGATGGATAGAAGAGGCATAATAAAAAACTACATACATTTCTAAATGTAAAAAATGATTATATACAAGTGCACTCGGTGCACACAATACACATTAAGCAGTGCAGTAAGGTGACGGCTGTAAAGTGACGAGTCTACGTAGGTTTCCTAGCCTGACTCTCGCCAGACCCTTGTAGTACCGCCATGCTCCACCAGAGGCGTTTCGCTTCACGCACAAGGGTCTGGGATCAAGAGCATAGCAAACTCCTTCAGCAGATCCGAAAATAATCAACCAATCAGGATGTCTCATGCGGCAGCAAAAGCAATCCAAGATGGCGGACATAAAGTCTGTGAATTTTTTTTTTAAGTTTAAATACGAACAAATTAAGACACAGATGTCACTTCTAATGCAAAATTAGGCGAGATGTTGATGGTTCCATATTATATGTGTGTTTTAAGAGTCAAATGTCCGTGTAAAATGTGGTTCGGGCGGCGCGGTGGCTGAGTAGATAGCACTCTCGCCTCTCAGCAAGAAGGTCCTGGGTTCGAATCCCAGTCAGAACAGGCCTTTTCTGAGTGGAGTTTTTATGTTCTCCCCGTGTCTGCGTAGGTTTCCTCCGGGTGCTCCGGTTTCCCCTACCACTAAAAATATGGTCACTAGGTAAAATCCTCCAGCTCTGGTAGTCCTGACCAAGCCGAGCATAAACATCTGGAGATGGGTTCCCGGGCGCTGTACTACGGCGACCACTGCTCCTGACGTAAGCCTTAGTGGCATCAGGATGGGTCAAATGCAGAGGACAAATTTCCCTACGGAGACAATAAAGCGCACATTTACATTTACATTTACATTTAAGTACTAGTTTAAGTGTCCTTGTTTACAACACTACGCAGCAGGGTTTCCAGGTTGGGTGGTTTCCCGCACACTTTATTTCCAAGAGACTTGTAGGTAATAAATTGACAGAAACACAATGAACAGAAGCTAGAATTTAGCCAAAAAATCATTCTGGGTGTTTTTACTTTTGGGCATTCTTGCGGGTTTTGGGCTGGAAATTCCTGCCGGCATTTGGCAACCCATGGGAGTTGTGTGCAGAATCCTGTGCTTCGATGTGAGTGGTTGAAGGAACACATCATTAAAGATAATTGGATTAGACCCAGACCTCTGTGAGAAGCGCAGCGATCTACAAGAGTCTGGCGAGAGTCAGGCTACCGGTTTCCCCTACCACTGAAAATATGTGCATTAGCTCGCCTGTCTCTCCTGCAAAAGAGATGCTGATATCTATATGGGACTTTCCTGGTTAAATAAATGAATCATGAAATAGTATTAAATCGTCTCAGTCTCATTTTGAATGGCCAGAAATTATGCACAGTTTTTGTAGAAACAAGTATACATGTACATAATTCTCTGCAGAATTTAAACAAACAGCCGAAAATCTGCAAACACAGCCATAATAGTTGTTTTGAAAGTCTGTTTTGAAGTGTAGCAGATGCATTTGTTTAGCAGGTTGTACTGAAGCAGACTAGAGCAAAACTAAAGCAGACCAGAGCAAAACTAAAGAAGACTAGAGAAAAACTAAAGCAGACCAGAGAAAAACTAAGGCCCTTTTATACGGAGGCGCTGCGCAGACGTTGCAAAGCAATTAACAGAAACGACCAGGCTCTTGCGCAGCGTTTAGATGAGGCGTGAAAACAATGTAGTTCTAGCACCCGGCCAGTAGTGGGCAGTGGAACAATACAACTCGACACACGTGAGCCCCAGCCCCCCCAGCAGTATATTATTCACTTCCTCGACAACATCCTCCTCGGGCCGCCGCAAAGGCGTGAAAGAATGCACCAACATCATTCTGCATTTATCAGCAGCTGCAAAAATAGAAACTGAAACTTCAGCTTCACGTGGTTTTGTTTGGTCGAACGAAGGAGTAGAATTCTCCTCCATGGAGCGCTTGAAGCACACGTAGCTAGTTAGTGTACCCGCCGCCATTGTTGTCTAGAGCAGGCAGAGAAACACACCTTTTTCTTCAAGCGGATGTGAAAGAGCGCCCGTCTGAGCAGCATATCTGTTCTGTTCCACTCTGGAGACTGGTTCTCAATGCTTACGTTTTCACCCCCCTGTAGCACAGTCTCCAATCCATGTAAGTGAGAGGCCAACCCAAGACCCAACTCTAACGTTTTACTGTTGCAGTGGCTCCATCTAAACGGGGCCTTAAGCAGATCAGAGCAAAACTAAAGCAAAAAGTGAATAATATTGGCATTCTGCATTGCAGGGCTGTTGGACCTCTGGAATGTTCCTGATAGTAGAGTTTCTCAATGTTTCAATGGTCAAACTCAGGGTGATTTATATAGGAGAAATACCACAGGGGATTATCCCAGTTATTGTTATAGCGCTTTAATGAAACATTTCTCAGGAGCTCGACTTTCACTGTAATGATGCCTCAGAAGACTTTCCACTCAGAGATAAATGTCCAACCATTGTGATCATAAAAGGCCTTTGTTACTGCGGCAATCCACCACCACAGTCCTGTAGAGCAGTGCCCCCCAACCTGGGGGGGACAAACCACCACAGTCCTGAAGAGCAGTGTTTTTCCAACCCTCGACTTTGTTGTTTTGCAGATTTTTTGTGTCCAATTCAGCTTTTTTTACATTGTGGCTTGTGTGCACCGTGGTGATTAGTTCAGAGGACTCTCACTCTCTCTTTGGTCTCTTTCTAGTCTCTCTCTGGTCTCTCTCTGGTCTCTCTCTGTGGACTCTCTGTGGTCTCTCTCTGGTCTTACATGTGTCTCCTGCAGGTGTGATGGTTCCTGGTTTGGCCTCTGAAGCGTCTGGTTTGTTCCAGAGTTAGTCTCTGAGGTGAATCCCACTCAGTGGAAGTAGGTCGCTCCCTTTAGAGTCTGTAACAAAACAGCTCTTGTTGTAGCAGTCCCCTCAGTGATGGTGTCCCCTCTGTCTTATCTGTCCCCTCAGTGATGACGTCCCCTCTGTCCCTTCTGTCTTATCTGTCCCCTCAGTGATGACGTCCCCTCTGTCCCTTCTGTCTTCTCTGTCCCCTCAGTGATTACGTCCCCTCTGTTTCGTATGATTTCTCTTTCTGCTTGTCTTTTGTTGTCTTTAAAAGTACAATGTTGGTTTTGTTTGCACCTAAACTTGTATTATTCCCATCACAGAATCCCTCACTCTTAGACAATAGTGTCGTGACAACACTATGCTAACTAAACTAAAATAGTAGTATACCTTAGAACAAGTCGAACCGGCTCCAAAAAGAGTCAGTGATGAGGACTGTGATGATCCAGGACATTTATTGACATTTGTGGACGTTGATCATCTGCTCTCTATGTACCAATGGCTCCTATGTGTAACTATTTAATTAGCTTTTTAGATCAGAGAATCAAACAGTTCAAACACAGGAAATTCAATGATAAAAACACTTGTTCCATAAGGGGCAGATGTCCATAAATGTAGTTTAATGTGGAGTGTCCTCGGTCACCACTGTCCTTTGAGCCTCCTGCTTCTGTGGAACAACTCTAAAGACCCAGTGGGAGAAAAGTGGGAAACCTCTGAGATGCCCACATAGAGAAACTAGTGCATTCCAAAATATCGCGTTTTTAACGTGTTTACGCAAATCAATATTCGCGGCGTCATTTTGTTATTGCCCTATCAATTTGTGTACTTTACTTGTAATTTTTTTTTAGCTGTTAGTAACGGGAAAAAAAACTACAGAAACCAGAACCCCCTTCCTCTAGTGTTTGGTTTGTGTTTAGCCTGAGACTGGTTTATCTTCCGTGAAATGCCAAAATGGATGTTAACAAGCATCTCAATGTAACGTTTGTTTCAAATAGTTGCTCGATGGGTAGACTAACAAGACCAACAAACAACTGTGTGTGTATTGTCTATATGAAACACTTAGCACCTTAGCAGATCCACTTTGAAATCCACCTTATGGTCAAACACATGGCTACATATTCATAGAACCGTAGTTATATTAGGTAACTGGGGTTTCTCCACCGCATTCTTGTCAAGTTATATGGACAGCTTAACTAAGAACAAACTGTTGCTGTTTACTTGACTTTATTTTATTACCCTGTTTTGATCCCTTAGAAAGGGTAGTTGAAGGGGCCTTTTTGTTTCCAATTTTATGTTATACATCTGTTTATTGATAGCATTGAATTGTATGACATTTTGCATCAAGTCTGAAATATAACACTACTATAATCACTTTTCCATGTTGATATGAGTATTAAAATGATAATTCAACGGACATAAAGAATAGATACAGTAATTGCATGCTAAGACATTCATGCAATTAATCGCAATTAAGAAAATTTATTGTTGGACAGCACTAAAAGAAACATGCAAAATAAATGTAAATAAATTCCAACCAAGCAGGAGCACGGCAGACTCCACCCTTTTTATAATTTCAGGTTCAGGCTGGACAGAGGAAATTGGTGGAGTCTGCTGTGCTCCTGCTTGGTGGGAAATAAAACCTGCAGCCACACCCTCCCTTTGTGAACTTGTTTGACACCGATTTAGAAATTAATGAATGCCTTGACTTGATACAATAACAAAGGCTCTGTCATGTTTATTTAAGGTGTAAGAACATTCTAGTTTACAGTTATTCCACAACTGCACAGGAAATGTCCATTGTCCATTTTTGTCTTGTTTATGTTTTTTTTGTAGTTTTGTTACTCCTAGTTTTAGAACAGATCAACAAGCTCTCATAGATGTTACAGGAGAAATCTTAGCTTCTGAGACCTGGGGGATGGAGACATCAGATTGAGGTCAGACGAGGAGTTTCTGTTGTTATCAAAATCATATAATCAAAAACACATTTATCCGACAATACAGATGTCTGGCTTCACACAGCAAACAGCTTTACCAAAAAATATAAAAAGTAAAAAAGTGAAGCATCTGACTCCTGCTACTGACTCCTGCTAGTCGAGCTGAGGTGGAAAACCAACCTGAAAAGAACCAGGACCTGGAGAAATGGGCCTTTAACTGCCGTACAAACTTTATGGTGAATAGATCTGTTATTTGTCCGAACAGAAAACGTGTTTAATATGTCACACCACAACATGCTTCTTTATCTGATTAGAATGTTCGGGCTGAGAGCTGATTGGCTGAAGGATGTGACAGAGGCACTTATAAAATAAACACACACCTTTCACCTGGGAGCTTGAGGGTTCTGCGTAGTAGCTTTGCTGTACCTAGCACTGTACATTTCTGGACCGAGATTTCCGAGGACCATTTTCTCAAAGCCACTAAAATCTGGGTCAGGTTCATGAACAGCAGCAACAATAAATGACCATGGTTTTTGTTCCCTGAGCTGTGTTTGTCTGTCTCCTCAGCCCCGTCATGAGTATTTTAATGTTCCTGTGTACTGACCAGCACCCCCTGCTGGTGCTGCCTTCCACTGCATGCTGGCGCTCCCTGCTGGTCCGTCTGCTTGCTCACGGTGGAGGGAACTGCGTTGCAAACACTGCCACAAGAGGAAAATGTTCATCAAATGTGTGGTTCAGATGTCAATGATTACAGCAGACAAAGACTGACAAGTCCTTTGCAAACCATTCAGTACCGGTAGTTATTTCAGTTTGTATCTATAGACTTATTTTTTTCTATATGATAACTGTATTTGTGATGTTGTTTACTAGTTTAAAATCATTCCTCACTATTTACAAGTGAAGTTTCCATTTCCAATTAGTTAATCGTTTAATCAAACATCAATGATAACTATAATAATTATTATGTGGTTAAAAAATTCTGAAACGGCTTGAGAGAATAAAATTATGTGGGGAATTGAAATCACCTTAAAAATGTTGCTAATATTAGCACAGTCTGGGACTTCCTGTTAATAACAATGGGAATAGAAACAATTGTGAAAATCTAAGAAATTAAATAAATAATTTCTAGTTCTATATGTAGATCTGCCATGTCTGCCATGATAATCGGCCTCTATTTTACATCTTGTTTGTTTCTCGTTGATTCTTTAAAAAGAGTTTTAAGGAAACGCAAGGATTAAACATTTGTCTCAATCCGTTTCTAAAGACTGTGGCAGTGTTTCTGAGGCGCATCGTCGTTTGCACTTTTCTCATGTTTATCACTGTTCACTGTCTCATTCCTGTCATTCCTGTTTTAGAATGACAGGAATGATTTGCCTCTTAATGCTGATTCACTGAGAATCCCCACTTATCTTCATCCAACCATCCAGTTTCTTCCCCTTTTACCATTGTTGGGTCACAGAGGCGGCAGTCTGAGCAGTGACACAGACTATCTTCTCCACACACACTTCCTCCAGCTCATCTGGTGAATCCTGAGCTGAGAGACCAGCTGAGAGACACCTTTGTGTCCTGGGCTGTTCCCCGGTCTACCCAGGGAGGAGACGAGGAGGCATCCCAAACAGATGAGCCACCTCCACTGGCCCCTCTCCACGTAGAGGAGCAGATGCTCTACTCCGAGCTCCCCCAGTGTGACTGAGCTCCTCTCTCTTTAAGTGAGCTCCCAGACACTCAGAAGGAAACTCAGATTGACCCTTTTATCAGCGTCCTGTCGATCATCACCCAAAGCTCAGGACCCGAGACTTATCTTCATTCATTCGTTATTATGAGTCGTCAGTGGCAGTAGGTCTTATCCTCAACCCTCACCCACTAGAACTGAAGACCAACTCTACAACCTGAGCCTCTGTAGCTCCCCTCACTTATCTGCTCTGTCTCAAAAGCTGTTAACATGTGATTGGAACCGTTTCAAATTTACATTCTTAAACCCTACCTCAAGCATCGACATCAGGGACCCCAGCTTTAACTCAATTCGAAGTTAGCTCATTTAGCTGTATCCCAGTTTAAATTAATTGAAACAATTTAGAATGGGAGAACTCCTCACTAAGTTTCTGATAACATGATCTGAAACCCACGGATACCTGCAGTTTGTATTGTGTGTGTTGTAGGAACGCTTCACAAAATCCAATGGCCAGTCAAATGCATTTTTATCCAATTTATTTTTACAACTTCCAAAAAGTGCTTTTTTTAAAATTGAAAAACCATATATGTACATTTTTACATCTGTACATAAGTTCGGCACATAACCTTTCAGCATGCCAGGGTAGACTCCCTCCCCTACTCGTCATTATTATTCCTTTAATTTCCTGCAATAAAAGTAGGTGCCAACATTAAACACAGCAACAATACAAAATGAATCACATGATTGGCAGGTTCTCCAGGTGAGTGTGGTTGGAGGACTGCCTCTGCTGCTGCCCAATCAGCATCTCGATCAATCAGTGCCCAATCAATCGGAGCCCAGGACTCACAAGCGTGGTCTTCTGTAAAGGGGAGGAAAACACAAACACAACTAAAGTGTGTTTTGGGGATCAGGGAATTACAGGCCATGAGCAGTAACACTCTGCGCAGGAGTGCCCGCCTCGCACAGGGGAGAGTGACAGGAGCGTGCACATTTCATAACATTTTATGAATACAAAATTAGAGGCTGGGAGAGCAGGTCCCTGGCGCAAACTTTACCCAGTTTGATGTAAGCAAAGGTAATGTAAAACCAAACAGACAATGCAATATACAAATACAATATTTCTGGTGAAGAATAGTCCACAGGTTTCCACAATTTGATTAAGAAGTTCATCAGTGAATGAGTATATGTTAGCATCAGCTTTTGAACAAACACTGAGGTCTTTAGAGAAACACATTTATTCTTGTTCATTTTTAGTAAAAATAGAAATATGGAAGAGCGGACAGAGGTCTTCCCACACGACCAGGGTCTTCCCTCAGGTCTCCTTTATCCAGAACCAGACTGAGAACCTGAACCAGACCTAGTTTTGTACGTTCATATATTTGTAGTTAGAGGTCT